CACAGCATGGGGACACACACAGCATGGGGACACACACAGCATGGGGACACACACAGCATGGGGACACACACAGCATGGGGACACACACAGCATGGGGACACACACAGCATGGGGACACAGCTTGGGGACACACACAGCATGGGGACACACACAGCATGGGGACACACACAACATGGGGACACACACAGCATGGGGACACACACAGCATGGGGACACACACAGCATGGGGACACACACAGCATGGGGACACAGCATGGGGACACAGCATGGGGACACACACAGCATGGGGACACACACAGCATGGGGACACACACAGCATGGGGACACACACAGCATGGGGACACACACAGCATGGGGACACACACAGCATGGGGACACACACAGCATGGGGACACACACAGCATGGGGACACACACAACATGGGGACACACACAGCATGGGGACACAGCATGGGGACACACACAGCATGGGGACACACACAGCATGGGGACACACACAGCATGGGGACACAGCATGGGGACACACACAGCATGGGGACACACACAACATGGGGACACACACAGCATGGGGACACAGCATGGGGACACACACAGCATGGGGACACACACAGCATGGGGACACAGCATGGGGACACACACAGCATGGGGACACACACAGCATGGGGACACACACAGCATGGGGACACACACAGCATGGGGACACACAGCATGGGGACACACACAGCATGGGGACACACACAGCATGGGGACACACACAGCATGGGGACACACACAGCATGGGGACACACACAGCATGGGGACACACACAGCATGGGGACACACACAGCATGGGGACACACACAGCATGGGGACACACACAGCATGGGGACACACACAGCATGGGGACACACACAGCATGGGGACACAGCATGGGGACACACACAGCATGGGGACACACACAGCATGGGGACACAGCATGGGGACACACACAGCATGGGGACACAGCATGGGGACACAGCATGGGGACACACACAGCATGGGGACACACACAGCATGGGGACACACACAGCATGGGGACACACACAGCATGGGGACACAGCATGGGGACACACACAGCATGGGGACACACACAGCATGGGGACACACACAGCATGGGGACACACACAGCATGGGGACACACACAGCATGGGGACACACACAGCATGGGGACACACACAGCATGGGGACACACACAGCATGGGGACACACACAGCATGGGGACACACACAGCATGGGGACACACACAGCATGGGGACACACACAGCATGGGGACACACACAGCATGGGGACACACACAGCATGGGGACACACACAGCATGGGGACACAGCATGGGGACACAGCATGGGGACACACACAGCATGGGGACACACACAGCATGGGGACACACACAGCATGGGGACACAGCATGGGGACACACACAGCATGGGGACACAGCATGGGGACACACACAGCATGGGGACACACACAGCATGGGGACACACACAGCATGGGGACACACACAGCATGGGGACACACACAGCATGGGGACACACACAGCATGGGGACACAGCATGGGGACACACACAGCATGGGGACACACACAGCATGGGGACACACACAGCATGGGGACACACACAGCATGGGGACACACACAGCATGGGGACACACACAGCATGGGGACACACACAGCATGGGGACACACACAGCATGGGGACACAGCATGGGGACACACACAGCATGGGGACACACACAGCATGGGGACACACACAGCATGGGGACACACACAGCATGGGGACACACACAGCATGGGGACACAGCATGGGGACACACACAGCATGGGGACACACACAGCATGGGGACACACACAGCATGGGTACACAGCATGGGGACACACACAGCATGGGGACACACACAGCATGGGGACACAGCATGGGGACACACACAGCATGGGGACACACACAGCATGGGGACACACACAGCATGGGGACACACACAGCATGGGGACACACACAGCATGGGGACACACACAGCATGGGGACACACACAGCATGGGGACACACACAGCATGGGGACACAGCTTGGGGACACACACAGCATGGGGACACACACAGCATGGGGACACACACAACATGGGGACACACACAGCATGGGGACACACACAGCATGGGGACACACACAGCATGGGGGGACACACAGCATGGGGACACAGCATGGGGACACAGCATGGGGACACACACAGCATGGGGACACACACAGCATGGGGACACACACAGCATGGGGACACACACAGCATGGGGACACACACAGCATGGGGACACACACAGCATGGGGACACACACAGCATGGGGACACACACAGCATGGGGACACACACAACATGGGGACACACACAGCATGGGGACACAGCATGGGGACACACACAGCATGGGGACACACACAGCATGGGGACACACACAGCATGGGGACACAGCATGGGGACACACACAGCATGGGGACACACACAGCATGGGGACACACACAGCATGGGGACACACACAGCATGGGGACACAGCATGGGGACACAGCATGGGGACACACACAACATGGGGACACACACAGCATGGGGACACACACAGCATGGGGACACACACAGCATGGGGACACACACAGCATGGGGACACACACAGCATGGGGACACACACAGCATGGGGACACACAGCATGGGGACACACACAGCATGGGGACACACACAGCATGGGGACACACACAGCATGGGGACACACACAGCATGGGGACACACACAGCATGGGGACACAGACACAGCATGGGGACACACACAGCATGGGGACACACAGCATGGGGACACACACAGCATGGGGACACACACAGCATGGGGACACACACAGCATGGGGACACACACAGCATGGGGACACACACAGCATGGGGACACAGCATGGGGACACAGCATGGGGACACAGCATGGGGACACACACAGCATGGGGACACACACAGCATGGGGACACACACAACATGGGGACACACACAGCATGGGGACACACACAGCATGGGGACACACACAGCATGGGGACACAGCATGGGGACACACACAGCATGGGGACACACACATCATGGGGACACAGCATGGGGACACACACATCATGGGGACACACACAGCATGGGGACACAGCATGGGGACACAGCATGGGGACACACACAGCATGGGGACACACACAGCATGGGGACACACACAGCATGGGGACACAGCATGGGGACACACAACATGGGGACACACACAGCATGGGGACACAGCATGGGGACACACACAGCATGGGGACACACACAGCATGGGGACACACACAGCATGGGGACACACACAGCATGGGGACACAGCATGGGGACACACACATCATGGGGACACACACATCATGGGGACACACACAGCATGGGGACACACACAGCATGGGGACATACACAGCATGGGGACACACACAGCATGGGGACACACACAGCATGGGGACACACACAGCATGGGGACACACACAGCATGGGGACACACACAGCATGGGGACACACACAGCATGGGGACACACACAGCATGGGGACACAGCATGGGGACACACACAGCATGGGGACACACACAGCATGGGGACACACACAGCATGGGGACACAGCATGGGGACACAGCATGGGGACACAGCATGGGGACACACACAGCATGGGGACACAGCATGGGGACACAGCATGGGGACACAGCATGGGGACACACACAGCATGGGGACACAGCATGGGGACACACACAGCATGGGGACACACACAACATGGGGACACACACAGCATGGGGACACAGCATGGGGACACACACAGCATGGGGACACACACAGCATGGGGACACACACAGCATGGGGACACACACAGCATGGGGACACACACAACATGGGGACACAGCATGGGGACACAGCATGGGGACACACACAGCATGGGGACACACACAGCATGGGGACACACACAGCATGGGGACACACACAGCATGGGGACACACACAGCATGGGGACACACACAGCATGGGGACACAGCATGGGGACACACACAGCATGGGGACACACACAGCATGGGGACACAGCATGGGGACACAGCATGGGGACACAGCATGGGGACACAGCATGGGGACACAGCATGGGGACACAGCATGGGGACACAGCATGGGGACACAGCATGGGGACACACACAGCATGGGGACACACACAGCATGGGGACACACACAGCATGGGGACACACACAGCATGGGGACACACACAGCATGGGGACACACACAGCATGGGGCACACACAGCATGGGGACACACACAGCATGGGGACACAGCATGGGGACACACACAGCATGGGGACACACACAGCATGGGGACACACACAGCATGGGGACACACACAGCATGGGGACACACACAGCATGGGGACACACACAGCATGGGGACACACACAGCATGGGGACACACACAGCATGGGGACACAGCATGGGGACACACACAGCATGGGGACACACACAGCATGGGGACACACACAGCATGGGGACACAGCATGGGGACACAGCATGGGGACACACACAGCATGGGGACACAGCATGGGGACACAGCATGGGGACACACACAGCATGGGGACACACACAGCATGGGGACACACACATCATGGGGACACACACAGCATGGGGACACACACAGCATGGGGACACAGCATGGGGACACACACAGCATGGGACACTGCAGATTTACTTAGAGAACAGTTTTTATCTGCTGTTGATATGTATATGACCTTTGCTAGATGTTGAGAGAGAACTGACCTTAGATGTTGAGAGAGAACTGACCTTAGATGTTGAGAGAGAACTGACCTTAGATGTTAAGAGAGAACTGACCTTAGATGTTGAGAGAGAACTGACCTTAGATGTTGAGAGAGAACTGACCTTAGATGTTGAGAGAGAACTGACCTTAGATGTTGAGAGAGAACTGACCTTAGATGTTGAGAGAGAACTGACCTTTGTTCCTTGAGTTGTCCTAAGCGGGTCACTGTCAGCTATGACACGCACCTGGGGTGAAAGTACACAAGATGTTAGGGATAACATTTGACCCTGTGGTATAAAGTGGGGTGGAAGTACACAAGATGTTAGGGATAACCTTTGACCCTGTGGTATAAAGTGGGGTGGAAGTACACAAGATGATAGGGATAACCTTTGACCCTGTGGTATAAAGTGGGGTGGAAGTACACAAGATGTTAGGGATAACCTTTGACCCTGTGGTATAAAGTGGGGTGGAAGTACACAAGATGTTAGGGATAACCTTTGACCCTGTGGTATAAAGTGGGGTGGAAGTACACAAGATGTTAGGGATAACCTTTGACCCTGTGGTATAAAGTGGGGTGGAAGTACACAAGATGTTAGGGGTAACCTTTGACCCTGTGGTATAAAGTGGGGTGGAAGTACACAAGATGTTAGGGGTAACCTTTGACCCTGTGGTATAAAGTGGGGTGGAAGTACACAAGATGTTAGGGATAACCTTTGACCCTGTGGTATAAAGTGGGGTGGAAGTACACAAGATGATAGGGATAACCTTTGACCCTGTGGTATAAAGTGGGGTGGAAGTACACAAGATGATAGGGATAACCTTTGACCCTGTGGTATAAAGTGGGGTGGAAGTACACAAGATGATAGGGATAACCTTTGACCCTGTGGTATAAAGTGGGGTGGAAGTACACAAGATGTTAGGGATAACCTTTGACCCTGTGGTATAAAGTGGGGTGGAAGTACACAAGATGTTAGGGATAACCTTTGACCCTGTGGTATAAAGTGGGGTGGAAGTACACAAGATGTTAGGGATAACCTTTGACCCTGTGGTATAAACTTAGACAAGTTGTGTCTTAAGGCACAATGTCAGGCTCAAGCCTTGGAGATCTATTGTCCGCAAATTCTAATTCTCTCTGGGTCTCACCTTTCACACCTGACAAAGTCAAGGATTCTCACCTGACAAATTTAATGATTCTCACCTGACAAATTCAATGATTCTCATCTGACAAATTCAATGATTCTCACCTGACAAATTTAATGATTCTCACCTGACAAATTCAATGATTCTCATCTGACAAATTCAATGATTCTCATCTGACAAATTCAATGATTCTCATCTGACAAATTCAATGATTCTCATCTGACAAATTCAATGATTCTCATCTGACAAATTCAATGATTCTCACCTGACAAATTCAATGATTGTCACCTGACAAACACAATGATTCTCATCTGACAAATTCAATGATTCTCACCTGACAAACTCAATGATTCTCACCTGACAAATTCAATGATTCTCACCTGACAAATTCAATGATTCTCACCTGACAAATTCAATGATTCTCATCTGACAAATTCAATGATTCTCACCTGACAAACTCAATGATTCTCATCTGACAAATTCAATGATTCTCATCTGACAAATTCAATGATTCTCACCTGACAAACTCAATGATTCTCACCTGACAAATTCAATGATTCTCACCTGAGCCCTCAATGATTCTCACCTGAGCCCTCAATGATTCTCACCTGACAAATTCAATGATTCTCACCTGACAAATTCAATGATTCTCACCTGACAAATTCAATGATTCTCACCTGAGCCCTCAATGAATCTCACCTGAGCCCTCAATGAATCTCACCTGAGCCCTCAATGAATCTCACCTGAGCCCTCAATGAATCTCACCTGAGCCCTCAATGCTTCCAGCCTTGCCTCCATTTCCTCAGCCTCTTGTGCCTTTTCTTCTTCTTTCTTTTTTCTTTCATCAATTTTTCTTGAGATTTGTTCCTCCCTGTTGACCACATGTGGGGGATAATGTGGGGGATGTATGACCAAATGTGGGGGATATATGACCAAATGTGGGGGATGTATGACCAAATGTGGGGGATAATGTGGGGGATGTATGACCACATGTGGGGGATAATGTGGGGGCTGTATGACCAAATGTGGGGTATGTATGACCAAATGTGGGGTATGTATGACCAAATGTGGGGGCTGTATGACCAAATGTGGGGTATGTATGACCAAATTCTACTCTCCCTAGCTACCAGCCACTGACCAGCACTTACTCTCCCTAGCTACCAGCCACTGACCAGCACTTAATTCTACTCTCCCTAGCTACCAGCCACTGACCAGCACTTAATTCTACTCTCCCTAGCTACCAGCCACTGACCAGCACTTAATTCTACTCTCCCTAGCTACCAGCCACTGACCAGCACTTAATTCTACTCTCCCTAGCTACCAGCCACTGACCAGCACTTAATTCTACTCTCCCTTGCTACCAGCTACTGACCAGCACTTAATTCTACTCTCCCTAGCTACCAGCCACTGACCAGCACTTAATTCTACTCTCCCTAGCTACCAGCCACTGACCAGCACTTAATTCTACTCTCCCTAGCTACCAGCCACTGACCAGCACTTAATTCTACTCTCCCTTGCTACCAGCTACTGACCAGCACTTAATTCTACTCTCCCTAGCTACCAGCTACTGACCAGCACTTAATTCTACTCTCCCTAGCTACCAGCCACTGACCAGCACTTAATTCTACTCTCCCTAGCTACCAGCCACTGACCAGCACTTACTCTCCCTAGCTACCAGCCACTGACCAGCACTTAATTCTACTCTCCCTAGCTACCAGCCACTGACCAGCACTTACTCTCCCTAGCTACCAGCCACTGACCAGCACTTACTCTCCCTAGCTACCAGCCACTGACCAGCACTTAATTCTACTCTCCCTAGCTACCAGCCACTGACCAGCACTTACTCTCCCTAGCTACCAGCCACTGACCAGCACTTAATTCTACTCTCCCTAGCTACCAGCCACTGACCAGCACTTACTCTCCCTAGCTACCAGCCACTGACCAGCACTTACTCTCCCTAGCTACCAGCCACTGACCAGCACTTAATTCTACTCTCCCTAGCTACCAGCCACTGACCAGCACTTACTCTCCCTAGCTACCAGCCACTGACCAGCACTTACTCTCCCTAGCTACCAGCCACTGACCAGCACTTAATTCTACTCTCCCTAGCTACCAGCCACTGACCAGCACTTAATTCTACTCTCCCTAGCTACCAGCCACTGACCAGCACTTAATTCTACTCTCCCTAGCTACCAGCCACTGACCAGCACTTAATTCTACTCTCCCTAGCTACCAGCCACTGACCAGCACTTAATTCTACTCTCCCTAGCTACTAGCCACTGACCAGCACTTAATTCTACTCTCCCTAGCTACCAGCCACTGACCAGCACTTAATTCTACTCTCCCTAGCTACCAGCCACTGACCAGCACTTAATTCTACTCTCCCTAGCTACCAGCCACTGACCAGCACTTAATTCTACTCTCCCTAGCTACCAGCCACTGACCAGCACTTAATTCTACTCTCCCTAGCTACCAGCCACTGACCAGCACTTAATTCTACTCTCCCTAGCTACCAGCCACTGACCAGCACTTAATTCTACTCTCCCTAGCTACCAGCCACTGACCAGCACTTACTCTCCCTAGCTACCAGCCACTGACCAGCACTTAATTCTACTCTCCCTAGCTACCAGCCACTGACCAGCACTTACTCTCCCTAGCTACCAGCCACTGACCAGCACTTAATTCTACTCTCCCTAGCTACCAGCCACTGACCAGCACTTACTCTCCCTAGCTACCAGCCACTGACCAGCACTTAATTCTACTCTCCCTAGCTACCAGCCACTGACCAGCACTTAATTCTACTCTCCCTAGCTACCAGCCACTGACCAGCACTTACTCTCCCTAGCTACCAGCCACTGACCAGCACTTAATTCTACTCTCCCTAGCTACCAGCCACTGACCAGCACTTACTCTCCCTAGCTACCAGCCACTGACCAGCACTTAATTCTACTCTCCCTAGCTACCAGCCACTGACCAGCACTTAATTCTACTCTCCCTAGCTACCAGCCACTGACCAGCACTTAATTCTACTCTCCCTAGCTACCTGCCACTGACCAGCACTTAATTCTACTCTCCCTAGCTACCAGCCACTGACCAGCACTTAATTCTACTCTCCCTAGCTACCAGCCACTGACCAGCACTTAATTCTACTCTCCCTAGCTACCAGCCACTGACCAGCACTTAATTCTACTCTCCCTAGCTACCAGCCACTGACCAGCACTTAATTCTACTCTCCCTAGCTACCAGCCACTGACCAGCACTTACTCTCCCTAGCTACCAGCCACTGACCAGCACTTAATTCTACTCTCCCTAGCTACCAGCCACTGACCAGCACTTAATTCTACTCTCCCTAGCTACCAGCCACTGACCAGCACTTACTCTCCCTAGCTACCAGCCACTGACCAGCACTTAATTCTACTCTCCCTAGCTACCAGCCACTGACCAGCACTTAATTCTACTCTCCCTAGCTACCAGCCACTGACCAGCACTTACTCTCCCTAGCTACCAGCCACTGACCAGCACTTAATTCTACTCTCCCTAGCTACCAGCCACTGACCAGCACTTACTCTCCCTAGCTACCAGCCACTGACCAGCACTTACTCTCCCTAGCTACCAGCCACTGACCAGCACTTAATTCTACTCTCCCTAGCTACCAGCCACTGACCAGCACTTAATTCTACTCTCCCTAGCTACCAGCCACTGACCAGCACTTAATTCTACTCTCCCTAGCTACCAGCCACTGACCAGCACTTAATTCTACTCTCCCTAGCTACCAGCCACTGACCAGCACTTACTCTCCCTAGCTACCAGCCACTGACCAGCACTTACTCTCCCTAGCTACCAGCCACTGACCAGCACTTAATTCTACTCTCCCTAGCTACCAGCCACTGACCAGCACTTACTCTCCCTAGCTACCAGCCACTGACCAGCACTTAATTCTACTCTCCCTAGCTACCAGCCACTGACCAGCACTTACTCTCCCTAGCTACCAGCCACTGACCAGCACTTACTCTCCCTAGCTACCAGCCACTGACCAGCACTTAATTCTACTCTCCCTAGCTACCAGCCACTGACCAGCACTTACTCTCCCTAGCTACCAGCCACTGACCAGCACTTACTCTCCCTAGCTACCAGCCACTGACCAGCACTTAATTCTACTCTCCCTAGCTACCAGCCACTGACCAGCACTTAATTCTACTCTCCCTAGCTACCAGCCACTGACCAGCACTTAATTCTACTCTCCCTAGCTACCAGCCACTGACCAGCACTTAATTCTACTCTCCCTAGCTACCAGCCACTGACCAGCACTTAATTCTACTCTCCCTAGCTACTAGCCACTGACCAGCACTTAATTCTACTCTCCCTAGCTACCAGCCACTGACCAGCACTTAATTCTACTCTCCCTAGCTACCAGCCACTGACCAGCACTTAATTCTACTCTCCCTAGCTACCAGCCACTGACCAGCACTTAATTCTACTCTCCCTAGCTACCAGCCACTGACCAGCACTTAATTCTACTCTCCCTAGCTACCAGCCACTGACCAGCACTTAATTCTACTCTCCCTAGCTACCAGCCACTGACCAGCACTTAATTCTACTCTCCCTAGCTACCAGCCACTGACCAGCACTTACTCTCCCTAGCTACCAGCCACTGACCAGCACTTAATTCTACTCTCCCTAGCTACCAGCCACTGACCAGCACTTACTCTCCCTAGCTACCAGCCACTGACCAGCACTTAATTCTACTCTCCCTAGCTACCAGCCACTGACCAGCACTTACTCTCCCTAGCTACCAGCCACTGACCAGCACTTAATTCTACTCTCCCTAGCTACCAGCCACTGACCAGCACTTAATTCTACTCTCCCTAGCTACCAGCCACTGATCAGCACTTACTCTCCCTAGCTACCAGCCACTGACCAGCACTTAATTCTACTCTCCCTAGCTACCAGCCACTGACCAGCACTTACTCTCCCTAGCTACCAGCCACTGACCAGCACTTAATTCTACTCTCCCTAGCTACCAGCCACTGACCAGCACTTAATTCTACTCTCCCTAGCTACCAGCCACTGACCAGCACTTAATTCTACTCTCCCTAGCTACCTGCCACTGACCAGCACTTAATTCTACTCTCCCTAGCTACCAGCCACTGACCAGCACTTAATTCTACTCTCCCTAGCTACCAGCCACTGACCAGCACTTAATTCTACTCTCCCTAGCTACCAGCCACTGACCAGCACTTAATTCTACTCTCCCTAGCTACCAGCCACTGACCAGCACTTAATTCTACTCTCCCTAGCTACCAGCCACTGACCAGCACTTACTCTCCCTAGCTACCAGCCACTGACCAGCACTTAATTCTACTCTCCCTAGCTACCAGCCACTGACCAGCACTTAATTCTACTCTCCCTAGCTACCAGCCACTGACCAGCACTTACTCTCCCTAGCTACCAGCCACTGACCAGCACTTAATTCTACTCTCCCTAGCTACCAGCCACTGACCAGCACTTAATTCTACTCTCCCTAGCTACCAGCCACTGACCAGCACTTACTCTCCCTAGCTACCAGCCACTGACCAGCACTTAATTCTACTCTCCCTAGCTACCAGCCACTGACCAGCACTTACTCTCCCTAGCTACCAGCCACTGACCAGCACTTACTCTCCCTAGCTACCAGCCACTGACCAGCACTTAATTCTACTCTCCCTAGCTACCAGCCACTGACCAGCACTTAATTCTACTCTCCCTAGCTACCAGCCACTGACCAGCACTTAATTCTACTCTCCCTAGCTACCAGCCACTGACCAGCACTTAATTCTACTCTCCCTAGCTACCAGCCACTGACCAGCACTTAATTCTACTCTCCCTAGCTACTAGCCACTGACCAGCACTTAATTCTACTCTCCCTAGCTACCAGCCACTGACCAGCACTTAATTCTACTCTCCCTAGCTACCAGCCACTGACCAGCACTTAATTCTACTCTCCCTAGCTACCAGCCACTGACCAGCACTTAATTCTACTCTCCCTAGCTACCAGCCACTGACCAGCACTTAATTCTACTCTCCCTAGCTACCAGCCACTGACCAGCACTTAATTCTACTCTCCCTAGCTACCAGCCACTGACCAGCACTTAATTCTACTCTCCCTAGCTACCAGCCACTGACCAGCACTTACTCTCCCTAGCTACCAGCCACTGACCAGCACTTAATTCTACTCTCCCTAGCTACCAGCCACTGACCAGCACTTACTCTCCCTAGCTACCAGCCACTGACCAGCACTTAATTCTACTCTCCCTAGCTACCAGCCACTGACCAGCACTTACTCTCCCTAGCTACCAGCCACTGACCAGCACTTAATTCTACTCTCCCTAGCTACCAGCCACTGACCAGCACTTAATTCTACTCTCCCTAGCTACCAGCCACTGATCAGCACTTACTCTCCCTAGCTACCAGCCACTGACCAGCACTTAATTCTACTCTCCCTAGCTACCAGCCACTGACCAGCACTTACTCTCCCTAGCTACCAGCCACTGACCAGCACTTAATTCTACTCTCCCTAGCTACCAGCCACTGACCAGCACTTAATTCTACTCTCCCTAGCTACCAGCCACTGACCAGCACTTAATTCTACTCTCCCTAGCTACCTGCCACTGACCAGCACTTAATTCTACTCTCCCTAGCTACCAGCCACTGACCAGCACTTAATTCTACTCTCCCTAGCTACCAGCCACTGACCAGCACTTAATTCTACTCTCCCTAGCTACCAGCCACTGACCAGCACTTAATTCTACTCTCCCTAGCTACCAGCCACTGACCAGCACTTAATTCTACTCTCCCTAGCTACCAGCCACTGACCAGCACTTACTCTCCCTAGCTACCAGCCACTGACCAGCACTTAATTCTACTCTCCCTAGCTACCAGCCACTGACCAGCACTTAATTCTACTCTCCCTAGCTACCAGCCACTGACCAGCACTTACTCTCCCTAGCTACCAGCCACTGACCAGCACTTAATTCTACTCTCCCTAGCTACCAGCCACTGACCAGCACTTAATTCTACTCTCCCTAGCTACCAGCCACTGACCAGCACTTACTCTCCCTAGCTACCAGCCACTGACCAGCACTTAATTCTACTCTCCCTAGCTACCAGCCACTGACCAGCACTTACTCTCCCTAGCTACCAGCCACTGACCAGCACTTACTCTCCCTAGCTACCAGCCACTGACCAGCACTTAATTCTACTCTCCCTAGCTACCAGCCACTGACCAGCACTTAATTCTACTCTCCCTAGCTACCAGCCACTGACCAGCACTTAATTCTACTCTCCCTAGCTACCAGCCACTGACCAGCACTTAATTCTACTCTCCCTAGCTACCAGCCACTGACCAGCACTTACTCTCCCTAGCTACCAGCCACTGACCAGCACTTAATTCTACTCTCCTTAGCTACCAGCCACTGACCAGCACTTACTCTCCCTAGCTACCAGCCACTGACCAGCACTTAATTTGACTCTCCCTAGCTACCAGCCACTGACCAGCACTTAATTCTACTCTCCCTAGCTACCAGCCACTGACCAGCACTTACTCTCCCTAGCTACCAGCCACTGACCAGCACTTACTCTCCCTAGCTACCAGCCACTGACCAGCACTTAATTCTACTCTCCCTAGCTACCAGCCACTGACCAGCACTTAATTCTACTCTCCCTAGCTACCAGCCACTGACCAGCACTTAATTCTACTCTCCCTAGCTACCAGCCACTGACCAGCACTTAATTCTACTCTCCCTAGCTACCAGCCACTGACCAGCACTTAATTCTACTCTCCCTAGCTACCAGCCACTGACCAGCACTTAATTCTACTCTCCCTAGCTACTAGCCACTGACCAGCACTTAATTCTACTCTCCCTAGCTACCAGCCACTGACCAGCACTTACTCTCCCTAGCTACCAGCCACTGACCAGCACTTAATTTGACTCTCCCTAGCTACCAGCCACTGACCAGCACTTAATTCTACTCTCCCTAGCTACCAGCCACTGACCAGCACTTAATTCTACTCTCCCTAGCTACCAGCCACTGACCAGCACTTAATTCTACTCTCCCTAGCTACCAGCCACTGACCAGCACTTACTCTCCCTAGCTACCAGCCACTGACCAGCACTTAATTCTACTCTCCCTAGCTACCAGCCACTGACCAGCACTTAATTCTACTCTCCCTAGCTACCAGCCACTGACCAGCACTTAATTCTACTCTCCCTAGCTACCTGCCACTGACCAGCACTTAATTCTACTCTCCCTAGCTACCAGCCACTGACCAGCACTTAATTCTACTCTCCCTAGCTACCAGCCACTGACCAGCACTTAATTCTACTCTCCCTAGCTACCAGCCACTGACCAGCACTTAATTCTACTCTCCCTAGCTACCAGCCACTGACCAGCACTTAATTCTACTCTCCCTAGCTACCAGCCACTGACCAGCACTTACTCTCCCTAGCTACCAGCCACTGACCAGCACTTAATTCTACTCTCCCTAGCTACCAGCCACTGACCAGCACTTAATTCTACTCTCCCTAGCTACCAGCCACTGACCAGCACTTACTCTCCCTAGCTACCAGCCACTGACCAGCACTTAATTCTACTCTCCCTAGCTACCAGCCACTGACCAGCACTTAATTCTACTCTCCCTAGCTACCAGCCACTGACCAGCACTTACTCTCCCTAGCTACCAGCCACTGACCAGCACTTAATTCTACTCTCCCTAGCTACCAGCCACTGACCAGCACTTACTCTCCCTAGCTACCAGCCACTGACCAGCACTTACTCTCCCTAGCTACCAGCCACTGACCAGCACTTAATTCTACTCTCCCTAGCTACCAGCCACTGACCAGCACTTAATTCTACTCTCCCTAGCTACCAGCCACTGACCAGCACTTAATTCTACTCTCCCTAGCTACCAGCCACTGACCAGCACTTAATTCTACTCTCCCTAGCTACCAGCCACTGACCAGCACTTACTCTCCCTAGCTACCAGCCACTGACCAGCACTTAATTCTACTCTCCTTAGCTACCAGCCACTGACCAGCACTTACTCTCCCTAGCTACCAGCCACTGACCAGCACTTAATTTGACTCTCCCTAGCTACCAGCCACTGACCAGCACTTAATTCTACTCTCCCTAGCTACCAGCCACTGACCAGCACTTACTCTCCCTAGCTACCAGCCACTGACCAGCACTTACTCTCCCTAGCTACCAGCCACTGACCAGCACTTAATTCTACTCTCCCTAGCTACCAGCCACTGACCAGCACTTAATTCTACTCTCCCTAGCTACCAGCCACTGACCAGCACTTAATTCTACTCTCCCTAGCTACCAGCCACTGACCAGCACTTAATTCTACTCTCCCTAGCTACCAGCCACTGACCAGCACTTAATTCTACTCTCCCTAGCTACCAGCCACTGACCAGCACTTAATTCTACTCTCCCTAGCTACTAGCCACTGACCAGCACTTAATTCTACTCTCCCTAGCTACCAGCCACTGACCAGCACTTACTCTCCCTAGCTACCAGCCACTGACCAGCACTTAATTTGACTCTCCCTAGCTACCAGCCACTGACCAGCACTTAATTCTACTCTCCCTAGCTACCAGCCACTGACCAGCACTTAATTCTACTCTCCCTAGCTACCAGCCACTGACCAGCACTTAATTCTACTATCCCTAGCTATCAACCACTGACCTGAACTTAATGCGATCTCTATCAAAAGCTGCCTGTTTCTCCATCAATTCCTTCAGTTCCTTCAACCTTCTCTTCGTAGCCTCTTCCATTTCTAAACGTTTTTTTTCTTTGATCATGTTGTATTGTCCAATCTGTTCAAATCAACGTCATAGGATTTTAATTTTTTTAATACTTGAGGCTGTTCAATATTTGAAGAGAGATTAAATAATGAGTATTTGGAAGTGGATTTCTCACTATATAGAGGTGGATTATTTCTTAGAAAAACCCACTAAACAATAATAAAATATAACCAAACTAAAGAAAGATATGAAAAAAAATATCAATAAAAATAAATAAATAAATAAAGCTACCAAACAGAAATTAGACACCAAAAAAAATAAATAAATAAATAAACATCACCCCATAACAAAATATATAACTCATCCAATAAAAACCTGGAGTGATCTCCCCTAAAATTTCTTGAATATTCTTATATAAATTGGAATATAGACATGATTTTCAATTTACTTAAACTTTTAAAAATAGAATAGAATCTCATAGAAAAAAGAATTGCGCACCAAGCGAACGCCTAAACAAAATGTGCATAATAGTGCCCAATATTATTAGTACTTAATAAATTTACATGCGTTTTTTGAGAAATCGGAAATAGCGTAAATTAGAACTTCCGGTCAACGGAAATTACTCAAAATTTGAAAGAGGGTAGAAAATTAGATCTTTTACTTACATGTGAAATTTCATTTATCTATCTAAAATAGTACTCAAGTTATAGGCTTTTGAAAAATTCAAAGTAGAAAAAGTACCACTTCCGGCTATCGGAAATCGCACAAAAGTTGATACGGATCTACGATTTTGGTAAAATACTTATATATGAAATTTCATCAACCTAGCTGTAACGGTACTCAAGTTATTGTGTTTACACACAGACAGACAGACACACACACACACACACAGACATATGGACAAGATTGCAAAATTATGTTTTTCCATATCAGTGAGGTGTAAAACGTCGAGATTTGTAAAAATCTCGATTTACTTTTTTTGCACGATTACAAGACTTTCTCTATACTACGTATATACGAGAAAGTAAAAAACTCATCCAATAAAAAACTCATCCAATAAAAAACTCATCTAATAAAAAACTCAGACAATAAAAAACTCAGACAATAAAAATCTCAGACAATTCCAAAACTGAAAGGAAATAGAACCAAATAAAATTGAACATAAACAAAAATAACTTTAAAAACCACAGTCTGTGATATAATCTCAAGATTGAAAACGGACTATAAACAACAAACAACAACAACGTATTTAGAGGCAGAGTTTTTTTCAGGCATCTCTTTGAGGGGGGCATAGTGCCACCAAATTCAGGTTGTAAGGGAGATAACACCCAACAACTTTTGTTTGAAATTATTTTTAAAATGTGTTCATCATTTTCATAATAGGGCCGGTAAGTAGGTCACCAACAAGTTCTATGGTTCATGCAGGTTTTATTGAGCCATAGAACTGGTTGGTGACCTACTTACCAGCCCAATTATTATAATTCATAACATGTTCTTGACTAAAAATAGGTTTTAATAACAAGCTTATATATAATCATGCACTTAAAAGGAGAAAATAAATGATTTTCCTTAAATCTATATATATAATCTATCAGCTACTGATAGTGTTTTAAAGCAAAATATTTTCAGTTGCAGCATTGGTAGTGTTGAATTCACAAATTATGAATTACTGAAAAGTAGAAAAATAAAACAAATAAACAGCAGTGTATGCAAATGGTGTGGGTCAGCTCGTATATAATAATAGACTAGTATTTAAGTAACTCAAGAAAAGCACGGGTCATTATATTATTTCGTAATATTTAGGAAGAGAAATTTTGCTTGCAAGTTTTGACAGACAACAAAAGAATGAGGAATCAAGTTAGATAAAAGCTTGTAAAAAGGAATGTTTTCACTCAAAGAAAATATATCAATGGTGTCACTGCAGCATTTATTTATTAGAGCTATGGTCATGGTGCAAGTTTTTGGCCAGCGTCTATCTCATTATGTCCCAGTAAAATTAATTAATTTCTAAAAATATGACTCTGATTATCAGTTCTAAAGCCTATATATAGGCTTAATATAAAGCCTTAATATAGATTCTATTTAAATATCTGTTTAAATCACTATAATAGTTTTGCTATTCTGTCTGTCTGTCTGTCTTTCTGTCTGTTGGAAACACTTTAGAGACAACACAAGGAAATTTAAAAGATTCATAGTGAAAGACTGTGACATCACATAGAACATATAGGAAGTTTTCAAAACGTAATGAAATATGTCCAGTTCTAAAGCTAAAAAGTAAACAAAATAAAATGACGTTATTGATACCCCCCTACCACCCCCCGAAAGAAATATAATTTATATAGAAAATGTATAATTTATATAGAAAATGTATAATTTATATAGAAAATGTATAATTTATATAGAAAATGTATAATTTATATAGAAAATGTATAATTTATATAGAAAATGTATAATTTATATAGAAAATGTATAATTTATATAGAAAATGTATAATTTATATAGAAAATGTATAATTTATATAGAAAATGTTTAATTTATATAGAAAATATATACTTTAACCTGTGTCAGACGTCCTTCCCCAGGATAATTTTATCCATTCTTGGGGACTAAATTTTCCAAGGAGGGGGTTGGACACTGGTAAAGTATATATTTTCTATATAAATTGTATTTCATTGGAGGGGGCCTTAGATGTTCTTCAGGGGCTCGCTATTTACATTGTGAAATGCATTCTCTTGCTTTATACACAATAATAAACGCTAGACCCATGATGTGAAATAGTGGTCGCGTCAGGTCTTTAATTGCCTCATTAGGAGCAAATGTGTTGAGATCTGCTCCATGTGCTAGTCTTGTCAGGTCTGCCACTGACAGTGTCACATGTGCAGGTCAGTCGGTCAGTTTGGATGACTAAATATGTGCAGGTCAGTCTGTCAGTTTGGATGACTAAATATGTGAGGTCAGTCTGTCAGTTTGAATGACTAAACATGTGCAGGTCAGTCGGTCAGTTTAGAGGATGAGTGTTGCCATTTGGATAAATAAGTCTGTTGCATTGTACTTCCTTTCAGGTAAAGAAAATGTTTGAACCTTACAACTTCTTTTTCCTTGAGCCTTCTTTTTCTCTCTGCTTCTTGCTCTCTCAGCTCTCTCTCCTGAGCCTCTCTCCTCTGCTCTTCTTTCAACTTGGCCTCAAGCTGCAGCATCTCCAGCTTCTGCTCCCTCCACTCTTTTACCTGACAGGTACAAAATTAAACTCTTTCACCTGACACAGGTACAAAATTAAACTCTTTCACCTGACACAGGTACAAAATTAAACTCTTTCACCTGACAGGTACAAAATTAAACTCTTTCACCTGACACAGGTACAAAATTAAACTCTTTCACCTGACACAGGTACAAAATTAAACTCTTTCACCTGACAGGTACAAAATTAAACTCTTTCACCTGACAGGTACAAAATTAAACTCTTTCACCTGACACAGGTACAAAATTAAACTCTTTCACCTGACAGGTACAAAATTAAACTCACCTGACACAGGGTTGTACCACCCACTGCACTAAGTTGTACCACCCACCCACTACCCTAAGTTGTACCACCCACTGCCCTAAGTTGTACCACCCACTACACTAAGTTGTACCACCCACCCACTGCCCTAAGTTGTACCACCCACCCACTACCCTAAGTTGTACCACCCACCCACTGCCCTAAGTTGTACCACCCACTACCCTAAGTTGTACCACCCACCCACTGCCCTAAGTTGTACCACCCACTACCCTAACTTGTACCACCCACTGCACTAAGTTGTACCACCCACCCACTACCCTAAGTTGTACCACCCACTACACTAAGTTGTACCACCCACCCACTACACTAAGTTGTACCACCCACCCACTGCCCTAAGTTGTACCACCCACTACCCTAAGTTGTACCACCCACCCACTGCCCTAAGTTGTAACAACCACTACACTAAGTTGTACCACCCACTACACTAAGTTGTACCACCCACTACACTAAGTTGTACCACCCACTACCCTAAGTTGTACCACCCACTAGCCTAAGTTGTACCACCCACCCACTGCACTAAGTTGTACCACCCACTACACTAAGTTGTACCACCCACCCACTGCCCTAAGTTGTACCACCCACCCACTGCCCTAAGTTGTACCACCCACCCACTGCACTAAGTTGTACCACCCACTACACTAAGTTGTACCACCCACCCACTGCTCTAAGTTGTACCACCCACCCACTGCCCTAAGTTGTACCACCCACCCACTGCACTAAGTTGTACCACCCACTGCCCTAAGTTGTACCACCCACCCACTACCCTAAGTTGTACCACCCACTACACTAAGTTGTACCACCCACTGCCCTAAGTTGTACCACCCACCCACTGCCCTAAGTTGTACCACCCACCCACTGCACTAAGTTGTACCACCCACTACACTAAGTTGTACCACCCACTGCACTAAGTTGTACCACCCACCCACTACCCTAAGTTGTACCACCCACCCACTGCACTAAGTTGTACCACCCACTACACTAAGTTGTACCACCCACTGCACTAAGTTGTACCACCCACCCACTACCCTAAGTTGTACCACCCACCCACTACCCTAAGTTGTACCACCCACTACCCTAAGTTGTACCACCCACCCACTACCCTAAGTTGTACCACCCACCCACTACCCTAAGTTGTACCACCCACCCACTACCCTAAGTTGTACCACCCACCCACTGCCCTAAGTTGTACCACCCACCCACTACCCTAAGTTGTACCACCCACCCACTACCCTAAGTTGTACCACCCACTACCCTAAGTTGTACCACCCACCCACTACCCTAACTTGTACCACCCACTGCACTAAGTTGTACCACCCACTACCCTAAGTTGTACCACCCACCCACTACCCTAAGTTGTACCACCCACCCACTACCCTAAGTTGTACCACCCACCCACTGCCCTAAGTTGTACCACCCACTGCCCTAAATTGTACCACCCACCCACTGCCCTAAGTTGTACCACCCACTACCCTAAGTTGTACCACCCACTGCCCTAAGTTGTACCACCCACCCACTGCCCTAAGTTGTACCACCCACCCACTGCCCTAAGTTGTACCACCCACTGCCCTAAGTTGTACCACCCACCCACTACCCTAAGTTGTACCACCCACCCACTACCCTAAGTTGTACCACCCACTACCCTAAGTTGTACCACCCACCCACTACCCTAAGTTGTACCACCCACTACACTAAGTTGTACCACCCACTGCCCTAAGTTGTACCACCCACTGCCCTAAGTTGTACCACCCACTGCCCTAAGTTGTACCACCCACTACCTTAAGTTGTACCACCCACTAGCAGCCTCCTGTGGAACAACGACATGGGCTGTACTTACTCTCTCATACAAGACTTGGCACAGCTGTTTCTGCCGATGATAATATTCACATTTGACCTCCTCCAGCTCCTGCGCGATGGCTGCCTCAGAGAAAACCATCTGGGCTTTATGCAACAGCTCCCGTCTGTCCCTGGCCCAATCAGAACAAACGGCTTTCAGCCTCTCATGGTAATACTTGTAGTCCAGCCACCAGTCCTCATGGTCTGACTGAAAGCAAGGAGAACGTCAGTTTCAGTTTTTTATCAACTTCAGTTTGTGCAAGATTTTTAACAACTTTAGTTAGTGCAAGATTTTTACAACTTTAGTTAGTGCAAGATTTTTACAACTTTACTTACTGCAAGATATTTATCAACTTTAGTAAGTGCAAGATTTTTAACAACTTTAGTTACTGCAAGATTTTTACAACTTTAGTTAGTGCAAGATATTTATCAACTTTAGTTAGTGCAAGATTTTTAACAACTTTAGTTAGTGCAAGATATTTATCAACTTTAGTTAGTGCAAGATTTTTAACGACTTTAGTTAGTGCAATATTTTAACAAATTTAGCTAGTGCAAGATTTTATCAACTTTAGTTAGAGCAAGATTTTTATCAACTTTAGTTATTGCAAGATTTTTAACAACTTTAGTTAGTGCAAGATTTTTACAACTTTAGTTAGTGCAAGATATTTATCAACTTTAGATAGTGCAAGATTTTTAACAACTTTAGTTAGTGCAAGATTTTTACAACTTTAGTTAGTGCAAGATATTTATCAACTTTAGTTAGTGCAAGATTTTTAACAACTTTAGCTAGTGCAAGATTTTTATCAATTTTAGTTAGAGGTTGTGTAAGGTAACAGGTGAGGTGTGTGTGGGTTGTGTAAGGTAACAGGTGAGGTGTATGTGGGTTGTGTAACAGGTGAGGTGTGTGTGGGTTGTGTAAGGTAACAGGTGAGGTGTATGTGGGTTGTGTAACAGGTGAGGTGTGTGTGGGTTGTGTAACAGGTGAGGTGTGTGGGTTGTGTAAGGTGTGTGTGTGTTGTGTAAAGTAACAGGTGAGGTGTGTGTGGGGTGTGTAACAGGTGAGGTGTATGTGGGTTCTGTAACAGGTGAGGTGTGTGTGGGTTGTGTAACAGGTGAGGTGTGTGTGGGTTGTGTAACAGGTGAGGTGTGTGTGTGTTGTGTAAGGTAACAGGTGAGGTGTGTGTGGGTTGTATAAGGTAACAGGTGAGGTGTTTGTGGGTTGTGTAAGGTAACAGGTGAGGTATGTGGGTTGTGTAAGGTAACAGGTGAGGTGTATGTGGGTTGTGTAACAGGTGAGGTGTGTGTGGGTTGTGTGACAGGTGAGGTGTGTGGGTTGTGTAACAGGTGAGGAATGTGCGGGTTGTGTGACAGGTGAGGTGTATGTGGGTTGTGTAACAGGTGAGGTGTGTGTGTGTTGTGTAAAGTAACAGGTGAGGTGTATGTGGGTTGTGTAAGGTAACAGGTGAGGTGTATGTGGGTTGTGTAACAGGTGAGGTGTGTGTGTGTTGTGTAAAGTAACAGGTGAGGTGTATGTGGGTTGTGTAAGGTAACAGGTGAGGTGTGTGTGGGTTGTGTAACAGGTGAGGTGTGTGTGGGTTGTGTAAGGTAACAGGTGAGGTGTGTGTGGGTTGTGTAACAGGTGAGGTGTGTGTGGGTTGTGTGACAGGTGAGGAATGTGTGGGTTCTGTAACAGGTGAGGTGTGTGTGGGTTGTGTGACAGGTGAGGTGTGTGTGGGTTGTGTAAGGTAACAGGTGAGGTGTGTGTGGGTTGTGTAAGGTAACAGGTGAGGTGTGTGTGGGTTCTGTAACAGGTGAGGTGTGTGTGGGTTGTGTGACAGGTGAGGTGTGTGTGTGTTGTGTAAGGTAACAGGTGAGGTGTGTGTGGGTTGTGTAAGGTAACAGGTGAGGTGTGTGTGGGTTGTGTAAGGTAACAGGTGAGGTGTGTGTGGGTTCTGTAACAGGTGAGGTGTGTGTGGGTTGTGTAAGGTAACAGGTGAGGTGTGTGTGGGTTGTGTAAGGTAACAGGTGAGGTGTGTGTGGGTTGTGTAACAGGTGAGGTGTGTGTGTGTTGTGTAAGGTAACAGGTGAGGTGTGTGTGGGTTGTATAAGGTAACAGGTGAGGTGTTTGTGGGTTGTGTAAAGTAACAGGTGAGGTGTATGTGGGTTCTGTAACAGGTGAGGTGTGTGTGGGTTGTGTAAGGTAACAGGTGAGGTGTGTGTGGGTTGTGTAAGGTAACAGGTGAGGTGTGTGTGGGTTGTGTAAGGTAACAGGTGAGGTGTGTGTGGGTTGTGTAACAGGTGAGGTGTGTGTGGGTTGTGTAAGGTAACAGGTGAGGTGTGTGTGGGTTGTATAAGGTAACAGGTGAGGTGTTTGTGGGTTGTGTAAAGTAACAGGTGAGGTGTATGTGGGTTCTGTAACAGGTGAGGTGTGTGTGGGTTGTATAAGGTAACAGGTGAGGTGTGTGTGGGTTGTGTAAGGTAACAGGTGAGGTGTGTGTGGGTTGTGTAAGGTAACAGGTGAGGTGTGTGTGGGTTGTATAAGGTAACAGGTGAGGTGTGTGTGTTGTGTAAGGTAACAGGTGAGGTGTGTGTGGGTTGTGTAAGGTAACAGGTGAGGTGTGTGTGGGTTGTGTAAGGTAACAGGTGAGGTGTGTGTGGGTTGTGTAACAGGTGAGGTGTGTGTGTGTTGTGTAAGGTAACAGGTGAGGTGTGTGTGGGTTGTATAAGGTAACAGGTGAGGTGTTTGTGGGTTGTGTAAAGTAACAGGTGAGGTGTGTGTGGGTTGTGTAAGGTAACAGGTGAGGTGTGTGTGGGTTGTGTAAGGTAACAGGTGAGGTGTGTGTGGGTTGTGTAACAGGTGAGGTGTGTGTGTGTTGTGTAAGGTAACAGGTGAGGTGTGTGTGGGTTGTATAAGGTAACAGGTGAGGTGTTTGTGGGTTGTGTAAAGTAACAGGTGAGGTGTATGTGGGTTCTGTAACAGGTGAGGTGTGTGTGGGTTGTGTAAGGTAACAGGTGAGGTGTGTGTGGGTTGTGTAAGGTAACAGGTGAGGTGTGTGTGGGTTGTATAAGGTAACAGGTGAGGTGTGTGTGTTGTGTAAGGTAACAGGTGAGGTGTGTGTGGGTTGTGTAAGGTATCAGGTGAGGTGTGTGTGGGTTGTGTAAGGTAACAGGTGAGGTGTGTGTGGGTTATGTATTACCAAATTGGACCGTGACTTGTGAGGTAGATGTCGCCTTAGCCTACTGACTATTACCAAATTGGACCGTGACTTGTGAGGTAGATGTCGCCTTAGCCTACTATTACCAAATTGGACCGTGACTTGTGAGGTAGATGTCGCCTTAGCCTACTGACTATTACCAAATTGGACCGTGACTTGTGAGGTAGATGTCGCCTTAGCCTACTATTACCAAATTGGCCCATGACTTGTGAGGTAGATGTCGCCTTAGCCTACTGACTATTACCAAATTAGACCGTGACTTGTGAGGTAGATGTCGCCTTAGCCAACTGACTATTACCAAATTGGCCCATGACTTGTGAGGTAGATGTCGCCTTAGCCTACTGACTATTACCAAATTGGACCGTGACTTGTGAGGTAGATGTCGCCTTAGCCTACTATTACCAAATTGGCCCATGACTTGTGAGGTAGATGTCGCCTTAGCCTACTATTACCAAATTGGCCCATGACTTGTGAGGTAGATGTCGCCTTAGCCTACTGACTATTACCAAATTAGACCGTGACTTGTGAGGTAGATGTCGCCTTAGCCTACTGACTATTACCAAATTGGACCGTGACTTGTGAGGTAGATGTCGCCTTAGCCTACTATTACCAAATTGGCCCATGACTTGTGAGGTAGATGTCGCCTTAGCCTACTGACTATTACCAAATTAGACCGTGACTTGTGAGGTAGATGTCGCCTTAGCCTACTGACTATTACCAAATTAGACCGTGACTTGTGAGGTAGATGTCGCCTTAGCCTACTGACTATTACCAAATTGGACCGTGACTTGTGAGGTAGATGTCGCCTTAGCCTACTGACTATTACCAAATTGGACCGTGACTTGTGAGGTAGATGTCGCCTTAGCCTACTATTACCAAATTGGACCGTGACTTGTGAGGTAGATGTCGCCTTAGCCTACTGACTATTACCAAATTGGACCGTGACTTGTGAGGTAGATGTCGCCTTAGCCTACTATTACCAAATTGGACCGTGACTTGTGAGGTAGATGTCGCCTTAGCCTACTGACTATTACCAAATTGGACCGTGACTTGTGAGGTAGATGTCGCCTTAGCCTACTGACTATTACCAAATTGGACCGTGACTTGTGAGGTAGATGTCGCCTTAGCCTACTATTACCAAATTGGACCGTGACTTGTGAGGTAGATGTCGCCTTAGCCTGTCAAAGAGCAGCATCCGTCGGTTAGGGAGCTCCCTTGGATACTGGTCATGGACGGCAACAAACAGAAAATGTTCCTCAGGACTCCAGTACCCAGATGAGTCACAGCTAAAATATACAAGGAAAATGACTCTCAGGAACATTACTCTAAGGAACATGACTCTAAGGAACATGACTCTAAGGATCATGACTCTAAGGAACATGACTCTAAGGATCATGACTCTAATGAACATGACTCTAAGGAACATGACCCTAAGGAACATGACCCTAAGGAACATGACTCTAAGGAACATGACCCTAAGGAACATGACCCTAAGGAACATGACCCTAAGGAACATGACTCTAAGGAACATGACTCTCTGATCATGACTCTAAGGAACATGACTCTAAGGAACATGACCCTAAGGAACATGACCCTAAGGAACATGACCCTAAGGAACATGACTCTAAGGAACATGACTCTCTGATCATGACTCTAAGGAACATGACTAAGGAACATGACCCTAAGGAACATGACTAAGGAACATGACCCTAAGGAACATGACCCTAAGGAACATGACTCTAAGGAACATGACCCTAAGGAACATGACTCTAAGGAACTAGACTTAGTGTGGGGTAGGCCTGTAGGAAGGGCCATGCGAGAACCTTGTAGCTAAGGCATGCTTGTGTCCCAGCTCCTCTATTAAGCTCTGATACTTGTCATCAATGATTGTAAACTCCTGCAGGACGTTGGACTTGAGCAGCAGATCAGTGCACTCTAGCTCCAGGGCTTCCTGTGGGATACCTGGGCTGACCACACAGTGTTTTTCATGGGTGGGTGGACACAGCTCCATCAGGGATTCTAGAAGAAAAGGTAAAGTTTTTCATGGATGGGTAGACGCAGCTCCATCAGGGATTCTAGAAGAAAAGGTAAAGTTTTTCATGGGTGGGTGGACACAGCTCCATCAGGGATTCTAGAAGAAAAGGTAAAGTTTTTCATGGATGGGTGGACACAGCTCCATCAGGGATTCTAGAAGAAAAGGTAAAGTTTTTCATGGGTGGGTGGACACAGCTCCATCAGGGATTCTAGAAGAAAAGGTAAAGTTTTTATGGGTGGGTGGACACAGCTCCATCAGGGATTCTAGAAGAAAAGGTAAAGTTTTTCATGGGTGGGTGGACACAGCTCCATCAGGGATTCTAGAAGAAAAGGTAAAGTTTTTCATGGGTGGGTGGACACAGCTCCATCAGGGATTCTAGAAGAAAAGGTTAAGTTTTTCATGGGTGGGTGGACACAGCTCCATCAGGGATTCTAGAAGAAAAGGTAAAGTTTTTCATGGGTGGGTGGACACAGCTCCATCAGGGATTCTAGAAGAAAAGGTAAAGTTTTTCATGGGTGGGTGGACACAGCTCCATCAGGGATTCTAGAAGAAAAGGTAAAGTTTTTCATGGATGGGTGGACACAGCTCCATCTGGGATTCTAGAAGAAAAGGTAAAGTTTTTCATGGGTGGGTGGACACAGCTCCATCAGGGATTCTAGAAGAAAAGGTAAAGTTTTTCATGGATGGGTGGACACAGCTCCATCAGGGATTCTAGAAGAAAAGGTTAAGTTTTTCATGGGTGGGTGGACACAGCTCCATCAGGGATTCTAGAAGAAAAGGTAAAGTTTTTCATGGATGGGTGGACACAGCTCCATCAGGGATTCTAGAAGAAAAGGTAAAGTTTTTCATGGGTGGGTGGACACAGCTCCATCAGGGATTCTAGAAGAAAAGGTAAAGTTTTTCATGGATGGGTGGACACAGCTCCATCAGGGATTCTAGAAGAAAAGGTAAAGTTTTTCATGGGTGGGTGGACACAGCTCCATCAGGGATTCTAGAAGAAAAGGTAAAGTTTTTCATGGGTGGGTGGACACAGCTCCATCAGGGATTCTAGAAGAAAAGGTTAAGTTTTTCATGGGTGGGTGGACACAGCTCCATCAGGGATTCTAGAAGAAAAGGTAAAGTTTTTCATGGGTGGGTGGACACAGCTCCATCAGGGATTCTAGAAGAAAAGGTAAAGTTTTTCATGGATGGGTGGACACAGCTCCATCAGGGATTCTAGAAGAAAAGGTAAAGTTTTTCATGGATGGGTGGACACAGCTCCATCAGGGATTCTAGAAGAAAAGGTAAAGTTTTTCATGGATGGGTGGACACAGCTCCATCAGGGATTCTAGAAGAAAAGGTTAAGTTTTTCATGGGTGGGTGGACACAGCTCCATCAGGGATTCTAGAAGAAAAGGTAAAGTTTTTCATGGGTGGGTGGACACAGCTCCATCAGGGATTCTAGAAGAAAAGGTAAAGTTTTTCATGGGTGGGTGGACACAGCTCCATCAGGGATTCTAGAAGAAAAGGTAAAGTTTTTCATGGATGGGTGGACACAGCTCCATCAGGGATTCTAGAAGAAAAGGTAAAGTTTTTCATGGATGGGTGGACACAGCTCCATCTGGGATTCTAGAAGAAAAGGTAAAGTTTTTATGGGTGGGTGAACACAGCTCCATCAGGGATTCTAGAAGAAAAGGTAAAGTTTTTCATGGGTGGGTGGACACAGCTCCATCAGGGATTCTAGAAGAAAACATAAAAACTTATACCAGCCAGAGAAAAAGTTTCAGACTTTTCATAACTTGTCACAAATATATTTTATTCAGTTTTTAGAAAGATTATAAAGGGCTGGTAGAGATGATGGTAGCTAAACAAGATTAAACAGGTGTTTGTTTTGCCTGCAGTTTGTTTTGCCTGCAGTTTGTTTTGCCTGCAGTTTGTTTGACCTGTTGCCTGCAGTTTGTTTGACCTGTTGCCTGCAGTTTGTTTGACCTGCTGCCTGCAGTTTGTTTGACCTGCTGCCTGCAGTTTGTTTGACCTGTTGCCTGCAGTTTGTTTGACCTGTTGCCTGCAGTTTGTTTGACCTGCTGCCTGCAGTTTGTTTTGCCTGTTGCCTGCAGTGTATTTGGATAGACAAAGGCTATGGAAGCAAATCTACAAAGAAAAGCAGGCTGAAATGAGAGGCAACTGGCTCATAGTGCACAAAATGCTATGTAATACTTGATTGTGTTGTAGGAAATCTCACCCAAGTCCAACATCCCAATCAATTAGGGATGCAGAAGAAGACAAGCCTTTGATTACACTCTACCTGATTGTAATTCTGTCTCCAAGCAGTTCTGCTCAGTGGCCAGCTTGCCTAGAATGGCCTCCTGCTGAGACTTGACGTGGGCCACAGTGGACTGAATGGCCGCATGTTGCTCAATGACCTCTGGTGCTCCGTACTTGAGGTCCTCTCTCTTCTCAGCCAGCCAATACTTCAGGTCCTCCCTGCCCCAATCAACATGAGTTGCAGCAATCATACGGCTCATATGTAGACAATCATACAGGCTCATATGTAGACAATCATATGGACTCATTTGTAGACAATCATACGGCTCATATGTAGACAATAATACTGGTTCATATGTAGACAATCATACTGATTCATATGTAGACAGTCATACTGATTCATATGTAGACAATCATACTGATTCATATGTAGACAATCATACTGATTCATATGTAGACAATCATACTGATTCATATGTAAACAATCATACTGATTCATATGTAGACAATCATACTGATTCATATGTAGACAATCATACTGATTCATATGTAGACAATCATACTGATTCATATGTAGACAATCATACTGGTTCATATGTAGACAATCATACTGGTTCATATGTAGACAATCATACTGATTCATATGTAGACAATCATACTGATTCATATGTAGACAATCATACTGATTCATATGTAGACAATCATACTGATTCATATGTAGACAATCATACTGGTTCATATGTAGACAATCATACTGGTTCATATGTAGACAATCATACTGATTCATATGTAGACAATCATACTGATTCATATGTAGACAATCATACTGATTCATATGTAGACAATCATACTGGTTCATATGTAGACAATCATACTGATTCATTTGTAGACAATCATACTGATTCATATGTAGACAATCATACTGATTCATATGTAGACAATCATACTGATTCATATGTAAACAATCATACTGATTCATAGGTAGACAATCATACTGGTTCATATGTAGACAATCATACTGGTTCATATGTAGACAATCATACTGGTTCATATGTAGACAATCATACTGATTCATTTGTAGACAATCATACTGATTCATATGTAGACAATCATACTGATTCATATGTAGACAATCATACTGATTCATATGTAAACAATCATACTGATTCATAGGTAGACAATCATACTGGTTCATATGTAGACAATCATACTGGTTCATATGTAGACAATCATACTGGTTCATATGTTCCACACTGTCTCACCTCATGTTCCACACTGTCTCACCTCATGTTCCACACTGTCTCACCTCATGTTCCACACTGTCTCACCTCATGTTCCACACTGTCTCACCTCATGTTCCACACTGTCTCACCTCATGTTCCACACTGTCTCACCTCATGTTTCACACTGTCTCACCTCATGTTCCACACTGTCTCACCTCATGTTCCACACTGTCTCACCTCATGTTTCACACTGTCTCACCTCATGTTCCACACTGTCTCACCTCATGTTCCACACTGTCTCACCTCATGTTCCACACTGTCTCACCTCATGTTCCACACTGTCTCACCTCATGTTCCACACTGTCTCACCTCATGTTCCACACTGTCTCACCTCATGTTCCACACTGTCTCACCTCATGTTCCACACTCACCTCATGTTCCACACTGTCTCACCTCATGTTCCATACTGGCTCACCTCATGTTCCACACTGTCTCACCTCATGTTCCACACTGTCTCACCTCATGTTCCACACTGTCTCACCTCATGTTCCACACTGGCTCACCTCATGTTCCACACTGTCTCACCTCATGTTCCACACTGTCTCACCTCATGTTCCACACTCACCTCATGTTCCACACTGTCTCACCTCATGTTCCATACTGGCTCACCTCATGTTCCACACTGTCTCACCTCATGTTCCACACTGTCTCACCTCATGTTCCACACTGTCTCACCTCATGTTCCACACTGTCTCACCTCATGTTCCATACTGGCTCACCTCATGTTCCACACTGTCTCACCTCATGTTCCACACTGTCTCACCTCATGTTCCACACTGTCTCACCTCATGTTCCACACTGTCTCACCTCATGTTCCATACTGGCTCACCTCATGTTCCACACTGTCTCACCTCATGTTCCACACTGTCTCACCTCATGTTCCACACTGTCTCACCTCATGTTCCACACTGTCTCACCTCATGTTCCACACTGTCTCACCTCATGTTCCACACTGGCTCACCTCATGTTCCACACTCACCTCATGTTCCACACTGTCTCACCTCATGTTCCACACTGTCTCACCTCATGTTCCACACTGTCTCACCTCATGTTCCACACTGGCTCACCTCATGTTCCACACTCACCTCATGTTCCACACTGTCTCACCTCATGTTCCACACTGTCTCACCTCATGTTCCACACTGTCTCACCTCATGTTCCACACTGTCTCACCTCATGTTCCACACTCACCTCATGTTCCACACTGTCTCACCTCATGTTCCACACTGTCTCACATCATGTTCCACACTGTCTCACCTCATGTTCCACACTGTCTCACCTCATGTTCCACACTGTCTCACCTCATGTTCCACACTGTCTCACCTCATGTTCCACACTCACCTCATGTTCCACACTGTCTCACCTCATGTTCCACACTGTCTCACCTCATGTTCCACACTGTCTCACCTCATGTTCCACACTCACCTCATGTTCCACACTGTCTCACCTCATGTTCCACACTGTCTCACCTCATGTTCCACACTGGCTCACCTCATGTTCCACACTGTCTCACCTCATGTTCCACACTGTCTCACCTCATGTTCCACACTGTCTCACCTCATGTTCCACACTCACCTCATGTTCCACACTGTCTCACCTCATGTTCCACACTGTCTCACCTCATGTTCCACACTGTCTCACCTCATGTTCCACACTGTCTCACCTCATGTTCCACACTGTCTCACCTCATGTTCCACACTGTCTCACCTCATGTTCCACACTGTCTCACCTCATGTTCCACACTGTCTCACCTCATGTTCCACACTGTCTCACCTCATGTTCCACACTGTCTCACCTCATGTTCCACACTGTCTCACCTCATGTTCCACACTGTCTCACCTCATGTTCCACACTGTCTCACCTCATGTTCCACACTGTCTCACCTCATGTTCCACACTGTCTCACCTCATGTTCCACACTGTCTCACCTCATGTTCCACACTCACCTCATGTTCCACACTGTCTCACCTCATGTTCCACACTGTCTCACCTCATGTTCCACACTGTCTCACCTCATGTTCCACACTCACCTCATGTTCCACACTGTCTCACCTCATGTTCCACACTGTCTCACCTCATGTTCCACACTGTCTCACCTCATGTTCCACACTGTCTCAGCTCATGTTTCACACTGTCTCACCTCATGTTCCACACTCACCTCATGTTCCACACTGTCTCACCTCATGTTCCACACTGTCTCACCTCATGTTCCACACTGTCTCACCTCATGTTCCACACTGTCTCACCTCATGTTCCACACTGTCTCACCTCATGTTCCACACTGTCTCACCTCATGTTCCACACTGTCTCACCTCATGTTCCACACTCACCTCATGTTCCACACTGTCTCACCTCATGTTCCACACTCACCTCATGTTCCACACTGTCTCACCTCATGTTCCACACTGGCTCACCTCATGTTCCACACTCACCTCATGTTCCACACTGTCTCACCTCATGTTCCACACTGTCTCACCTCATGTTCCACACTGTCTCACCTCATGTTCCACACTGTCTCACCTCATGTTCCACACTGTCTCACCTCATGTTCCACACTGTCTCACCTCATGTTCCACACTGTCTCACCTCATGTTCCACACTGTCTCACCTCATGTTCCACACTCACCTCATGTTCCACACTGTCTCACCTCATGTTCCACACTGTCTCACCTCATGTTCCACACTGTCTCAGCTCATGTTCCACACTGTCTCACCTCATGTTCCACACTGTCTCACCTCATGTTCCACACTGTCTCACCTCATGTTCCACACTGTCTCACCTCATGTTCCACACTCACCTCATGTTCCACACTGTCTCACCTCATGTTCCACACTCACCTCATGTTCCACACTGTCTCACCTCATGTTCCACACTGGCTCACCTCATGTTCCACACTCACCTCATGTTCCACACTGTCTCACCTCATGTTCCACACTGTCTCACCTCATGTTCCACACTGTCTCACCTCATGTTCCACACTGTCTCACCTCATGTTCCACACTGTCTCACCTCATGTTCCACACTGTCTCACCTCATGTTCCACACTGTCTCACCTCATGTTCCACACTGTCTCACCTCATGTTCCACACTGTCTCAGCTCATGTTCCACACTGTCTCACCTCATGTTCCACACTGTCTCAGCTCATGTTCCACACTGTCTCACCTCATGTTCCACACTGTCTCACCTCATGTTCCACACTGTCTCACCTCATGTTCCACACTGTCTCACCTCATGTTCCACACTGTCTCACCTCATGTTCCACACTGTCTCACCTCATGTTCCACACTGTCTCACCTCATGTTCCACACTGTCTCACCTCATGTTCCACACTGTCTCACCTCATGTTCCACACTGTCTCACCTCATGTTCCACACTGTCTCACCTCATGTTCCACACTGTCTCACCTCATGTTCCACACTGTCTCACCTCATGTTCCACACTGTCTCACCTCATGTTCCACACTGTCTCACCTCATGTTCCACACTGTCTCACCTCATGTTCCACACTGTCTCACCTCATGTTCCACACTGTCTCACCTCGTGTTCCACACTGTCTCACCTCATGTTCCACACTGTCTCACCTCATGTTCCACACTGTCTCACCTCATGTTCCACACTGTCTCACCTCATGTTCCACACTGTCTCACCTCATGTTCCACACTCACCTCATGTTCCACACTGTCTCACCTCATGTTCCACACTGTCTCACCTCATGTTCCACACTGTCTCACCTCATGTTCCACACTGTCTCACCTCATGTTCCACACTGTCTCACCTCATGTTCCACACTGTCTCACCTCATGTTCCACACTGTCTCACCTCATGTTCCACACTCACCTCGTGTTCCACACTGTCTCACCTCATGTTCCACACTGTCTCACCTCATGTTCCACACTGTCTCACCTCATGTTCCACACTGTCTCACCTCATGTTCCACACTGTCTCACCTCATGTTCCACACTGTCTCACCTCATGTTCCACACTGTCTCACCTCATGTTCCATACTGGCTCACCTCATGTTCCACTCACCTCATGTTCCACACTGTCTCACCTCATGTTCCACACTGTCTCACCTCATGTTCCACACTGTCTCACCTCATGTTCCACACTGTCTCACCTCATGTTCCACACTGTCTCACCTCATGTTCCACACTGTCTCACCTCATGTTCCACACTGTCTCACCTCATGTTCCACACTGTCTCACCTCATGTTCCACACTGTCTCACCTCATGTTCCACACTGTCTCACCTCATGTTCCACACTGTCTCACCTCATGTTCCACACTGTCTCAGCTCATGTTCCACACTGTCTCACCTCATGTTCCACACTGTCTCAGCTCATGTTCCACACTGTCTCACCTCATGTTTCACACTGTCTCACCTCATGTTCCACACTCACCTCATGTTCCACACTGTCTCACCTCATGTTCCACACTGTCTCACCTCATGTTCCACACTGTCTCACCTCATGTTCCACAGTCTCACCTCATGTTCCACACTGTCTCACCTCATGTTCCACACTGTCTCACCTCATGTTCCACACTCACCTCATGTTCCACACTGTCTCACCTCATGTTCCACACTGTCTCACCTCATGTTCCACACTGTCTCACCTCATGTTCCACACTGTCTCACCTCATGTTCCACAGTCTCACCTCATGTTCCACACTGTCTCACCTCATGTTCCACACTGTCTCACCTCATGTTCCACACTGTCTCACCTCATGTTCCACACTGGCTCACATGTGTTCTTCTTAAAACCATCCAGATCAGCTGACAAGGACGCCTCCATGTAGTCAAAGTCCTTGTAGATGTGTCCACAGACCAGGGAGTCTCTGTTTGTTTTCATGTGAGCATCCAGCTCAGTCTCCACCTGGGGCACATAGACAGTGCGGGACACATCAGGACAGTGGGGGACACATCAGGACAGTGGGGGACAAACATCAGGACAGTGGGGGACACACATCAGGACAGTGGGGGACACACATCAGGACAGTGGGGGACACCTCAGGACAGTGGGGGACATATCAAGACAGTAGGGGACACATCAGGACAGTGGGGGACACACATCAAGACAGTGGGGGGGGGACACATCAGGACAGTGGGGGACACATCAAGACAGTGGGAGACACATCAGGGCAGTGGGGGACATATCAAGACAGTAGGGGACACATCAGGACAGTGGGGGACACACATCAAGACAGTGGGGGGGGACACATCAGGACAGTGGGGGACACATCAAGACAGTGGGGGACACATCAGGGCAGTGGGGGACATATCAAGACAGTAGGGGACACATCAGGACAGTGGGGGACACATCAAGACAGTGGGAGACACATCAGGACAGTGGGGGACATATCAAGACAGTAGGGGACACCTCAGGACAGTGGGGGACATATCAAGACAGTGGGGGGGGACACATCAGGACAGTGGGGGACACACATCAAGACAGTGGGGGGGGACACATCAGGACAGTGGGGGACACATCAAGACAGTGGGGGACACATCAAGACAGTGGAGGACACATCAAGACAGTGGGAGACACATCAGGACAGTGGGGGACACATCAAGACAGTGGGGGACACATCACGACAGTGGGGGACACATCAAGACAGTGGGGGACACATCACGACAGTGGGGGACACACATCAGGACAGTGGGGGACACACATCAGGACAGTGGGGGACACATTTAGGCAGTGGGGGACACATCAGGACAGTGGAGGACACAAATCAGGACAGTGGGGGACACATCAGGACACCACAAGAACCCAGCACAACATCTCCCCCACAAGAACCCAACACAACATCTCCCCCACAAGAACCCAACACAAGAACTCAGCACAACATCTCCCCCACAAGAACTCAGCACAACATCTCCCTCACAAGAACCCAACACAACATCTCCCTCACAAGAACCCAACACAACATCTCCCTCACAAGAACTCAGCACAACATCTCCCCCACAAGAACCCAACACAACATCTCCCTCACAAGAACTCAGCACAACATCTCCCTTACAAGAACCCAACACAACATCTCCCCCACAAGAACCCAACACAAGAACCCAACACAGCATCTCCCCCACAAGAACCCAACACAAGAACCCAGCACAACATCTCCCCCACAAGAACCCAGCACAACATCTCCCCCACAAGAACCCAACACAACATCTCCCCCACAAGAACCCAACACAACATCTCCCCCACAAGAACCCAGCACAACATCTCCCCCACAAGAACCCAACACAACATCTCCCCCACAAGAACCCAGCACAACATCTCCCCCACAAGAAGCCAGCACAACATCTCCCCCACAAGAACCCAACACAACATCTCCCCCACAAGAACCCAACACAAGAACCCAACACAACATCTCCCCCACAAGAACCCAGCACAACATCTCCCCCACAAGAACCCAGCACAACATCTCCCCCACAAGAACCCAACACAACATCTCCCCCACAAGAACCCAACACAAGAACTCAGCACAACATCTCCCTCACAAGAACCCAGCACAACATCTCCCTCACAAGAACTCAGCACAACATCTCCCTCACAAGAACCCAACACAACATCTCCCTCACAAGAACTCAGCACAACATCTCCCTCACAAGAACTCAGCACAACATCTCCCCCACAAGAACCCAACACAAGAACCCAACACAACATCTCCCCCACAAGAACAAAACACAAGAACCCAGCACAACATCTCCCCCACAAGAAACCAGCACAACATCTCCCCCACAAGAAGCCAACACAACATCTCCCCCACAAGAACCCAACACAAGAACCCAACACAACATCTCCCCCACAAGAACCCAACACAACATCTCCCTCACAAGAACCCAACACAAGAACTCAGCACAACATCTCCCTCACAAGAACCCAACACAACATCTCCCTCACAAGAACTCAGCACAACATCTCCCTCACAAGAACCCAACACAACATCTCCCTCACAAGAACTCAGCACAACATCTCCCCCACAAGAACTCAGCACAACATCTCCCTCACAAGAACCCAGCACAACATCTCCTCCACAAGAACCCAGCACAACATCTCCCCCACAAGAACCCAACACAACATCTCCCCTCACAAGAACCCAGCACAACATCTCCCCCACAAGAACCCAGCACAACATCTCCCCCACAAGAACCCAACACAACATCTCCCCCACAATAACCCAGCACAACATCTCCCCCACAAGAACCCAACACAACATCTCCCCCACAAGAACCCAACACAAGAACCCAACACAACATCTCCCCCACAAGAACCCAGCACAACATCTCCCCCACAAGAAGCCAGCACAACATCTCCCCCACAAGAACCCAGCACAACATCTCCCCCACAAGAACCCAACACAACATCTCCCCCACAAGAACCCAACACAACATCTCCCTCACAAGAACCCAACACAACATCTCCCTCACAAGAACCCAACACAACATCTCCCCCACAAGAACCCAGCACAACATCTCCCCCACAAGAACCCAGCACAACATCTCCCTCACAAGAACCCAACACAACATCTCCCTCAAAAGAACCCAACACAACATCTCCCTCACAAGAACCCAGCACAACATCTCCCTCACAAGAACCCAGCACAACATCTCCCCCACAATAACCCAGCACAACATCTCCCCCACAAGAACCCAACACAACATCTCCCCCACAAGAACCCAGCACAACATCTCCCCCACAAGAACCCAGCACAACATCTCCCCCACAATAACCCAGCACAACATCTCCCCCACAAGAACCCAGCACATCTCCCCCACAAGAACCCAGCACAACATCTCCCCCACAAGAACCCAACACAACATCTCCCCCACAAGAACCCAGCACAACATCTCCCCCACAATAACCCAGCACAACATCTCCCCCACAAGAACCCAGCACATCTCCCCCACAATAACCCAGCACAACATCTCCCCCACAAGAACCCAGCACATCTCCCCCACAATAACCCAGCACAACATCTCCCCCACAAGAACCCAACACAACATCTCCCCCACAAGAACCCAGCACAACATCTCCCCCACAAGAACCCAGCACATCTCCCCCACAATAACCCAGCACAACATCTCCCCCACAATAACCCAGCACAACATCTCCCCCACAATAACCCAGCACATCTCCCCCACAATAACCCAGCACAACATCTCCCCCACAATAACCCAGCACAACATCTCCCCCACAAGAACCCAGCACAACATCTCCCCCACAAGAACCCAGCACAACATCTCCCTCACAAGAACCCAACACAACATCTCCCTCACAATAACCCAACACAACATCTCCCTCACAAGAACCCAGCACAACATCTCCCTCACAAGAACCCAGCACAACATCTCCCCCACAATAACCCAGCACAACATCTCCCTCACAAGAACCCAGCACAACATCTCCCCCACAAGAACCAAGCACAACATCTCCCCCACAAGAACCCAACACAACATCTCCCCCACAAGAACCCAGCACAACATCTCCCCCACAAGAACCCAGCACAACATCTCCCCCACAATAACCCAGCACAACATCTCCCCCACAAGAACCCAGCACATCTCCCCCACAAGAACCCAGCACAACATCTCCCCCACAAGAACCCAACACAACATCTCCCCCACAAGAACCCAGCACAACATCTCCCCCACAATAACCCAGCACAACATCTCCCCCACAAGAACCCAGCACAACATCTCCCCCACAAGAACACCAACACACATCCCACACAGTAGCATGCTTGTAACGTGACATGAGCCCACTAGACACACCCCATTAACTTATGTATTCATGGCTTACACACTCTAATTACATTGAGACTACAGTAAAGACATACGCGTCAGTGTATGTTTGTGTATGTGTGTTCTTATTGCAACCTTTCTTCTGCACTGTTGAAGCCGTAGAAACTCCCTCTGCCAGACCAAGTGGTGCTGTTTGAGCAGAGTGTTCTCTCTGTGCTGCTGGGATTGCTGTTCCATCTTGTTGACTTTCATCAGGGTCTTGAGGGATCCGAACCTTTTCTCTGTGACACTGGCACGCAGGCGCTCATAGTCCACTGATTTATATTTGTTGCTGCCCAACCCATCCAACATGCGCAGCACAAGACCATCTGAAACAGGTGGCACTTTCAATAGGAGCTTTTGGGAAGGGGACTTTAGTGAGCTATGTGAAAGGGGGGGGGGGTTGATTGGAAATTTTACAAAAACAAAGTGGAAAGAGAGGGCAGATGTTTGTGACTTATAATGATAAGCTATGTGAGGGTGGGGGTAGGTGAAGAGGATAGTTTTGACTTTAATAGGCTATGTGGAAAGGGGGTGGGGTTGTTCTGGTTTTTATAATAAGCTACGTACAAATGGATTTCACATTTGGTAGAAAAGCTAATTGTTGAGAAAAATTTTTTTTTTAAGTGTTTCAGTGGCTGTATGTAGTTTAGTGCCTGTATGTATTTTAGTACCTGTATGTATTTTAGTACCTGTATGTAGTTTAGTGCCTGTATGTAGTTTAGTGAATACACGTAGTTTAGTGCCTGTATGTAGGTTAGTGAATGTATGTATTTTAGTACATGTATGTATTTTAGTACCTGTATGTAGTTTAGTGAATACACATAGTTTAGTGCCTGTATGTAGTTTAGTGAATGCATGTATTTTAGTACATGTATGTAGTTTAGTGAATACACGAAGTTTAGTGCATGTATGTAGTTTAGTGAATGTATGTATTTTAGTGCCTGTATGTAGTTTAGTGCCTGTATGTAGTTTAGTGAATGCATGTATTTTAGTACCTGTATGTAGATTAGTGAATACACGAAGTTTAGTGCATGTATGTAGTTTAGTGAATGCATGTAGTTTAGTGCCTGTATGAATATTAGTGCCTGATGTTGTTTAGTGAATGTATGTAGTTTATTGCCTGTATGTAGTAAGAGAATCTTTTTGTGATGTAATTCATGGATGACCTAAATGTGAATAATTTATCTCTGAATTAGACTATTCCAAGAGCACTTGTTAGGCTTAACCTGTCATGTCATCAATGTTTTACAAGCAAAATATTGTCCTTTACCTGTGTAGTCTGTTTTCATGCTGGGTAAAGGTTTATATTTGTCCATTACAACAGTCAAAATCTTTGCAGCATTGCTTGTATCAATGAAAACAAGAAAAGGCAAACAACTGCTCAGCTTTAGGAAGACATAATTTCTTCTTTTAAAAGAAAACCAAATGACACATTATGTAAGTTATTAACCACATACAAATGAATAAGATTGTGAATCAACTTGAAGATGTTAAATTTTTCCTTTTAGAATCTGATCCTGGACTAAAGATTTAATCTCCTGAATTGACACTGATAGCCAACCCAAATGTTTATTTTTATTTTGAAATGTTTGAGTGGAAGGGAATGCATTCTGCCAAACTTTCCCTTGGCGAATGTAGGAAAAAATGTCTCAGGAAAAAAAAACAAAATAAAAAGTCACAGAAAAAACGTCACAGGAAAAAAGTCACAATTATATATTTGCATGGAATTTGTTAATACTTTTAGATATATGTGTTAAATATAGAGCGAGTGCAAATCAACTTAGATTAATTAACTGTAATGTAGTATGAGTAGATTGTATATGTATAATAATATTCAAAGCAAACATAAAAATATTTAGTATGAAGTGTGTAGGCTTTAATTACGCTATACATATACTATTTAATAGAACTTAATAGAATGGTCCAGCCTTTTCGGTTTTCATCGTGTCTTTAAAATTAGCTTGAAATGGCATAAAGACATTGCTAATCTGACTTGCTGTCCTCAACTCACCACAACAATAGTTCAACCACCTTTTCTGACCACATTCATCACGCCCATTATGTAACAAAGCATAGTATCAAAACAGAAAGCTGACACTGTACAAAGGCTGGCTTCAACACAATACGACAACAACACACAAAATGGACGGGCAAGTTCGATTGAGGAGAAGCCGACCAAGGAATGGCCAATGGCAAAAACAAATATGCATAACACAATGATGTGCCAAAATTTCTTACGTAATTAATTTTTCTTCCGCTTAATTAACTAAATTTGTAACAAAAGTTGAGATTGCTGTATAAATTATGACCATATTATTTTTTAGTATTATTGTTATAATTCATAATGCTTTTACGTTAATAAATATGGTACCAACCAAAAAAAAAACCCCACAACAATAAACACCCACAATTTTACAATAATAAACAACTGAATGAAAATATTTCTTAAACGATTTTTGTGACTTTTTTCTGTGACTTTTTTTCGATATAATTTTTCCTTTGTGACTTTATTTCTATGACTTTTTTCCTAGCAAAAGCTGACTTTTTTTCAATGTTTTTTTTCCTGTGACTTTTTTCCCGTTCACCCCCTTGGCTAGACAGCAAGCAATATCAAATGCTTATGCACTGAATTTGTGCTGTTGCACAAACATAGGACTAATATAAACTGGCAATGCAATAGACTCTAATCTACCTTGTATTTGTATACACAGGAATAACTTACAGCTGTGGTCAAGCATCAGGAAGTACATCAGGAAGTTTGTCAAGAAGTATGGGATCTATCTCCTTTTGGAACAAGTTATATTTTATAATTTTGTGTATGTTTTTGGTTACTTTTTTATGCTGTCTTATGTGAAATTGATTTTCATTTCTCAAATAGATGTGCTAATAATTACTAATAAGTGTATTCCATAAATCCCATCCAGTTAAAAGTTTGGCTCTTCAAAGATAAACCTTAGGTCCTAAGTAGTTTATTGATTATACAAAAGAAAAGTATAATTTTTTTTATCTATTCCATATAATATTGAATTATTATTTAATAATTTATTTAGTCTATAAATCTTACTCAAGGATAAGTATATTTCTGTCCCATAATGACCTGTGCTTGTGTAAGATAAATTTAAACTACAAATGAGAAACTGAGCTAGGTTATTAATAGCTTATTAGCTAGGCTACAGATACATTGGATTGTGACTGAACAATCAGATATATAATGACAGTCATAAGACCATAATCTTTATACCATGGTAGCAGAAAATAAATAACAAATTTAGTAAAGTAAATATATATATCAAGAAAAAAACAGGATACACATGGTGCTCCTCTTTAAAAACATTTGCTAATTTATTTACTCCGTTTTAATGAATAAACACAAAAATCATGTTTTAAATAATAAAACATATTTACAAGATTTTTTGCAGAAGATTTGTGACAACTATAATTAGTATTATTAGTGTTAAGCAATAAGCATACTAATATATAATGTATACTTATATTAATAATTTAAAATTTTATTTGCCTTAGATAAGGTTATTAATTATCTAGGCCTTTAGCCTATAGACAAACTAAAGGGTAATCTATCATTTTAGGTATGTAAAATCGCCAGCAACTAGTAATGTGAAATACAGGTGACTCCTTAAATTTTAATAATTACTTCACATTTTGATGAGGATTTTTATGTTTTGAAAAATACAAAAATGTGCCCTTGTTTCATTTATGTACCTATTTTTTTTAATAAAAATTGAATTAAAACTTTTCAGTAATAAATGAAGACTAGCGATGTTTTCATCCATCAGATTCAACCATGCTCATTTACTATAAACTATAATAGTATTGTGTTTAAGTTTTATTTTGTTAAACTTATAGTGGGAGATTCAGGGGAAGCCACACTATTTTACAAATGGCTGTTGTTTATAATATAAATAGGCCTAGGCCTATATAAATAAATAAATAAATAAATATATATATATATATATATATATATATATATATATATATATATATATATATATATATATATATATAGGCCTATATAAACTTTACATATTAAATATTCAATATATAGCAAATCTTGCTCGCAAACACTGCTGTTTAAAGTTAATTTCTGACCTATCTATCTAATCTATATTGATATATTTAGCCATTGATTTTGGTTTATTATTCATTTATATATAATATTTGACACAAATATTTCACAATATACTTCAATTAAAGCCTTGACAATGAGGTAACTTTTTCGTACATTACTAAACTAGATCTAGATCTAGCCGCTGCCGATTTTACGTAGATCTAGATAAAAACAAGTTAATTAAAAAAGTGTAGTGACATTTATGCGCAATTTCCTTATGTTATCTAAAAATAGCTCTGATGTATAATGCTTGGGTGCGTTCAAGCTAGAAGAACAATCGGTTTGTAGGTGTTTATGTAATTTTAAAAGTTGTGACCGAACGAGAGGATATTTTTGAAAACTTTCTTCGGCAATATTGTTCTAAATTATGGCGGGAATCGATTGGTACATGTTTCAAGTCGCTAAGTGGTTTGGTTGCCGAGATATGGGACAAAAACTGAATTTTTTCAAGGTTTTTTGGCTTTTCCGGGAAATACATGAAAGAAACCCGGAATTTTTATAGCCTATGCTCATTCTCGTAACTTGCTTAACACAATTGCTTTTGGAACTAGTCATCGATATTGCTTCGTTGAGGAGGAGATACGACTTAAAGCCCGGACACACATTCATCCATCCATTCCCAGAAATGACGAGTTAATAAACGCAATTCTCCAGAATGGAAATTGCGCTAAAAAGCCAACGGGCTAAAGCCAAAGCGATTACAATTACAATGATTATTACATGATTACAGTGTTACACTGATTACTGAATCAATAGATCTTTAACATTATAGTGTAGAGTGGATTAATTAATAGTATATAGATCGAGGTCTAATTAATACTAATAGAATCCTTAAGTAGTTAATAAGTGTTCTAGATCTACAAATCTAGATCTAGTCTAGTTAGTAGTTACTAGATCTAGATTAGTTGTTTCTTTTTTATGGCGTCCAGTGATACATGCATTTCCGCTGTCGAAAATGAAAACAAAATTATTTTTAATCAACTAAAGACTGCCAAACAAAATAAATAATTAGAAATAAGCTTAATTGGTGTATTTTCTGAATTAACTATGTTTTTAGACATACAAAAATGTAAATGTCTATTTACAAAATATTCATGTATTTCTTTTAAAAAAATAATTAGATCTTAGATCTAGATCTAGATAATGGTTTTTGAAAAATAAAATCTGAAATGCAACTTATCTGGCAAATAAAAATCGTGGGAAAATGGCCGCCGTCCATTCATTGAACTACTTCAGATCTTGTCGTAATTCATTGACCCTTGTACAATTTATACGGATTTAAAGTGCCATCGAAGAGCTTATTCAAATGGCAAAATGAGCAAAAAAGTTAAAGAAATGATTGGTGGCTGTTGTGTTTGCTCAGATGAGCGTGGCTGGAGTGAAAATCCTTTAGTCTACTGTGATGGTGCAGGCTGCAATGTAGCAGTCCATCAGGGTGGGCCATTTGATTGAAGTTTTTAATTTAAAATAAATATAGATCTAGATATATTTGATCTAGAGAAAATCTAGTTGTAAATTTACTTTAGATCTAGATCTTAGATCTAAATTAAAATACAAATATGTCTTGCTAAAGTAGACTATGTGTTAAACTTTGTAAATACAATTGAGTGTGTGTCTGATATTATTGTTACTTATTGTAGGCCGTTCAGTTCACGGCTTCCGGGTTTGTTTGTTTATTTATATATATATTATCTCACGGCGCAAGCTCTCGAAGCGATTTACTAAGATGGCGGCACGGTTTCGTTTTCATTAAAGGGTAGAGGGATAAAACCAATGATTTTTACAGTCATCGTTAATTTTAGTAATCAGAACTACGCGCTTCTAATCAAGTCTGTTAATCAAGAAGAGTAAGGTGTACTTTTGACCTAATTTTTTATCTCACAAGTGGTGCTTTAGTGAAAGTAGCTCTCTTTATTCTTGTGTTAACGTGAACTTAAAATCAAATAACTCAAATAACTTCTAAAATACGCGATGAATATTCAGAGTCTTAGCTTTATATAAATGTCAACGTTTGGGAATAATTCTTAGGTCTGTACGTGTGGTCACTATGCCAGAAATAAGACCCCCCATATAACGCCATTTTATTATAATCTTTTTTGGGAAAATGTGTGCCACGCCAAAATCCGATAATTTGTCTAGATTTATTAGTTATGTGGCATTATATCTTAAAATAGAATGCATTGCGCTTTCCTTGTTGATGATCGTTTTTATCATTGTTTAAGTAAAAATATGAATTATTAGTTAAGAATGCAGTTTTTTAACATGGTATACTTACCCTCTGTGATTATATAAAAAGTATGGCATGTTAATTATGTACAAATATTGTCATAAAACACAAACATATAAAAGTTAGATTTTTTAATTACTTAATTACTACCACTATCCGCCTATTCATTACTAGAATCTACGTTAATTTTTATTTTTTTTAATGGTTTGATTGTGTTAAATTTTAGCTAGGCCTATCTAAATTCATTTCTATGATATTTTAATGTTTCTATAAAGTTTTATTGAAAAATCTTTAAAAATAATCGAAAAATCCACTCATGAAATCAGGTCATAGGTCTAGTAGTTTTTTCTTCATTAGCTCATAATAGACTGAACCTGACTTTGGAATTGTTTTCAGTTATAATGACTTTGCACAGAAAGTTAAATTTTTGCGAAAGTTAATATATGCTAAATTGACTTAGTTTATTAGTGTTCTAGTTATTATTGAATTTTTTTTTGAGATTTTCATCAAAATGCCTAGATATTGTCACAATAATAGATTTTCGGACGTTTGTAGTACAATATAGCTATGATACTAGCTTGAACTACGAAATTTTAATATTAAATATTCTGTTATTTCATGACAAGCCATACCCTGTAACAGACCATTAGAGACCACATTTAATTATCTAGCTTACTCAGATGCTAAGAAAAAAAATGATTTAAAAATTATATAAAATGTAAACATGAAAGCCAAAAACCACATTTTGCCTCCCAGCCAGCATACAGGATGTCGTGAACTTGTGTACACAGGTTTTAAAATGCTGCCCTGGTGGTAATTGTGTAAACATAGGTTATTTTACTCACGGAAAAAAAAAAACAAAAAAAACTTGTTAATGTTAGGCTACTAATAAACCTAGAGCTAGCTATTTATTAAATTGGTTAAGGAAAATATTCATTACAAATTCTACTCTAGATGTAATTAATACCATTTTATAAATATTGAACACTTGCAAAAATCATTATCATATGACCATAAAAAATATTTTTATATGAAATCCTAATTATAAATATGGAAGACAATATTAAGTATTCATACTTAAAATAATATCATAGTTATGATAGTCTATATCAATCTCTTTTTTACATTTTATCTTTTTCATATTGAAAACATGATGGGGATTGTTTAAAATAAAATTTCAAAACATCGTCACTTGCTTTCTTCTGTTTACTATCCTGTGGGTGAAAAATCCCACCATGGTCGGTGGGGTCACTGTGATTTCAGCAGGCCTATAGTATACGTCATAGAATGAACACAAGTTCACGAGATCGTCTGTGTCTTCACTTCCTCCCCCCCTCCTCCCCCCCTTCCTTTCAAGCAAATTGAAAAACAGACCTTCTTTGCTAATTCTTGTCATTTTTTTTAAGTTCACTTAGGCTTAATATAGACTTAGATCTACTTATACTATCATGGTAGACAGCTGTAAAAACAATTTACTAAAGAGCATAATGATAATAGTGTTGGAACCTAATAAAAATAGCAATCCGACGTATCATTAAAGCTACAACCGACAGAAAATTAGTTTTTTAATGGGTTAAACTTTTGAATGGGCAACAAAATCTTTGATGGATGCCGCCATTATTGTTGTAAAAAGAACAATCATGTGACGTCACTATAAGAAAAGTCATTTTTCTGAACTTTTATAATTAAAGTGGTTTATCTACCAATAAATATATTAATAATTTAATTAACATCTTTAATTTGTGATTAACAGTTTGGTAAAAAAAGAACATAATTCTCTATCTAAATATGTATTTTACATCTCTACACATTGTGCAGATTCTCTCTTGTAACCAAAGAGACAAAAAAAACAAAAAAATATACAAACTTGTAAACAAACTTGAGTTTTAGTAATATATAGATAAATAATTTTTCAAAATGAATTAACTTTATTAATGTGATAGACTATGCAATGTTTTTATTACTTTTTTTGTATGTGTTTGATCTTGTGTCACCCAAGGCTTTAAAATGTAAAACTTTCAGCATGCTATGGTATAGTGCAAGTTCCCACAGGGCCATGGTTTTGTAAGAAGTGTGAGTCACAAGAAAGAGTTGCAAGAGTGGTGAGTTACTTTGTGCTGCAGGTCATATGACTAGCAGACGTAATGTCTTGTGCTGCAGGTCATATGACTAGCAGACTTACTGTCTTGTGCTGCAGGTCATATGACTAGCAGACTTAATGTCTTGTGCTGCAGGTCATATGACTAGCAGACTTAATGTCTTGTGCTGCAGGTCATATGACTAGCAGACTTAATGTCTTGTGCTGCAGGTCATATGACTAGCAGACTTAATGTCTTGTGCTGCAGGTCATATGACAAGCAGACTTAATGTCTTGTTGAAAAATTGCTTTAAAACATATACATGCAGCAACATGAATGACATATATCATAAAGTATTGATTAAACTTAATATAGAGTAAATCTAGTATCAGTACACCATGTGACTGGTGTCACCCCCAGCTTAAAGCAGAAAGTATTTGCTAGTGTCACTAACATTGATGCCTGTGGAAAAAACATAAGACATGACTGCTTTAATAATCCAAATAAGAAGAAAATGTAAATATGTCATTTGAAGCAGCAGTTTGAAAGATTGATTTCTTTGTTGCCAGAAATGTGAGCTCTGCCCTCAGAGAGCTGGTGCCTTGAAGCGGACAGATGCTGGTGGTAAGTTGGCAAATTGTTGTCTGATAATGGTGGTAAGTTGGTAACTTGTCTGATGCTGGTGGTAAGTTGGCAACTTGTTGTCTGATGCTGGTAGTAAGTTGGCAAATTGTTGTCTGATAATGGTGGTAAGTTGGTAACTTGTCTGATACTGGTGGTAAGTTGGCAACTTGTTGTCTGATGCTGGTGGTAAGTTGGCAACTTGTTGTCTGATGCTGGTGGTAAGTTGGCAACTTGTTGTCTGATGCTGGTGGTAAGTTGGCAACTTGTTGTCTGATGCTGGTGGTAAGTTGGCAACTTGTTGTCTGATGCTGGTGGTAAGTTGGCAACTTGTCTGATACTGGTGGTAAGTTGGCAACTTGTTGTCTGATGCTGGTGGTAAGTTGGCAACTTGTTGTCTGATGCTGGTGGTAAGTTGGCAACTTGTCTGATACTGGTGGTAAGTTGGCAACTTGTTGTCTGATGCTGGTGGTAAGTTGGCAACTTGTTGTCTGATGCTGGTGGTAAGTTGGCAACTTGTCTGATGTTGGTGGTAAGTTGGTAACTTGTCTGATACTGGTGGTAAGTTGGCAACTTGTTGTCTGATGCTGGTGGTAAGTTGGCAACTTGTCTGATACTGGTGGTAAGTTGGTAACTTGTCTGATACTGGTGGTAAGTTGGCTACTTGTTGTCTGATGCTGGTGGTAAGTTGGCAACTTGTTGTCTGATGCTGGTGGTAAGTTGGCAACTTGTTGTCTGATGCTGGTGGTAAGTTGGCAACTTGTTGTCTGATGCTGGTGGTAAGTTGGCAACTTGTCTGATGCTGGTGGTAAGTTGGTAACTTGTCTGATACTGGTGGTAAGTTGGCTACTTGTTGTCTGATGCTGGTGGTAAGTTGGCAACTTGTTGTCTGTACACATTGCACTGCAGGAGTGGATTGTCTGGGTATAGCCACAAGTCTGGGTGTAAAGTCTTGGTGTAAAGTCTGGGTGTAGCCACAAGTCAGGGTGTAAAGTCTGGGTGTAGCCAGAAGTCTTGGTGTAAAGTCTGGGTGTAGCCACAAGTCTTGGTGTAAAGTCTTGGTGTAAAGTCTGGGTGTAGCCACAAGTCTTGGTGTAAAGTCTTGGTATAAAGTCTGGGTGTAGCCACAAGTCTGGGTGTAAAGTCTTGGTGTAAAGTCTGGGTGTAAAGTCTGGGTGTAGCCACAAGTCTGGGTGTAAAGTCTTGGTGTAAAGTCTGGGTGTAGCCACAAGTCTGGGTGTAAAGTCTGGGTGTAGCCACAAGTCTTGGTGTAAAGTCTGGGTGTAAAGTCTGGGTGTAGCCACAAGTCTGGGTGTAAAGTCTGGGTGTAGCCACAAGTCTGGGTGTAAAGTCTGGGTGTAGCCACAAGTCTGGGTGTAAAGTCTGGGTGTAAAGTCTGGGTGTAGCCACAAGTCTGGGTGTAAAGTCTGGGTGTAGCCACAAGTCTGGGTGTAAAGTCTGGGTGTAGCCACAAGTCTGGGTGTAAAGTCTGGGTGTAGCCACAAGTCTGGGTGTAAAGTCTGGGTGTAGCCACAAGTCTGGGTGTAAAGTCTGGGTGTAGCCACAAGTGTAGATGTAGCCACAAGTCTGGGTGTAGCCACAAGTCTGGGTGTAAAGTCTGGGTGTAGCCACAAGTCAGGGTGTAAAGTCTGGGTGTAGCCACAAGTCAGGGTGTAAAGTCTGGGTGTAGCCACAAGTCAGGGTGTAAAGTCTGGGTGTAGCCACAAGTCAGGGTGTAGCCACAAGTCTGGGTGTAAAGTCTGGGTGTAGCCACAAGTCAGGGTGTAGCCACAAGTCAGGGTGTAGCCACAAGTCTGGGTGTAGCCACAAGTCTGGGTGTAAAGTCTTGGTGTAAAGTCTGGGTGTAAAGTCTGGGTGTAGCCACAAGTCAGGGTGTAAAGTCTGGGTGTAGCCACAAGTCAGGGTGTAAAGTCTGGGTGTAGCCACAAGTCAGGGTGTAAAGTCTGGGTGTAGCCACAAGTCAGGGTGTAAAGTCTGGGTGTAGCCACAAGTCAGGGTGTAAAGTCTGGGTGTAGCCACAAGTCTGGGTGTAGCCACAAGTGTGGATGTAGCCACAAGTCTGGGTGTAAAGTCTTGGTATAAAGTCTGGGTGTAGCCACAAGTGTGGATGTAGCCACAAGTCTGGGTGTAAAGTCTGGGTGTAGCCACAAGTCTGGGTGTAAAGTCTGGGTGTAGCCACAAGTCTGGGTGTAAAGTCTGGGTGTAGCCACAAGTGTGGATGTAGCCACAAGTCTGGGTGTAAAGTCTTGGTATAAAGTCTGGGTGTAGCCACAAGTGTGGATGTAGCCACAAGTCTGGGTGTAAAGTCTGGGTGTAGCCACAAGTCTGGGTGTAGCCACAAGTCTGGGTGTAAAGTCTGGGTGTAGCCACAAGTCTGGGTGTAAAGTCTGGGTGTAGCCACAAGTCTGGGTGTAAAGTCTGGGTGTAGCCACAAGTGTGGGTGTAAAGTCTGGGTGTAGCCACAAGTGTGGGTGTAAAGTCTGGGTGTAGCCACAAGTGTGGGTGTAGCCACAAGTGTGGATGTAGCCACAAGTCCGGGTGTAGCTACAAGTCTAGGTGTAGCCAGATTTTATGATTTGACCACCTGTTCAACATTAGCTATTGTTTCAAGGTGTTTTTTTTTACATTCCCATCAGGATGGTGTCATGTTGTCTGTGCCTTATACATCCCTGAAGCCTGGTTTGCTAATGTTCAAACAATGGAGCCCATTGTTTTAAGTGCAGTCCCACATGAAAGGTTTAACAAGGTAATCTATTTACTAACTTCTGGCATGGTACTGAAACGGGATTTTAACCATCTAAGTATTAATTAGCAATGTGTTTTCACCATTTAAGTATTAATTATAAATGTGTTTAAACAAATTGAGTATTAATAAGAAATGTGTTGTAGCCATCTAAGTATTAATTAGAAATGTGTTTTAATCATCTTAGCATTAATTATCTATGTGTTTGTCTTCCTTCAGAAATGTTACATTTGTGAAGAACAGAAACGTGACACTAAAGCAACAGCTGGCGCATGCATGCAGTGCAATCGAAACAGCTGCAAGCAGTTTTTCCATGTCACTTGGTGAGTTGATAGACATTTTAAACCATGTAACATTTGATGTAGTGAGGTGAGCTGATAGACATTTTAAACCTTGTAACATTTGATGTAGTGAGGTGAGCTAATAGATATTTTAAACCTTGTAACATTTGATGTAGTGAGGTGAGCTGATAGACATTTTAAACCTTGTAACATTTGATGTAGTGAGGTGAGCTGATAGACTTTTTAAACCTTGTAACATTTGATGTAGTGAGGTGAGCTGATAGACATTTTAAACCTTGTAACATTTGATGTAGTGAGGTGAGCTCATAGACATTTTAAACCTTGTACCATTTGATGTAGTGAGGTGAGCTGATAGACATTTTAAACCTTGTACCATTTGATGTAGTGAGGTGAGCTGATAGACATTTTAAACCTTGTAACATTTGATGTAGTGAGGTGAGCTGATAGACATTTTAAACCTTGTACCATTTGATGTAGTGAGGTGAACTGATAGACATTTTAAACCATGTAACATTTGATGTAGTGAGGTGAGCTGATAGACATTTTAAACCTTGTAACATTTGATGTAGTGAGGTGAGCTGATAGACATTTTAAACCTTGTACCATTTGATGTAGTGAGGTGAGCTGATAGACATTTTAAACCTTGTACCATTTGATGTAGTGAGGTGAGCTGATAGACATTTTAAACCTTGTAACATTTGATGTAGTGAGGTGAGCTGATAGACATTTTAAACCTTGTACCATTTGATGTAGTGAGGTGAGCTGATAGACATTTTAAACCTTGTACCATTTGATGTAGTGAGGTGAGCTGATAGACATTTTAAACCTTGTAACATTTGATGTAGTGAGGTGAGCTGATAGACATTTTAAACCTTGTACCATTTGATGTAGTGAGGTGAGCTGATAGACATTTTAAACCTTGTAACATTTGATGTAGTGAGGTGAGCTGATAGACATTTTAAACCTTGTAATATTTGATGTAGTGAGGTGAGCTGATAGACATTTTAAACCTTGTAACATTTGATGTAGTGATGTAAGCTGATAGACATTTTAAACCTTGTAACATTTGATGTAGTGAGGTGAGCTGATAGACATTTTAAACCTTGTAACATTTGATGTAGTGAGGTGAGCTGATAGACATTTTAAACCTTGTAACATTTGATGTAGTGATGTAAGCTGATAGACATTTTAAACCTTGTAACATTTGATGTAGTGATGTAAGCTGATAGACATTTTAAACCTTGTAATATTTGATGTGGACATCTTGAAGCTGGTGAGATATCTGATACTGTGTTGTATGTTTTGAAACATTTGATTTCTCAGTGCACAAGCTCAAGGTCTGTTGTGTGAAGTGACAGGCAGCTATGAAAATGTCAAATACTGTGGCTACTGCTCTCATCACTACAAAAAGCTGGTATGTTTTATATAAAGTCCAGTTTCTATTACAAATTAGAAAATTGAAAATAACAAACAACAAAGAAACTATTTCTGGCTTATGATTGATTGCTTGGACCAAAACTGTAATGATGTTGAATGTTTCTCCATGTAGAAAAACCATTCGAATGTGAAGACCATCCCAGCATTTAAGCCTATTCCCAGTGAGAACGGAACCCCTGACTCCAGCCCTGAGAAATCAGTGCCAAATAAACCTGAAGAAAACAAGGTGTGTACCTGCCTAAATCATTTTCTCTTGGATTTGCTCAGTCTAAAAATTGTCTCAGATACTCCCAGTTGTTTGATTGCATAGTTACATTTTTGAAACTGTTGTCTTCACTTGACTAAAATGGGGATTTAAGCTTTGTTTTTAAAGTATTAACTGGCAAATATTTGTGTGTGCAGACTGTAGAGAGCCCTGTTAACTGGCAAATATTTGTGTGTGTGCAGACAGTAGAGAGCCCTGTTAACTGGCAAATATTTGTGTGTGTGCAGACAGTAGAGAGCCCTGTTAACTGGCAAATATTTGTGTGTGCAGACTGTAGAGAGCCCTGTTAACTGGCAAATATTTGTGTGTGTGCAGACAGTAGAGAGCCCTGTTAACTGGAAAATATTTATGTGTGCAGACTGTAGAGAACCCTGTTAACTGGCAAATATTTGTGTGTGTGCAGACAGTAGAGAGCCCTGTTAACTGGCAAATATTTGTGTGTGCAGACTGTAGAGAACCCTGTTAACTGGCAAATATTTATGTGTGCAGACGGTAGAGAACCCTGTTAACTGGCAAATATTTATGTGTGCAGACGGTAGAGAACCCTGTTAACTGGCAAATATTTATGTGTGCAGACAGTAGAGAGCTCTGTTAACTGGCAAATATTTATGTGTGCAGACGGTAGAGAGCCCTGTTAACTGGCAAATATTTGTGTGTGCAGACAGTAGAGAGCCCTGTTAACTGGCAAATATTTGTGTGTGTGCAGACAGTAGAGAGCCCTGTTAACTGGCAAATATTTGTGTGTGCAGACAGTAGAGAGCCCTGTTAACTGGCAAATATTTGTGTGTGCAGACAGTAGAGAGCCCTGTTAACTGGCAAATATTTGTGTGTGCAGACAGTAGAGAGCCCTGTTAACTGGCAAATATTTATGTGTGCAGACGGTAGAGAACCCTGTTAACTGGCAAATATTTATGTGTGCAGACGGTAGAGAGCCCTGTTAACTGGCAAATATTTGTGTGTGCAGACAGTAGAGAGCCCTGCTATTGTTGAAGTGAAGAGCCCCCAGGTGGACCAGTCAGTCAGCAGCACAAGTGACACTGTCCCGTCCAGCAGCTCAGCCCCGGTGCCTGACTCAGCTGTGTCCCCACCCTCTGACCACAGCCAGGAACCCTCTTCCTCTGGCGTTGTCTCCACCAAAAGTATTCCTGAAGGAAACGCCTGCTCTTCCACTGAAAGCTGTGATGTAGCTGATACTGCTCATGTTTTAGAACCTGCAGCGCTACCAAAACGCCACAGACCTGTGTAAGTTCTGTTACTCAAGTTTTTGGTACTTGTCTCAAGTCAGTTTTAGCTTGATACACTTTAGCATCTGTCAACTGGCTATCTTCAGTTCTCTCAAATGTGACAAGCCCTCAGTGAAGAAAAGTAAAGCTAGCAGCATCACTTCCACTGTCCCTCACAGAAAAGAAGGACCAAAAAAACCAAGCAAGAAACATCGGGACCCAGGGAACACCATGTCGCCTAACACCAGCACTACGTCCACTCTACCTGGGTGAGTACTCAGCTGTAGGTCATCCACTCAAACATGACTGTAGGTCATCCCACTCAAACATGACTGTAGGTCATCCACTCAAACATGACTGTAGGTCATCCACTCAAACATGACTGTAGGTCATCCACTCAAACATGACTAGGTCATCCACTCAAACATGACTGTAGGTCATCCACTCAAACATGACTAGGTCATCCACTCAAACATGACTGTAGGTCATCCACTCAAACATGACTAGGTCATCCACACAAACATGACTGTAGGTCATCCACTCAAACATGACTGTAGGTCATCCACTCAAACATGACTAGGTCATCCACTCAAACATGACTAGGTCATCCACTCAAACATGACTGTAGGTCATCCACTCAAACATGGCTAGGTCATCCACTCAAACATGACTGTAGGTCATCCACTCAAACATGACTAGGTCATGAACTCAAACATGACTGTAGGTCATCCACTCAAACATGACTGTAGGTCATCCACTCAAACATGACTAGGTCATCCACTCAAATATGACTGTAGGTCATCCACTCAAACATGACTGTAGGTCATCCACTCAAACATGACTGTAGGTCATCCACTCAAACATGACTAGGTCATCCACTCAAACATGACTGTAGGTCATCCACTCAAACATGACTGTAGGTCATCCACTCAAACATGACTGTAGGTCATCCACTCAAACATGACTGTAGGTCATCCACTCAAACATGACTGTAGGTCATCCACTCAAACATGACTGTAGGTCATCCACTCAAACATGACTGTAGGTCATCCACTCAAACATGACTGTAGGTCATCCACTCAAACATGACTAGGTCATCCACTCAAACATGACTAGGTCATCCACTCAAACATGACTGTAGGTCATCCACTCAAACATGACTGTAGGTCATCCACTCAAACATGACTAGGTCATCCACTCAAACATGACTAGGTCATGAACTCAAACATGACTGTAGGTCATCCACTCAAACATGACTGTAGGTCATCCACTCAAACATGACTAGGTCATCCACTCAAACATGACTGTAGGTCATCCCACTCAAACATGACTGTAGGTCATCCACTCAAACATGACCAGGTCATCCACTCAAACATGACTGTAGGTCATCCACTCAAACATGACTGTAGGTCATCCACTCAAACATGACTAGGTCATCCACTCAAACATGACTGTAGGTCATCCACTCAAACATGACTGTAGGTCATCCACTCAAACATGACTAGGTCATCCACTCAAACATGACTGTAGGTCATCCCACTCAAACATGACTGTAGGTCATCCACTCAAACATGACCAGGTCATCCACTCAAACATGACTGTAGGTCATCCACTCAAACATGACTGTAGGTCATCCACTCAAACATGACTGTAGGTCATCCACTCAAACATGACTAGGTCATCCACTCAAACATGACTAGGTCATCCACTCAAACATGACTGTAGGTCATCCACTCAAACATGGCTAGGTCATCCACTCAAACATGACTGTAGGTCATCCACTCAAACATGACTAGGTCATGAACTCAAACATGACTGTAGGTCATCCACTCAAACATGACTGTAGGTCATCCACTCAAACATGACTAGGTCATCCACTCAAATATGACTGTAGGTCATCCACTCAAACATGACTGTAGGTCATCCACTCAAACATGACTGTAGGTCATCCACTCAAACATGACTAGGTCATCCACTCAAACATGACTGTAGGTCATCCACTCAAACATGACTGTAGGTCATCCACTCAAACATGACTGTAGGTCATCCACTCAAACATGACTGTAGGTCATCCACTCAAACATGACTGTAGGTCATCCACTCAAACATGACTGTAGGTCATCCACTCAAACATGACTGTAGGTCATCCACTCAAACATGACTGTAGGTCATCCACTCAAACATGACTGTAGGTCATCCACTCAAACATGACTAGGTCATCCACTCAAACATGACTGTAGGTCATCCACTCAAACATGACTGTAGGTCATCCACTCAAACATGACTAGGTCATCCACTCAAACATGACTGTAGGTCATCCACTCAAACATGACTGTAGGTCATCCACTCAAACATGACTAGGTCATCCACTCAAACATGACTAGGTCATCCACTCAAACATGACTGTAGGTCATCCACTCAAACTTGACTGTAGGTCATCCACTCAAACATGACTGTAGGTCATCCACTCAAACATGACTAGGTCATCCACTCAAACATGACTGTAGGTCATCCCACTCAAACATGACTGTAGGTCATCCACTCAAACATGACCAGGTCATCCACTCAAACATGACTGTAGGTCATCCACTCAAACATGACTGTAGGTCATCCACTCAAACATGACTAGGTCATCCACTCAAACATGACTGTAGGTCATCCACTCAAACATGACTGTAGGTCATCCACTCAAACATGACTAGGTCATCCACTCAAACATGACTGTAGGTCATCCCACTCAAACATGACTGTAGGTCATCCACTCAAACATGACCAGGTCATCCACTCAAACATGACTGTAGGTCATCCACTCAAACATGACTAGGTCATCCACTCAAACATGACTGTAGGTCATCCACTCAAACATGACTAGGTCATCCACTCAAACATGACTGTAGGTCATCCACTCAAACATGACTAGGTCATCCACTCAAACATGACTAGGTCATCCACTCAAACATGACTGTAGGTCATCCACTCAAACATGACTGTAGGTCATCCACTCAAACATGACTGTAGGTCATCCACTCAAACATGACTGTAGGTCATCCACTCAAACATGACTAGGTCATCCACTCAAACATGACTGTAGGTCATCCACTCAAACATGACTGTAGGTCATCCACTCAAACATGACTAGGTCATCCACTCAAACATGACTGTAGGTCATCCACTCAAACATGACTGTAGGTCATCCACTCAAACATGACTGTAGGTCATCCACTCAAACATGACTGTAGGTCATCCACTCAAACATGACTGTAGGTCATCCACTCAAACATGACTAGGTCATCCACTCAAACATGACTAGGTCATCCACTCAAACATGACTGTAGGTCATCCACTCAAACATGACTAGGTCATCCACTCAAACATGACTGTAGGTCATCCACTCAAACATGACTGTAGGTCATCCACTCAAACATGACTAGGTCATCCACTCAAACATGACTGTAGGTCATCCACTCAAACATGACTAGGTCATCCACTCAAACATGACTGTAGGTCATCCACTCAAACATGACTGTAGGTCATCCACTCAAACATGACTAGGTCATCCACTCAAACATGACTGTAGGTCATCCACTCAAACATGACTAGGTCATCCACTCAAACATGACTAGGTCATCCACTCAAACATGACTAGGTCATCCACTCAAACATGACTGTAGGTCATCCACTCAAACATGACTAGGTCATCCACTCAAACATGACTGTAGGTCATCCACTCAAACATGACTGTAGGTCATCCACTCAAACATGACTAGGTCAACTATCTCAAATATAACTTTAGGTCATCCATCTCTAACATGACTAGGATAAATTCTCTACAGATGAGTTAAGTTGAATTTTCTGCCCTTGTAAACCCATTGTTTTCTTTCCTCAGTCATCATGATTACTGTGGTAGTATATTTGGAGGCAGTCCATATTTTCAGAGTCTTAGTGCCCCAGGTCGAGTCTCTTTACAACAGGGTAATGTGGCTAGTTAATTTTGTATACATTTTAATTCCTCATTGGGTAAGGTGGCCATTGGGATTGTACTAATACTTATTATTAAGTTTTCATTCTTTCTGAATATCTGTAGAGAAAGGCTTTCTGTGATCCTCTAAGCAGGGTCTGCTGTGATTTTATTCTGGCACATTGAATGCTTTTATTCTCAACTGTTTGATTCTAGCATTGTTCACAAGCTTACCCTACGATGGGGACAGCTACCTGTATGCTACAGATGATTGGAGCGGTGGGTTTACAGTATTGTCTGCATGCCATGCTCTTTGTGTTTGCATGTATGGCAGACACCCTAAAGCTGTGTGTGTTTTAAATGTATGGCAGACACCCTAAAGCTGTGTGTGTTTAAATGTATCATTTTGTATGGCAGACACCCTAAAGCTGTGTGTGTTTTAAATGTATGGCAGACACCCTAAAGCTGTGTGTGTTTAAATGTATCATTTTGTATGGCAGACACCCTAAATTCCTGCAGTATGTAATTAATGTAACATGTTTACAGTTCCTGCAGTATGTAAGTAATTAAAAATGTAACATGGTTACGATTCCTACATTTTCACTAACCACTTTGTTTAATTGATTTCTCAACATGTACTACAGTGCAAGGAATGTTTTTTATAGGTGTTTATATACACGTCTTGGTGTTATGATGTAGCTTGATATTTGTTTAGGTTTTTTTATACATTACTTGCTGTGCTTTTAACCCTTAAAGCGTGCGCCACGTGGCCTTATGCGTTATAAGTTATGTAACAGCAAAGCCACTAAGAATTTAGCAAAATCAATTATATAAGTGTAAGATTTGAAAGGCTGTTTATAATAATTTTATAATTTTGAAAGCCATTTTAATAATTAAGCTTTGCTGTTACGAATATTTTAATTTACTAAATGATTAATTTCCCCAATGTTGGCTCATTGGTCCACTTAAGTAGATTGAGTGCTCAGTCTATGAAGAATTAACCCTACCCAAAAAAATTAAACGTAGTGTGTGATGTTTTCTATTTATTTTGAGCTAGTGTTTGGTAGGATGTTTTGTTTTGAGCTAGTGTGTGGTAGGATGTTTTGTTTTGAGCTAGTGTTTGGTAGGATGTTTTGTTTTGAGCTAGTGTTTGGTAGGATGTTTTGTTTTGAGCTAGTGTGTGGTAGGATGTTTTGAGCTAGTGTGTGGTAGGATGTTTTGAGCTAGTGTGTGGTAGGATGTTTTGTTTTGAGCTAGTGTTTGGTAGGATGTTTTGTTTTGAGCTAGTGTGTGGTAGGATGTTTTGAGCTAGTGTGTGGTAGGATGTTTTGAGCTAGTGTTTGGTAGGATGTTTTGTTTTGAGCTAGTGTTTGGTAGGATGTTTTGAGCTAGTGTGTGGTAGGATGTTTTGTTTTGAGCTAGTGTTTGGTAGGATGTTTTGTTTTGAGCTAGTGTGTGGTAGGATGTTTTGTTTTGAGCTAGTGTGTGGTGTAGCTGTCCCCAGCTATCGAGCCTCATCTGCCCAGGTTTGAACTCGGGACTTTTTCAGTTTTGCAACTATGAGCTTTACCAACTCGACCCCATTGCTTTGATAACTTAAACCATCTTTGTTAACAACTAGCTTTGATCACTGTGTTTTTTTACCCCCAGATTCAGGAAATGTTTCCAGCCAGCTGATCCCGCCACCTAAACAGTTTCCTAGTTTAAGTTGTTTGTTGCCTAAATCTGACCAGCCACAGTAAGTCGCAACTCCTTTTTCCCCACTTGTATGAAATTGTTTGCTGGTTAAAGCTGATGTATGCACATTTTTTCCCAGTAGTTTCCCCTTGACAATGGAGCAGCTGCTGGAGCAGCAGTGGGAGCAGGGGGCGCAGTTCTTGATGGAGCAGGGCCAGCACTTTGATGGTGAGTCTCTTCACATCTTCTTCTTTCTGGTCTCATTAGACCACATCTTCTCTCAAGTCTCACCAGACTTCACATCTCATCTCACCAGACTTCACATCTCATCTCACCAGCCTTCACATCTCTCATCTCACCAGCCTTCACATCTCTCATCTCACCAGACTTCACATCTCACCAGACTTCACATCTCTTCTCATCTCACCAGACTTCACATCTCTCATCTCACTAGACTTCACATCTCTTCTCACCAGACTTCACATCTCTTCTCATCTCACCAGACTTCACATCTCTCATCTCACCAGACTTCACATCTCATCTCACCAGACTTCACATCTCTTCTCACCAGACTTCACATCTCTCATCTCACCAGACTTCACATCTCTCATCTCACCAGACTTCACATCTCTTCTCACCAGACTTCACATCTCTCATCTCACCAGACTTCACATCTCATCTCACCAGACTTCACATCTCATCTCACCAGACTTCACATCTCTCATCTCACCAGACTTCACATCTCTCATCTCACCAGACTTCACATCTCTCATCTCACCAGACTTCATGTCTCATCTCATCAGACTTCACATCTTCTCTAGTTAAAAGTATATTCCAAACCTTTACTCTCAAGTTGCTGCACTACTCAACTGCTTGCATCGACTAAAAGGAGACAACCAAAACCTTGAAGATCAAGTGAGAGAGTTGACGTCGCGACGCAATCATCTGATGGCAGTCAATGCCCGTCTCTCATTGCCACTGTCACTCTATGACAGTTCCAACAGCTCTTCAGTGGGGAGCCTCGAAGACATATCTTCACCTGATGATGTGCAGGTAAGTGGCCCCTAATAACCGATTAGTTGGTTTTGGTTAGTGTGTAGTCTTAAGTGCTTTTCTGGCACCAAACCTTGCTCCTACAGTGCAAATACCATCGCTCTAATCTTAAACATATTGCAGGCACCTAAACTTGCTCCTACAGTGCAAATACCATTGCTCTAATCTTAAACATATTGCAGGCATCTAAACTTGCTCCTACAGTGCAAATACCATTGCTCTAATCTTAAACATTGCAGGCACCTAAACTTGCTCCTACAGTGCAAATACCATTGCTCTAATCTAAAACATTGCAGGCACCTAAACTTGCTCCTACAGTGCAAATACCATTGCTCTAATCTTAAACATATTGCAGGCATCTAAACTTGCTCCTACAGTGCAAATACCATTGCTCTAATCTTAAACATATTGCAGGCACCTAAACTTGCTCCTACAGTGCAAATACCATCCAACTCTGATCTTATTGTTGAGGACATTCTAAGTCCTGTTGGTAAGTCACTAGATTTAGCTCTGTTGGACTAGTGGTTTACTTTCCCAGAACATTTAGCTCTGTTGGACTAGGGGTTTACTTTCCCAGAACATTTAGCTCTGTTTTAGATGGACTAGTGGTTTACTTTCCCAGAACATTTAGCTCTGTTGGACTAGTGGTTTACTTTCCCAGAACATTTAGCTCTGTTGGACTAGGGGTTTACTTTCCCAGAACATTTAGCTCTGTTGGACTAGGGGTTTACTTTCCCAGAACATTTAGCTCTGTTTTAGATGGCCTAGTGGTTTACTTTCCCAGAACATTTAGCTCTGTTTTAGATGGTCTAGTGGTTTACTTTCCCAGAACATTTAGCTCTGTTTTAGATGGTCTAGTGGTTTACTTTCCCAGAACATTTAGCTCTGTTTTAGATGGCCTAGTGGTTTACTTTCCCAGAACATTTAGCTCTGTTTTAGATGGCCTAGTGGTTTACTTTCCCAGAACATTTAGCTCTGTTTTAGATGGTCTAGTGGTTTACTTTCCCAGAACATTTAGCTCTGTTTTAGATGGTCTAGTGGTTTACTTTCCCAGAACATTTAGCTCTGTTTTAGATGGCCTAGGGGTTTACTTTCCCAGAACATTTAGCTCACTCGACGTCACGTTTAACAAGCTCAGTTATTTTTCCAGATTGTCAATCAAATTGTACATTTTTTCAAGATTGTCACTGAAAATAAAAATGATTTTGTTTTCAATGTGCCACCTTTTAAATTGTAAAGAAACTGTAAAGAAAAGCATGAGGCGCTCTAAAAGTGTTAGCAAAGGTATTAAAGACATAGCATATCAATCTAACTTGTGAACTTATCTTTCCAGAAACAGAAAGTTCTTCATTGTCCTCAAACCCTCTAAATGCAGGCTATTTTCCTGATCAGGTAAATGAAACATTTGTCAATCATGTGGACATTGGTAGACGTATAGATCTCTGTGATTTTATATCTAACACTAGTTAGTCAGTCTACTGAAGCCAGTGACTTGTCTTCTACTTTTAGGTGTGTCCACCCCAACCACTGATGTACTCTGTGGTCAACCCACCCCCAGCTAATCTGCCAGCTCAGCAAACAGCACTGGCTGAAAGCTCTCAGTTCCCCAGCTTAAGTGGACTCACCTTGTCCAATTGTAAACAAGACACAACTTGATATATTAGCTCACATCAGTACCTTATGGACACAGCCTGGTACTTGACAGTACCTTATGGACACAGCCTGGTACTTGACAGTACCTTATGGACACTTGTCAGTACCTTATGGACACAGCCTGGTACTTGACAGTACCTTATGTACACTTGTCAGTACCTTATGGACACAGCCTGGTACTTGTCAGTACCTTATGTACACTTGTCAGTACCTTATGGACACAGCCTGGTACTTGACAGTACCTTATGGACACAGCCTGGTACTTGACAGTACCTTATGGACACTTGTCAGTACCTTATGGACACAGCCTGGTACTTGTCAGTACCTTATGGACACAGCCTGGTACTTGACAGTAGCTTATGGACACAGCCTGGTACTTGACAGTACCTTATGGACACAGCCTGGTACTTGTCAGTACCTTATGGACACAGCCTGGTACTTGTCAGTACCTTATGTACACTTGTCAGTACCTTATGGACACAGCCTGGTACTTGACAGTACCTTATGGACACAGCCTGGTACTTGTCAGTACCTTATGGACACAGCCTGGTACTTGTCAGTACCTTATGGACACAGCCTGGTACTTGTCAGTACCTTATGTACACTTGTCAGTACCTTATGGACACAGCCTGGTACTTGACAGTACCTTATGGACACAGCCTGGTACTTGTCAGTACCTTATGTACACAGCCTGGTACTTGTCAGTACCTTATGGACACTTGTCAGTACCTTATGGACACTTGCCAGTACCTTATGGACACAGCCTGGTACTTGTCAGTTCCTTATGGACACAGCCTGGTACTTGACAGTACCTTATGGACACAGCCTGGTACTTGACAGTACCTTATGGACACAGCCTGGTACTTGTCAGTACCTTATGGACACAGCCTGGTACTTGTCAGTACCTTATGTACACCTGTCAGTACCTTATGGACACAGCCTGGTACTTGACAGTACCTTATGGACACAGCCTGGTACTTGTCAGTACCTTCTGGACACAGCCTGGTACTTGTCAGTACCTTATGTACACTTGTCAGTACCTTATGGACACAGCCTGGTACTTGTCAGTACCTTATGTACACCTGTCAGTACCTTATGGACACAGCCTGGTACTTGACAGTACCTTATGGACACAGCCTGGTACTTGTCAGTACCTTCTGGACACTTGTCAGTACCTTATGGACACTTGCCAGTACCTTATGGACACAGCCTGGTACTTGTCAGTACCTTATGGACACAGCCTGGTACTTGTCAGTACCTTATGGACACAGCCTGGTACTTGTCAGTACCTTATGGACACAGCCTGGTACTTGTCAGTACCTTATGGACACAGCCTGGTACTTGACAGTACCTTATGGACACAGCCTGGTACTTGTCAGTACCTTATGGACACAGCCTGGTACTTGACAGTACCTTATGGACACAGCCTGGTACTTGTCAGTACCTTATGATGACTAATAATTTTTTTAATCACGGTTTACATTTATTTTAATTAGACATACAAGTACTTAAATTACATTTGTAAAACACCATTTTTCTCTAATAGTAATAGGATATATGTAAGTATATTCATAATGTAAGAGTAATTAGTTAAAAATTGGTGTAGGTAAGTTTATGATTGCATAGATTCATTGACCGGGTGTCATCTGACATAATGCTCTGGTTGTAAATGTAACTCAAGCCTGTAAACAATTATTTAGTGATGCTACACACTCCCCTTCATGTGTCCTGTAACTTGATCAGCCTCTGTAAATAAAACACTGGATAACATACTTGTGGTATAATCATTTATTGATTTGGTTTAGCAAATAACTGTCAGTAGTTAATATCAGTCAATACAAGTCAGTCCAACTGATTAAGTGGAGTCCAATATTTGTCCTCTGTATATCTTGTTCAACATATTCCATCTTGTCCCCAGGTGATCTCATGTTGAGCCAGGGTACTCCAATACTGCGGCGGCCCCCATCCCAGTTCCAATACACATTGACACCACACCATAGGCCCTGTGGTTAAGTTAGACACATTAACACCACACCATAGGTCTGTGGTTAAGTTAGACACATTGACAGGTTAAGACACATTCACACCATAGGCCCTGTGGTTAAGTTAGACACATTAACACCACACCATAGGTCATGTGGTTAAGTTAGACACATTGACAGGTTAAGACACATTGACACCACACCATAGGCCCTGTGGTTAAGTTAGACACATTGACACCACACCATAGGTCTGTGGTTAAGTTAGACACATTGACAGGTTATATTAAGACACATTGACACCACACCATAGGCCCTGTGGTTAAGTTAGACACATTGACACCACACCATAGGCCCTGTGGTTAAGTTAGACACATTGACAGGCTAAGACACATTGACACCACACCATAGGCCCTGTGGTTAAGTTAGACATTGGCACCACACCATAGGCTCTGTGGTTAAGTTAGACACATTGACACCACACCATAGGTCTGTGGTTAAGTTAGACACATTGACAGGTTAAGACACATTGGCACCACACCATAGGTCCTGTGGTTAAGTAAGACACATTGGCACCACACCATAGGCCCTGTGGTTAAGTTAGACACATTGACACCACACCATAGGCCCTGTGGTTAAGTTAGACACATTAACAGGTTAAGACACATTGACACCACACCATAGGCCCTGTGGTTAAGTTAGACACATTGGCACCACACCATAGGCCCTGTGGTTAAGTTAGACACATTGACACCACACCATAGGTCTGTGGTTAAGTTAGACACATTGACAGGTTAAGACACATTGACACCACACCATAGGCCCTGTGGTTAAGTTAGACACATTGACAGGTTAAGACACATTGATACCACACCATAGGTCCTGTGGTTAAGTTAGACACATTGACAGGTTAAGACACATTGGCACCACACCATAGGCCCTGTGGTTAAGTTAGACACATTGACAGGTTAAGACACATTGGCACCACACCATAGGCCCTGTGGTTAAGTTAGACACATTGACAGGTTAAGACACATTGGCACCACACCATAGGCCCTGTGGTTAAGTTAGACACATTGACACCACACCATAGGCCCTGTGGTTAAGTTAGACACATTGACAGGTTAAGACACATTGGCACCACACCATAGGCCCTGTGGTTAAGTTAGACACATTGACACCACACCATAGGTCTGTGGTTAAGTTAGACACATTGACAGGTTAAGACACATTGGCACCACACCATAGGCCCTGTGGTTAAGTTAGACACATTGACAGGTTAAGACACATTGACACCACACCATAGGCCCTGTGGTTAAGTTAGACACATTGACAGGTTAAGACGCATTGACACCACACCATAGGCCCTGTGGTTAAGTTAGACACATTGACAGGCTAAGACACATTGACACCACACCATAGGCCCTGTGGTTAAGTTAGACACATTGGCACCACACCATAGGCTCTGTGGTTAAGTTAGACACATTGACACCACACCATAGGTCTGTGGTTAAGTTAGACACATTGACAGGTTAAGACACATTGACACCACACCATAGGCCCTGTGGTTAAGTTAGACACATTGACACCACACCATAGGCCCTGTGGTTAAGTTAGACACATTAACAGGTTAAGACACATTGACACCACACCATAGGCCCTGTGGTTAAGTTAGACACATTGGCACCACACCATAGGCCCTGTGGTTAAGTTAGACACATTGACACCACACCATAGGTCTGTGGTTAAGTTAGACACATTGACAGGCTAAGACACATTGACACCACACCATAGGCCCTGTGGTTAAGTTAGACACATTAACACCACACCATAGGCCCTGTGGTTAAGTTAGACACATTGACACCACACCATAGGTCTGTGGTTAAGTTAGACACATTGACAGGTTAAGACACATTGACACCACACCATAGGCCCTGTGGTTAAGTTAGACACATTAACACCACACCATAGGTCTGTGGTTAAGTTAGACACATTGACAGGTTAAGACACATTGACACCACACCATAGGTCTGTGGTTAAGTTAGACACATTGACAGGTATTGACACCACACCATAGGTCTGTGGTTAAGTTAGACACATTGACAGGTTAAGACACATTGACACCACACCATAGGTCTGTGGTTAAGTTAGACACATTGACAGGTTAAGACACATTGACACCACACCATAGGCCCTGTGGTTAAGTTAGACACATTGACACCACACCATAGGTCTGTGGTTAAGTTAGACACATTGACAGGTTAAGACACATTGACACCACACCATAGGCCCTGTGGTTAAGTTAGACACATTGACACCACACCATAGGTCTGTGGTTAAGTTAGACACATTGACAGGTTAAGACACATTGACACCACACCATAGGCCCTGTGGTTAAGTTAGACACATTGACACCACACCATAGGTCTGTGGTTAAGTTAGACACATTGACAGGTTAAGACACATTGGCACCACACCATAGGCCCTGTGGTTAAGTTAGACACATTGACAGGTTAAGACACATTGACACCACACCATAGGCCCTGTGGTTAAGTTAGACACATTGACACCACACCATAGGTCTGTGGTTAAGTTAGACACATTGACAGGTTAAGACACATTGACACCACACCATAGGCCCTGTGGTTAAGTTAGACACATTGACACCACACCATAGGTCTGTGGTTAAGTTAGACACATTGACAGGTTAAGACACATTGGCACCACACCATAGGCCCTGTGGTTAAGTTAGACACATTGACAGGTTAAGACACATTGATACCACACCATAGGTCTGTGGTTAAGCTTTTAGTTATAAATCTACATATTGTCTGGGTATAATTTATCTGATATCTTTTTTTTTTAACCGGTCAGCTTCCACCTCTACCAAACCCCATTTGGTCAGCTTCTACCAAACCCCATTTGGTCAGCTTCCACCTCTACCAAACCCCATTTGGTCAGCTTCCACTTCTACCAAACCCCATTTGGTCAGCTTCCACCTCTACCAAACCCCATTTGGTCAGCTTCTACCAAACCCCATTTGGTCAGCTTCCACCTCTACCAAACCCCATTTCAAAATACCAGCCAGGGGTTTTAAGTGGATTAGCCTAACTTGCCCCTAATTAAACTGAAACGGGCAACTAGTTAATATAAATATAAAAAAAAACACCTATACCAGCTAGATATCAAATGTTGACACCAAGTCAGATGAGACTTACCTCTGCCCCAAAAAAATGTTCCTAAAATCTGCCCAAAAATATTCTTTTAAACTGCCCCAAAAAAAGGGGGAGTGATCTCCCCAATCTTTCTCAAATATTCTTAGATATCACAAAGGGGAATAATAGAGCGGAACATTAGTACTTTTATACAGAAAATTTTGATTAATTTTCAGAGAGCAAATTGATCACATAATTAAGTTACATTTAATGTCACAATACATTGAATTCAAGTCTTGACCTACGTGAAAAGATCAAAGTTTGCAAGTAGAAGTTTCCGACTATGACAGAGGATAGAGGAATCAAGTTAAAAATAATTTCATGTTTTTTTAAATCTGCCCAAAAAAAATGTTCCTTACCTCTGCCCTCGTCTCTTAAGTTCATGCAGCAGTGTAGCTACCTGTCTAGCACCTGTACAGCCCAGGGGGTGACCTAAAGCTATGGCCCCACCCTTGGGGTTGACCCGGTTTGCTGGGATGTTCAACTTCTCAACACAGTATACAGCTTGACTGGCAAAGGCCTCATTTATTTCAAACACATCAATGTCTTGCACAGTGAGACCTAGAGACAAACACATCAATGTCTTGCACAGTGAGACCTAGAGACAAACACATCAATGTCTTGCACAGTGAGACCTAGAGACAAACACATCAATGTCTTGCACAGTGAGACCTAGAGACAAATACATCAATGTCTTGCACAGTAAGACCTAGAGACAAACACATCAATGTCTTGCACAGTGAGACCTAGAGACAAACACATCAATGTCTTGCACAGTGAGACCTAGAGACAAATACATCAATGTCTTGCACAGTGAGACCTAGAACACATCAATGTCTTGCACAGTGAGACCTAGAGACAAACACATCAATGTCTTGCACAGTGAGACCTAGAGACAAACACATCCATGTCTTGCACAGTGAGACCTAGAGACAAACACATCGATCTGTAACTAAGGTGTAACTGAGGAAACAACAGCTAGGTGTAACTGAGACTTAGGAAACCAATTACCAGCTAGGTGTAACTGAGACAACCAATTACCAGCTAGGTGTAACTGAGACTTAGGAAACCACTTACCAGCTTTCTCCAGGGCTAAAGGAATTGCAACAGCCGGTCCTATGCCCATCACATCTGGCGGGCAACCTTTGACAGCAAAAGAACGGAAAATTCCTAAGATGGGCAGTTTCCTGCGCTGGGCTTCATCACGTGTCATCATAAGAACAGCTGCTGCTCCATCACTCACTTGACTTGAATTACCTGACATTTGGCCAGTTTTGCAAGTTGTCATTACACTTGGGATATTTAGTATGATGTGTTATGACACTATAAACCCCCACTAAACCCCCCCTACTCTATAAACCCCCACTACTCTATAAACCCCACTACTCTATAAACCCCCACTACACCCCTGGCCTACCTACCAGCTGTTGTTGAACCATTTTCCTTGAATGCTGGTCTTAGCTTGCTCAAGCCTTCAATAGTTGTTGCTCTGATACCATCATCCTTCCTTACCTAAAGGGGGCCAAAAGAAGATGTTAGTACAAGCACACATTAATTCATTGTTTTAAATATATAGCAAAATATTTATTTCTTTACTTTTTTATTTTAAAAAATATATAAGTTAACATAATAAAATGTTACGGTAAGTATTTTTTCTTGTCCATTTTCGTCCAAAATCTTTGTAGTAACTGGCACAATTTCTGCATCAAACAGACCTCCCTCTGCTGCCTTCAGTGCTCTGAACAGGATGTGTACACAAATCCAGTTATTGGATTAACTATGTGCTAGCTACTACAGGATGTGTACACAAATCCAGTTATTGGATTAACTATGTACTAGCTACTACAGGATGTGTACACAAATCCAGTTATTGGATTAACTATGTGATAGCTACTACAGGATGTGTAGACACAGCATCACATGAGAAAGAAAGTTTTACACAAGACACCAAAGAAAGAAAGTTTTAGACAAGACAACAGAGAAAGAAAGTTTTAGACAAGACAACAGAGAAAGAAAGTTTTAGACAAGACAACAGAGAAAGAAAGTTTTAGACAAGACAACAGAGAAAGAAAGTTTTAGACAAGACAACAGAGAAAGAAAGTTTTAGACAAGACACCAGAGAAAGAAAGTTTTAGACAAGACAACAGAGAAAGAAAGTTTTAGACAAGACAACAGAGACAGTTTTAGACAAGACAACAGAGAAAGAAAGTTTTAGACAAGACAACAGAGAAAGAAAGTTTTAGACAAGACAACAGAGAAAGAACGTTTTAGACAAGACAGAGACAGTTTTAGACAAGACAACAGAGAAAGAAAGTTTTAGACAAGACAACAGAGAAAGAAAGTTTTAGACAAGACAACAGAGAAAGAAAGTTTTAGACAAGACACCAGAGAAAGAAAGTTTTAGACAAGACAACAGAGAAAGAAAGTTTTAGACAAGACAACAGAGAAAGAAAGTTTTAGACAAGACAACAGAGAAAGAAAGTTTTAGACAAGGCACCAGAGAAAGAAAGTTTTAGACAAGACAACAGAGACAGTTTTAGACAAGACAACAGAGAAAGAAAGTTTTAGACAAGACACCAGAGAAAGAAAGTTTTAGACAAGACAACAGAGAAAGAACATTTTAGACAAGACACCAGAGAAAGAAAGTTTTAGACAAGACAACAGAGAAAGAAAGTTTTAGACAAGACAACAGAGAAAGAAAGTTTTAGACAAGACACCAGAGAAAGAAAGTTTTAGACAAGACAACAGAGAAAGAAAGTTTTAGACAAGACAACAGAGAAAGAAAGTTTTAGACAAGACAACAGAGAAAGTTTTAGACAAGACAACAGAGAAAGAAAGTTTTAGACAAGACAACAGAGAAAGAACGTTTTAGACAAGACAGAGACAGTTTTAGACAAGACAACAGAGAAAGAAAGTTTTAGACAAGACAACAGAGAAAGAAAGTTTTAGACAAGACAACAGAGAAAGAAAGTTTTAGACAAGACAACAGAGAAAGAAAGTTTTAGACAAGACAACAGAGAAAGAAAGTTTTAGACAAGACAACAGAGAAAGAAAGTTTTAGACAAGACAACAGAGAAAGAAAGTTTTAGACAAGGCACCAGAGAAAGAAAGTTTTAGACAAGACAACAGAGACAGTTTTAGACAAGACAACAGAGAAAGAAAGTTTTAGACAAGACACCAGAGAAAGAAAGTTTTAGACAAGACAACAGAGAAAGAACATTTTAGACAAGACACCAGAGAAAGAAAGTTTTAGACAAGACAACAGAGAAAGAAAGTTTTAGACAAGACAACAGAGAAAGAAAGTTTTAGACAAGACAGCAGAGAAAGAAAGTTTTAGACAAGACAACAGAGAAAGAAAGTTTTAGACAAGACAACAGAGAAAGAAAGTTTTAGACAAGACACCAGAGAAAGAAAGTTTTAGACAAGACAACAGAGAAAGAAAGTTTTAGACAAGACAACAGAGAAAGAAAGTTTTAGACAAGACAACAGAGAAAGAAAGTTTTAGACAAGACAACAGAGAAAGAAAGTTTTAGACAAGACACCAGAGAAAGAAAGTTTTAGACAAGACAACAGAGAAAGAAAGTTTTAGACAAGACAACAGAGAAAGAAAGTTTTAGACAAGACAACAGAGAAAGAAAGTTTCAGACAAGACAACAGAGAAAGAAAGTTTTAGACAAGACAACAGAGAAAGAAAGTTTTAGACAAGACAACAGAGAAAGAAAGTTTTAGACAAGACAACAGAGAAAGAAAGTTTTAGACAAGACAACAGAGAAAGAAAGTTTAGGCAAGACAACAGAGAAAGAAAGTTTTAGACAAGACAACAGAGAAAGAAAGTTTTAGACAAGACAACAGAGAAAGAAAGTTTTAGACAAGACAACAGAGAAAGAAAGTTTTAGACAAGACAACAGAGAAAGAAAGTTTTAGACAAGACACCAGAGAAAGAAAGTTGTTACTTTGTCTGTGAGCTGAGAGCAAACTCGTCTTGTTTCTGTCTGGATATTCCAAATCTTTCAGCCACATTTTCTGATGTTATTCTGTGTTCGAAGGAAAGCAACATTGTTTATAGCACCTCAACTTTGCTTTAGCTATGATTACAATTGTGACAGCACCTCATTTAAATGAACCTATCATAGAACTTGTGACATAATTGTCCATTAGCCCAGGCGGAGAACAAATTAAACTAAAAAAACTGACCCCATTGGAAGAAGTAGGTCTAGAGTCTTTTGGAGGTCAGCAACTCTAGGATTGAGGGAGATATTTTTGTTCTTGCCCATGTCATAGGTGCTCATTGACTCCACACTGTTGAAACATCAGTAGACTACAATCAGAACCAATAGGGTTAAACATGAGTAGACTACAATCAGAAACAATAGGGTTAAACATGAGTAGACTACAATCAGAAACAATAGGGTTAAACATGAGTAGACTACAATCAGAAACAATAGGGTTAAACATGAGTAGACTACAATCAGAACCAATAGGGTTAAACATGAGTAGACTACAATCAGAAACAATAGGGTTAAACATGAGTAGACTACAATCAGAAACAATAGGGTTAAACATGAGTAGACTACAATCAGAAACAATAGGGTTAAACATGAGTAGACTACAATCAGAAACAATAGGGTTAAACATGAGTAGACTACAATCAGAAACAATGCAAGGGCTTAGATTTTACTTAGAGAACTCTAAGAATAAACACATATTTCATAAACTAATTCACTTTGGTCATGATTTTGTAGATGGGCAAGTAAGTTATGTTTGCTGCAGTCAAGCATGTTAAAGTCATATCATTACGTATGTTGCCTCAACTTACCTTCCTGCAAGGCCAATTCTGTACACACCATTACGTATGTTGCCTCAACTTACCCTCCTGCAAGGCCAATTCTGTACACACCATTACGTATGTTGCCTTAACTTATGCGCCTGCGAGGCCAATCCTGTACACACCATTACGTATGTTGCCTCAACTTACCTTCCTGCAAGGCCAATTCTGTACACACCATTACGTATGTTGCCTCAACTTACCCTCCTGCAAGGCCAATTCTGTACACACCATTACGTATGTTGCCTTAACTTATGCGCCTGCGAGGCCAATCCTGTACACACCATTACGTATGTTGCCTCAACTTACCCTCCTGCAAGGCCAATCCTGTACACACCATTACGTATGTTGCCTCAACTTACCCTCCTGCAAGGCCAATTCTGTACACACCATTACGTATGTTGCCTTAACTTATGCGCCTGCGAGACCAATTCTGTACATACCATTACGTATGTTGCCTCAACTTACCCTCCTGCAAGGCCAATCCTGTACACACCATTACGTATGTTGCCTCAACTTACCCTCCTGCAAGGATAATTCTGTACACACCATTACGTATGTTGCCTTAACTTATGCGCCTGCGAGACCAATTCTGTACATACCATTACGTATGTTGCCTCAACTTACCCTCCTGCAAGGCCAATCCTGTACACACCATTACGTATGTTGCCTCAACTTACCCTCCTGCAAGGCCAATTCTGTACACACCATTACGTATGTTGCCTTAACTTATGCGCCTGCGAGACCAATTCTGTACATACCATTACGTATGTTGCCTCAACTTACCCTCCTGCAAGGCCAATCCTGTACACACCATTACGTATGTTGCCTTAACTTATGCGCCTGCGAGACCAATTCTGTACATACCATTACGTATGTTGCCTCAACTTACCCTCCTGCAAGGCCAATCCTGTACACACCATTACGTATGTTGCCTCAACTTACCCTCCTGCAAGGCCAATTCTGTACACACCATTACGTATGTTGCCTTAACTTATGCGCCTGCGAGACCAATTCTGTACATACCATTACGTATGTTGCCTCAACTTACCCTCCTGCAAGGCCAATCCTGTACACACCATTACGTATGTTGCCTCAACTTACCCTCCTGCAAGGCCAATTCTGTACACACCATTACGTATGTTGCCTTAACTTATGCGCCTGCGAGACCAATTCTGTACATACCATTACGTATGTTGCCTCAACTTACCCTCCTGCAAGACCAATCCTGTACACACCATTACGTATGTTGCCTCAACTTACCCTCCTGCAAGGCCAATTCTGTACACACCATTACGTATGTTGCCTGAAACAAAAAAAGGACAATGTGACAAAAAGATAACCAGTCAGGTGAGTTCATCTATCCCCATGACTGCACTTTTTGCAGCAGGTGTTCCCAAACCTTTTTACAGCAGTGGTTCCCAAACCTTTTTGGAGCAACCAAACCCCAACAGCTTCATTTGTCCATTCCCCAAACCCTTCTCTATTGGAAAAATAAAATATGATCCTTTTTCAAATTCAAAACATAAATAAATATTTTACTGTGCTTAAAGAGTAAAACCATTTAAATATGATTTTCACACAAAAATAAAGCAGTAGTGATCTCCACTAAACTTTCTAGTATATTTTTATAGTATATTTTTATAAACTACCTAATGCAAACAATCTGCGTACAATAGCACAGAAAATTAGTTCTTTATTAAGGAAACATTGATTAATTTATAAAATGTTAATTAAACCTCTAATTAAGTCAAAATTTGTAACACAGTGCATTGTCATCGCGCCTTCACCTAGGTGAAAATTTCAAACAAATTGGTCCGGTAGAAATTTTTTGAGCAATCAGTTTGCTGATTGCTGTAAAGTACTACTTCCAGTCACTGGAATTCACTCATTGTTTTAAAGAATCAAGAAAATAGGATCTTATGCCTGTGTATTAAATTCCGTTCACCTAACTGCAATGGTACTTACTTTAACTGTAATTTCAAAACTGTAAATTAAACTAAAGCACCACTTCTAGATAAGAGCGGTCACTCAAAATTTAAATGTAATCTAAGTTTTGTCTACTTGACTGCAACAGTACTCACATTATCATGTTCCCACAGTAACAACATAAAGTACCACTTCTGGTTGTCAAATATATTAATAATATTATACTTCGTATACAATTTTATACTTTCTGAGATACTGGAGGTAGAGTAAGTACCACTTCTGGATATTGGAAATATCTCAAAACATGAATGGAAAACTACAAATTTGATATAACACATTTACATATGAAATTTCTTCAACCGAACTGAATCGCTACTCAAGTTCAGGTCAGGATTGATACACTAAGTATCACTACCTCTGAAAGGTTTTATAACGTCAAAATGTGTCAAAATCTTGATTTAGATTTTTGCACGATTCCAGTGAATTTTTTTGTATTCTGTATACGATAAAGTAGGGAGGTGTAGATTGCTGAAAACTGTAAAAAAAAACTGCTACTTATTCTCATCACAATTCCAATACTTCCTCTATACTCTGTATATGAGAAAGTAACATGATAGTAAATATTTACTGCTGTTGCTGATACCAGTACAGAAATGCACAGGTTCACTTTGAAGGATTGTGTTCTTGTTTCCCATCTCCGTGTAGTTCTGGTAGTGCTAGACTAGATTTGGTGTCTATCTTGGCTTCCACCAAACCCCTCAGATTGACTCACTGAACCCCTGGGGTTTGATTGAACCCAGGTTAAGAACCAGTGCTTTAGAGTAAACTAAACTAAACAATGACTGCACTCTTTAGAGTGATCAACACACATGACATTTTATAGCAATATCTGCCACTCAACACACACACACACATGACATTTTATAGCAATATCTGCCACTCAACACACACACATGACATTTTATAGCAATATCTGCCACTCAACACACACACATGACATTTGATGACAATACCTGCCACATTAGCCAAGGCCACCAAGCCAGATGAACAGGCACGATTGGTGGTATAAGCAGGAACGTCTTCTGGGATCCCACTGAAATATCAGTAAACACATCACTGGCAAACTAGCCTTATATAATATAAGCTATGTTAACATTCAAAATTTCTAAGAGCTCATTGAAATATTCTTTTAACACAAGGTAGATTACTATCAGAAAAGTGAACCACACCACTAAAAGATTTCTTCAGATAATCCTCACAAATACTCTTGTGGATAACACTGGTAAAACTGACCCATTGACCAAAAATAGATAACTCACCGGTAGAACAGCCATGGACTAAAAATAGATAACTCTCCAGTAGAACACCCATGACTAAAAATAGATAACTCTCCAGTAGAACAGCCATGGACAAAAAATAGATAACTGACCAGTAGAACAGCCTTGGACTAAAAATAGATAACTCACCAGTAGAACTGAGCCAGACGAACTGTAAGTAGTGACTGTGGATCCTGGACATTTCCTGAACATAGATATTATAAACGTACATTATTCATGCTTTTCAAATTATTCTGATTCAATTCCATATATATATATATATATATATATATATATATATATATATATATATATATATATATATATATATATATATATATATATATATATATATATATATATATATATATATATATATATATATATTAAAGTTTCAGTACATTTCTAGACCTGTTTTGAAGTAAGTAAACAAAAGTAAGAGTAGAGAAGAATGTTAAAATATTTGACAAACATTAAAGAGGAAGGGTAGTGTACACTCACCAACGCATATGTCGCCAAGTTCAGAGGGATTTATTTTAGTTTCATCTAGCACAGCTTTAAACACAGCAGCCAATAGCTCGTCCCCGTGTGTGTCCTACAGTACAGCACAAAAACACTTGCATACAGAATTAAGGAAGAAAACTGTTTCTCTAGCACAAGAATCTACTAGATCTGGTACTAGGAACAAAGTGAAGCCTTACAACTCATAATCTGATCTCAAATCCCTTATATTAAATCTAGTATTCCATGACAGACATGACAGCCAGCGTGCTGCAATCACCTTAAAAGATCCTCTTTTAGCTTTCCCTATGGGTGTCCTTAGAGCAGACACAATGACCACATCCTCAGGTTTATCTGACTGGGAGCACGGCTTCAGAGCAAGTGAGCTGCCAAGGTGGCCCTTAAGTGTGTGTAGTCTGTGTGCCATCTGAAATAAATCATGGAGCAACATTTCAAAAATCAAGCCAAACCCTTGAACCAATGTAACTAACCCTAACCATAACCGACCAAAACACAAAAACAAACACAAACGTAATGCAAACACAAATGTAAACACACACAAAAATACATACACAAACACAAAAGCAAACATAATTGCAAACAATAATGCAAAATTAAATGTGAACATAAACACAAACATTAATGCCACGTGCTCACAGGATAGCTCGGGATGCCAAACAATACAGGGGAGCTGGCAGACCAGCTTAATTCAATTTATAATACCCCATCATATCATGGCAGACCAGCTTAATTCAATTTATAATACCCCATCATATCATGGCAGACGAGCTTAATTCAATTTATAATACCCCATCATATCATGGCAGACCAGCTTAATTCAATTTATAATACCCCATCATATCATGGCAGACGAGCTTAATTCAATTTATAATACCCCATCATATCATGGCAGACGAGCTTAATTCAATTTATAATACCCCATCATATCATGGCAGACGAGCTTAATTCAATTTATAATACCCCATCATATCATGGCAGACGAGCTTAATTCAATTTATAATACCCCATCATATCATGGCAGACCAGCTTAATTCAATTTATAATACCCCATCATATCGGCAAGAGGACAGATAGAAGTAAACATAAAGGTCATTTCGGAATGGCTTCTAAACTGTTACTGATTATAATATAAATAATAATTAGTAAACAGTACGTTCAGTGTATAAAATAAATAAAAGGTAGTATTTAAAATACCTGTGTTTCACCTACCATACTGCACTTTATCAATCCATGCTAATTATATACTTATTTTTTTCCAACATCAAAACAAACTAATAAAAAGTAACCACCCCCCCCCCCCCCCCCCCCCCCCGCCTCCTTACTTGTAATGTTTTTTTTTGGTGATCTATCAAGGAAAGCAATTGGTATTAAGGGAAGTAATTTGTACACTTTTTTCAGACACAATTAGAATTTTTCTTAAGGGTGACAATAGTGCTATATTTAATTTGATTTTGCACTTTACACATTACATCAATTAAAATTATAAGTTTGGAAAATGAAACTTTTTTTTACAAAACCATCCAAATTGATTTTTTTTTTTAGGCCTCCGTTTTGATTTCATTCCAAAATCTAATATTTTAAGAATATTACACAATACTGATAGTTTTTTACTATATGCATGTGTTCCACGCAACCATCCACCCGCCGTCACATACAATCAGAGACACAGAGAAACATCCACCTGCTGTCACATACAATCAGAGACACAGAGACACATCCACCTGCTGTCACATACAATCAGAGACACATCCACCTGCTGTCACATACAATCAGAGACACATCCACCTGCTGTCACATACAATCAGAGACACATCCACCTGCTGTCACATACAATCAGAGACACATCCACCTGCTGTCACATACAATCAGAGACACATCCACCTGCTGTCACATACAATCAGAGACACATCCACCTGCTGTCACATAACTCACCACAAAACTTCAAACCCTTTCTTGGAAACAGATGTTTCAGCCCAGTAGAGATAGCATATTATGTGTAATATGACCATGGTGGCCCAGCCAGGAGGAGATCAAAGAGGAATTGTATTGCCCTCACTTCAAAATTTCTCACCTTTTTATTTATTTATAAAACCATGAAACTTCTAATCTCTTTGTAGGTCACAATATTGCTGTTCTTTCATCTTAGCCAACCAGAGATAGCATTTCTTATGTAATTTATGGCCCTCAGGGAGAACAAAGGGGAAATCAGTCCCACTGCTCTCCCCTCTACATTTCTCACCTCCATGTCATGTTATTTCTATGATTTATAGCACAGGTGGCTTATCAGGGGAAAGCACAAAGGCAGATTTGTTAGTACCACCAGATTTTTACATCCAAGAGTCTAAGCACAAAGGCAGATTTGTTAGTGCCCCCAGTTTTTACATCCAAGAGTCTAAGCACAAAGGCAGATTTGTTAGTACCACCAGTTTTTACATCCAAGAGTCTAAGCACAAAGGCAGATTTGTTAGTGCCCCCAGTTTTTACATCCAAGAGTCTAAGCACAAAGGCAGATTTGTTAGTGCCCCCAGTTTTTACATCCAAGAGTCTAACTCAGAACAGCTGTTTTTTCTGCTACACACTTAGTCTACTGCAAGACTTTGTAGTAGTAGGCCTTATGTAGTAGATCTATGTACCAATGTGTAAAATGTGGATTATTTTATCCTGTAGACTTAATCCTGGTCCAAAAGGACCTAGTGATAGCTGGTATCATATATTAATAATTACTAAAATGTAAAACTAATAATATATAGGCCTACATGGCACAAACTATTGACTTATTAATATTGACTGAGCACTGACTACTGAGGGGTTAGAAAACAATGATTTTCATTGTGAAATATGTCTAAACTAGGCCATATTAATTATTTAATGCCCCATGGCCTAGAAGCTCCATATTATGCCCCATGTGTGTTGTTGACATTTTGCGTCAATGATAGCCTTTGTACAATGTCAGCTTTCCGCTTTGATTATGATTCATATGCTTTGTTATGTAATGAGCTTGATAAATGTAGGCAGTACAGTCGGTTGAACTATTGTTGCGATGAGTTGAAGACAGCAAGTCACATTAACTACATCTTTAATGCCATTTCATGTTAATTTAAAGTTATTATTTTAAAAACACAATGAAAACCGAGAAGGTTGGAATATTCTATTAAATATTATAAGAGTGTAGGCCTATACCACAATTAAAACCTACTTACTTCATACAAAATATTTTTACCAGTGTAATAAAAATAATAAATAGGAGCTGACCCGCGACGTAGTATACGCCGCCATCTAATTGTTTTATTTTCTGCTTATCAGCAATTCATAATTTGTGAATTCAACACTACCCCCTCCCGCCCTCCCTTCCCCCCTCCCGCCCAGTGAAAGCAGCCGTTTACAGACAAAGAAAAGATCAATCCGAAATGGTTACCTCCCCTTCATTTCAAATCGTTTAATACTAAATTATCTGCCCCTAATACTAATAGCCGTCACTAACCCGGCTCTACGATTGTAAACATTCGGGGTGAACCACAGCTCACCTGACAGGTGGGGATGAGGGTGGTGGCTAAGCTGCGTGGTGTCTTCTATGGTATCCACGTAGAGAATTATATATAGGCCTATAGATAACTTTACTTATACAACCTATGCACATAAATTTCAAATTTATTTAGGCCTATTACTATTACTATTATATTATTAGTACTATTACTATTAGTTTAGTTTAGTAATTACAATTACAGTAAGTAACAGTATAATGTAGATCTATATTTTATTATTATGCATACTTATTAGGCCTATACATTAGATATATTAGATCAGGCTACTTACTACTTACTTTATTTATAGTAACTTACTTAATACCCTATAATTTAGGCCTATTATTAAATAGATAGTCAGATAGATAGTATTAATAATAGGTAATCTATCGTTTTAGGTACGTAAAATTGCCCTCGACTAGTAATGTGAAAAACAGGTGACTCCTTAAATTTTAATAATTATTTCACATTTTGAGGAGGATTTATGTTTTAAAAAATACGAAAATGTTTCCTTGTTTCATTCATGTACATGTTTTTAAACAATTGAATTAAAACTTTTCAGTAATAAATGAAGACTAGCAATGTTTCCAACAGATGCAACCATGCTCATTTACTATAGCAACCATCATGGATTTTTAGCGCAATTTCCATTCTGGAGAATTGTGTTTATTAACCCGTCATTTCTGGATGTATGAATGTATGAATGAATGGATGGATGTGTGTCCGCAGCTTTAAGTCGTATCTCCTCCTCAACGAAGCAATATCGATGACTAGTTTTTCTATTGTAAACTTATAGCCCAAGATTCAGGGGAAGCCACTCTAACTTACAGATGGCTGCTTTTTATATAGCAAATCCTGCTCGCAAACATTGCTGTTTAAAGATAATTTTTAATTTCATGCCTAGAATCTATATTGATATATTTTGCCATTGATTTAGGTTTATTATTCATTTATCTACAATATTTGACAAAAATATATCACAATAAACTAAACTTCTTCTATTAAAGTTATTAGTATTTGTCAATTTGATTTAGATCTAGTAAGAGACTACCTACTTTCACTACTAGATAAGTATATTAGTATAGTATACTCGGTATTTTAGTAATAGTAGTAATATACTACTGTACTGTAGTCAAATGTAGTGTAACTACTAAGTAACTAGATTCTAGATTTAGTCTAGATCTAGATCTACTTTTTAGTACTTAGAAAATCTAGTAGTTACTTAGTTAATACTAAGTAAGTAAGTCAATACTTACTTTCTACTAGATTCTAGTACTAGATCTAGATTTAGTTACTTTAATACTTAAGTTAAAGTTACTAGAATCTAGCTAGATCTAGAAGTCTAGATTCTAGATCTAGTCTAGACTTCACTAACTAGACTGGTAACAGTGATGTGACAGTCAAGTAGATCTAGTAACTTACCGCGTTGCGCCTAATATTACCACTATAGACGTAATTTTTTTATTTTATGAATGTAGTAGATTCCAGATCTAGATCTAGACGTCTAGATCTATAAGAAAAATCAGTGCTCATTGACAGAAAAGTCTGTAGTGTAAACTTTGATTACCCATGTCAAAGTTCAAAATATATCACTTGACCAAAAATTAAATTTGGTACTCTTTTTTAAACTTCCTTCTTTCCCATCACTCCCATGTGGTCTAGTGGTTAGGATTCCTGGCTTTCACCCAGGCGGCCCGGGTTCGATTCCCGGCATGGGAAGATTTTTTTTTATAATTATTAACTATTTTTTTAATTAAGAGGGGGAAATAGTCCATAACACAATTTTTAATTATTTAACTCTTGACATTCGATCACAGGTTGAGCAACACAAGTTTCTAAATCGCATCTTACAAGTTAAGTTCTTTTCGCCCGTTGAGGGAAAAATACAGCAGATTAGATCTAGACATAGCGTTAACTTTACGCGAAATAATATTTTACATCCTAACATAAGCAAAAATAAATACTTAGACCAGTTGTTTGTATTGGTACTAAAAAAAAATGCTGACATTGTGAACCAGGCAGAAGCGGATGTTGGGGGGGGGGGGGGGGGGGGCAGCAGAGGCGTAGCGACCTAATCCGGCGCCCGGGGCGGACTATCAATTTTGCGCCCCCCCCTATTTATATATATATATATATATAGTTTTTCGTGTCTGTGAAAAAGACCCCCCTCCCCCCCCCCCCTAAGTTGGAAAGGTTTGTAGCGCTTCTTACCAGTTACTATCCTGTAACAATTTCTATTTCGGTGTCACAAAGTTGTTAAATCAGTGTGTGAAGCTTGTAGTCGTTTATTTTTCGTAACTTTGACAGTGTATAATTCGATACTTCAGCTTAAACTGAGCTTTAAAATTATTATCTCTACCACTTTTGGCGCCCCCTTAAGGTCGGCGCCCGGGGCGGCCGCCCCACCCACCCTCCCTTAACTACGCTACTGCGGGGGCAGCACCCAATGGCCCCCGATATTAGGGGCCCCCAAATTCACCCTCACCAGTAAATTTAATTCTATCACAGACTTCTATTATGTTGAAAGATAATTTGAATGTTTCAATTACAAGCCGTCTTATTTACCAAACAAAGGTTAGATAAATATGAGTTGCTCAACACAAATGGGTGATCAAACAATGTCACAAAAAAACACCGAATCCTAGAAAAAGATTATTTACTTTGATACGTGTGTTGGTGATCTATCTAGACCAGTGGTTCCCAAACTTTTTCGAGTAGCGACCCCCTTTTATAAAAAGTAAGTGACCCGCGACCCCCATGAATTAAAACGTCGATATTAGTAAGGAAATTAATACGCACTAAAATAAGATTTTCTAGTAGACTTTCAATATGAATTATTTTTTAGCGCAATTTCCATACTGGAATTGCGATTATTAATTCTTCATGTCTGGATGTGTGTCCGCAGCTTTACCGCAGCTTTAAGTCGTATCTCCTCCTCGCGAAGCAATATCGAGGACTAGTTCCAAAAGCAAATATGTTAAGCAAGTTCCGAGGATGATTGTGGGCCAAAACAATTCCCGGAATTCCTTCCTGGATTTCCCGGAAAAGCCAAAAAACCTCGAAATGTATGGATGTGTCCGCAGCTTTACCGCAGCTTTAAGTCGTATCTTCTCCTCAACGAAGCAATATCGAGGACTAGTTCCAAAGCAAATATGTTGAGCAAGTTCCGAGGATGATTGTGGGCCAAAAAAGTTCCCGGAATTCCTTCCTGGATTTCCCGGAAAAGCCAAAAAACCTCGAACAAATGCAGCTTTTGGCCCATATCTCGGTGACCAGACCACTTAGCGACTTGAAACATTTACCAATCGATTCCCGCCATAATTTAGAACAATATTGCCGAAGAAAGTTTTCAAAAATATCCTTTCGTTCGGTCACAAATTTTTTTAAAAAATTACATTATACATAATACACTACAGTACTATATAGCAATATAGAAAGCGCGACAACTAAATACCCCCTACACGTCCGCAAATTTTTTTAAATCTCGTTAATAAATATTTTTTCTATTTTGTTTTGAATTATTAAAACTACTTGTGTTGCATTATTTATTTGCTGAATATATGATTTATCTCGATTTAAAATTGTTATGGATAACATAAGGAAATTGCGCTTAAATTGTCACTAGACTTTTTATTAACTTGTATAACTGTTTTAGTACGATCAGTGAAATTGCATGCATTTACCGTTGAGAGTGGGTCAATGCAGATTCTTCTTCTTTCAGTTCAGAGGAAAATAACGTCGCAGTTCGTTTTCAAGAGATTCAAATAATGCCCAGAATCCTCTTTCAAATTTTTATTTACTTCACATTCTGATTTATCTACCACACTGCAAAGTTTCTCAAACATGGCAATATTTCCTAGATTTATTTTTCTTCGCCTATTTAGCAACTTTGATAAAAATGCCCCGCGATTATCATTCATTTTCCTCGAAGCTTCAGGTTAAGCTTATATTGATGTTCGAATATATCTGCTTGGTATGCTACTCTCTTCAACCACTCTTTGTCGTTAAAGTCTATCTAAAGGTCCTGTTTCGCTTGCACTTCCAAGAACATCTTGATTTCATCTTTCAATTCAATAACCGGATTCACAACATTTCCTTTTGGCATCCAGATTGGCAGCCAGAGTACTGTTGTGTAGAAAAGCATAAGCTCGTGATCGTTATTCGTGTTTTTGCACAATTTTTTAAACAGATTCCCCTTTGCTAGGGAGCTAAATCTTTTACTTTTTCTGAAAGCCTTATTTTGACCCTAACATAGATGACGCACCATCCGTAAAAGCACCACAGCCATTTTCCCATTTTAATCCTCCAGTTTCAAAAAACGTATTTATTTTCTCCATTATATCTTCACAAAGTAGCAACTCGTCTTTGCTAACATATGAATAAATATATTTCACAAAGACAAGCAACTGCGAACACGAACTCACGTCTGTTGATTCATTAACTTGAAAAGCAAACAATGATGAAAACATGATTTCATTCAAAATGTGTTCTTTAACATCTACATACAAGCCTATTATAACCCGCTGACTAGTACTATTAGGCAGAGATATTTGTTGCATCTTTACTGCACTGGAATCCCCAAGAATTAATTTCACCATCTTCATCATGCAGGGTTTGGTGAGAATTTATCCTACTGTGTGTGAGGTTTTTTTTTGTTGTTGTTGTTGTTTTTGGGCTATTACTAATGCGATGCGACGCCATATGATGCTTGTACTAATGCCGTGTTTCCTTGGTGAAAACTTCTTGTTCGTTCAAATCTCTGACGTTTGCAACTAGCTTCATGCCGACGAAAGAACTTCATACCTTTGTAGGTGTGTTCCGAATGACTCGTCTCAAAATGACGTTTTAGGTTTGAAGATTTTATAGACTCATGACTGAGAACAACTTTGCATAGTAAGCATTTTTTCTTCTCAATTCCATAAATCCGAATTTCAGATATTCTTCAAATTATTTATATCTTTTTTTTTCAGTGCTACCAGTTGGCGACCCCCCAGAAAGCCCTTCGCGACCCCCATGTTGAGAACCCATGATCTAGACGCTAACAAAAAATAGCCGGCTAGTGATTGGTCAAAGCATTAAGGGCCCACTAAGATAATAGAAAATGCAATGGCCCTACTGGTCAGCCTGAGTGCACAGCTCACAAACACAACACTTTTAAAAGGTAGGAAGTATGTTTTGAATGGATGTTATATTTCAAGTGAAAGGTTGGATAGTAATTTTGTTTTTATGTACCAAATTAAGAATAATTAAAATCCGAACTTAGACGCCGATAGCAAAAAAATGTATTTGAAAATAACGTTGAAATGCATTAACTCGTTAACAGTGCGGATTAAAAGGGGAGAGGGCAAAACGGTAGGTTCCCGAATTTTAGGGGTCCCCATTTTCACTTACCAAAATTAGCAAAAATGATTCATTTATAGATATGTTTTGTTTTTACAATATAATGTTTAATGTTCAAACTATCAGCTTATTTAACGGTCAGTGAAAAACGATACTTCTTCTGTTATAGCTTTTTGCTGTGAATGATGGAGCCACCTCCCCTAAACTTGTCACTGTGAATGATGGAGCCACCTCCCCTAAACTTGTCACTGTGAATGATGGAGCAACCTCCCCTAAACTTGTCACTGTGAATGATGGAGCCACCTCCCCTAAACTTGTCACTGTGAATGATGGAGCCACCTCCCCTAAACTTGTCACTGTGAATGATGAAGCAAGCTCCCCTAAACTTGTCACTGTGAATGATGGAGCAACCTCCCCTAAACTTGTCACTGTGAATGATGGAGTAACCTCCCCTAAACTTGTCACTGTGAATGATGGAGCCACCTCCCCTAAACTTGTCACTGTGAATGATGGAGCCACCTCCCCTAAACTTGTCACTGTGAATGATGGAGCCACCTCCCCTAAACTTGTCACTGTGAATGATGGAGCCACCTCCCCTAAACTTGTCACTGTGAATGACGGAGTAACCTCCCCTAAACTTGTCACTGTGAATGATGGAGCCACCTCCCCTAGACTTGTCACTGTGAATGATGGAGCCACCTCCCCTAAACTTGTCACTGTGAATGATGGAGCCACCTCCCCTAAACTTGTCACTGTGAATGATGGAGCCACCTCCCCTAAACTTGTCACTGTGAATGATGGAGCCACCTCCCCTAAACTTGTCACTGTGAATGATGGAGCCACCTCCCCTAAACTTGTCACTGTGAATGATGGAGCCACCTCCCCTAAACTTGTCACTGTGAATGATGGAGCCACCTCCCCTAAACTTGTCACTGTGAATGATGAAGCAAGCTCCCCTAAACTTGTCACTGTGAATGATGGAGCCACCTCCCCTAAACTTGTCACTGTGAATGATGGAGCCACCTCCCCTAAACTTGTCACTGTGAATGATGGAGCCACCTCCCCTAAACTTGTCTCTGTGAATGATGGAGCCACCTCCCCTAAACTTGTCACTGTGAATGATGGAGCAACCTCCCCTAAACTTGTCACTGTGAATGATGGAGCCACCTCCCCTAAACTTGTCATTGTGAATGATGGAGCAACCTCCCCTGAACTTGTCACTGTTGGAAAAACAAATTATAAATAGTTTGAGGGGGAGTGCAAATCGTAATTTGATGGGGGGGGGGGTGCAAATCGAAAGTTTGAGTGGGGGGTGCAAATCGAAAGTTTGAGGGGGGGTGCAAATTGTAAATTTGCTCCCGAGGGGGCGCCAAATCGAAAGTTTGTCCCTAGGCGCCGGGAAGGGTCGCTACGCCTCTGCCCTATACTTGTCACTGGATTTAAAAAATGGTGGAAACTCAGCCTAAAACGTAACCACGAAGTATCTGATGAGCACCAGAATTGTCTAGAAAAATGGAAAACTTTGGCTACATTACTCAAGTTAAACAAAATTATAAAGGCAGAAAAAAATTGTTTTGATGGAAGATGAGAAAAAAAGTGATGGGGAGATATGCTGCACAGATTGTTATCACATCAGTGGCGTAGGCAGGGGGGGGGGGGGCTATGGGGGGTTACACCCCCCCCCCCCCCCCACGGATCCCTCTGCAAAAAAATTCTGTCATAATACTACTGTTACTTATTTAAATCTATTTCTGAACCAGTATATATGTATAATTGTATATGTATGTTTAGAACAGTCATCTAAAAATTGACGCTTGGAACATTCGCGGTGCGCGTCACCAAAATACAAATTATGAACCACCAGGAAGACAATAGACATTCTTGTCTAACACATGTGGAGACCTGGAGCTCTTCTCACAGTTTCCCTGTATGGATAACTTGGAATGAAATTGAAAATCCACTCTCCACTGTCCACACGCGTCCACAAAAGTAGATTTTTTAAACCCCGTCATTGTAAACATCATAAGTGGATAACAATTTCTAGCCAATACGAGATTTTGCTTGTTCATGATGTGAAAGTTAACTTGTAGTGTAGTCGGACCAATGGCGTGCAGAGGGGGGGGGGGGTCGGACGGGGCCCAGGCCCCGGGCATCCACCACTGGGGGGCATCCAGCGGAGGTGAAAAAAAATTTTTATTCTTTATTTTAAAAAAAAAATAATTTTTTAGTAATTTAAAAATTGTTGCCATATGTCGTGTCATGGTGTCATCGTAACTTTCCATATGTTTTGCGATCTCACTAAAAAAAATGGTAACGCTAAATCGTCTGTCACTCGTTTTAACATACTAAATTACACTGTCCGTATAGCAAAACGTATATAGAAATAGCGGGCTTCAGTGAAGGGTAGTCCTATGGAAGTCAATGATATTCCCTTAATAAATGTGTCTGATATTTATTTAGTATGGTGTAGGGGCATCTTTTAGAGTACTTGTGACCAAGTTATTCCCATGCACTGTAAGGGCATCTTTAAAGTAATATGCGCGTATTCGTTATACTCATTTTCAAGGACATCCGTCGAGTAATTAAATCATATTTATTTTTATACACTGTAGGGGCATCTTTAAAGTAATTATTCGTATATTCATTATAATATATTTTATGAGCATTTAGTAATATGTCCACTTCACTTTATAAGACATTTTTAAGGCATCCATACAGTAAGTATGCCCATCTTCAATTAATATATTGTAGGGGCATCTTGTAAGTAATTATGCTTATATTCATGTAATACACTCGAAGGGCATGCAACAATAATTGGGGGCATCTCTAAAGCTTTTTTTATGTACTTCTTCATTATGATCGATTTTAAGGGCATCCAAAGGGTAATTATGCCCATATTATTATTATAAATTTTTGGGGCATCTTTGGTGAAATATATGGCTATTTGTAGTGTAATAACGCCCAAACTTTTTTTTGTTAAATTTTATAGGCAGCCTTCAGTGGCGTAACTAGGATTTTCGGCCCCCTATGCAAAAATTAACAATGCTAATAATGTTAGTCGCCCGCCCTCCAAATCCTCACTGAATGCCGCGGCCTGTACACTAAGAAAGGACTTGGGGCCTTTTTGAAATTAAATTATTTCTACAGTAGAAAAAAAAACTTGAATTCCATTTTAAAAAATTATTTATATAAAATAAATATAAAAATTCCAATGTAAAAGTTTTAACTTTTTAAAAGAAGGAAAATGGCCCCTATTTGCCTTGGACCCCTATGCCTTGCTTACTCTAGCTTTACGATAGCTACGCCACTGGCAGCCTTTAGTATATATTTACGAGCCGACCCGCGGCATATCATACGCCTCTATTTAGTTGTTTTATTTTCTACTTTTCAGTAATTCATAATTTATGAATTCGACAGTACCAATGCTGCCACTGAAAATATTTGCTTTAAAACACTATCAGTAGGTCGTTAAGGACGATACTACCCCCACCCTCCTTTCCCCCAACCCCTACCCTACAATCCCCCCCCCCCAGTGAAAGCAGCCTCCTCTTAGTTACCTCCCCTAAGTTTAAAATCTAACTAAATTATCTGCCCCTAATAGCCGTAAGTAATACCGGCTCTACGATTGTAAACATTTAGCGTGAAACAAAGCTCACTAGACCATGTAGGGGTGGGGTGGTAGAATACGAATCAACATATTGTTTTTGATACCTTGTAATGATATCATTCAGAATAATTGCGCCCATATTGATTTTTACAAATAGGAGAAGCATGCTTTAAGTAGTGTGAAAGTTAAAGTATTTTAACCCCGAGTAGAGCTTTCTTTAAAGTAATTGGGGGCACATACAGGGCCAGTTTTATTTCAGTTAATAGTAGAGCTATCTAGAGTTATTGAGCCCATTTTGATGTAATGAAATATGGGGATGCGTGTGGGTTTTTAGGCTATGGAAGCCGTTAGTGGAGTATCCCCCACCTGAACTAGACAGGCGTTACCTGGGTGTTAAATTTGGGAAAACATGTCCAAGTTGTAGGGAGGGTCTGACATAGCATAGTGAATTTTTAAACACAGTCCGATGTAGAAGTGTTTTTTGTTTTTTTTTAGGGCTGGCAGCTTTAGCCCACCAAGGTACACTTTTGTTATATTCAAGGTTGAGATAGTTTGAGAGTATCTAGCATCACCCATCTCTTTAAAGAGTTGACGTTTTGACCAAGTAGTTTAGAGAAAAAAATATGAAACATCTCTTGTTCAATGCACACTCTCACCTGTATTAGTTACACTATAGGAATTCCTAAACAGGTCAAGAGAGAAGCAGCCCATAAATAAAGGCGTAACCTACGCCCTAATCGTAGACACGGACAAAGTTTTTGTCACCGCGGTCCTGGGTGGTAATACAAAACCGGATGAGACTCTTTTGTAGTGTATCACAGCCCCCCTCCCCACCACGACACATCCCGCAATTGTCTCCCCCATTTCCGTCCCCCCCCCCCCCCCCAAGTTCCAACCATTCATTCCATTCGGATTTAGCTGGCTGTAGTCATCTTAGTTAAGATAAGTACATTTTTAAAAAATAAATGCTATTCTATGTATATTAACGTCCAACACAACTCATTTGTTTTTTTGTAACTAAGCTTTATATACATATATAAATATAAATATAAATATAAATATATATATATATATATATATATATATATATATATATATATATATATATATATATATATATACTAATTGTATGTCATTGCTTCGCTATGATGTAAATTAAATTGAAAGTAGTATAAGTAATATATATATATATATATATATATATATATATATATATATATATATATATATATATATATATATATATATATATATATATATATATATATATATATATATATTTTATTTATGGGGGCATCTTCCGCTTGAGTTTGCCCCGGGCATCTACATAGGTCTGCACGCCACTGTGTAGTCGTTCAGTTGAGCGATAAAAGAAAAAATTGAGAGAAAAGTTTTAAATCAGCCTTTAGGAAATGTAGCTTCGGCGACTGAACACAACAGTTGGCACAATTGATGTCAGAGTTTCTTTCAGGCATCTCTAAGGGAGCCCCCCCCCCCCCCTACCGAAAACGTCTAACGCTCCCGAACCAAATGGAATTTATATAGAAAACATAATTTTACCAGTGTCTGCCCCGCCCCACCCCCTCCTCCGAAAATATAAAGTGTTGATGATCGCAGTACTCTATGCATAGAATTAGTTTTATTACTTTTCATCACTTTCGTTAATCTATAACTCTAGTCCAGGGGTCTCCAAACTTTTCAACCCGGGGGCCGCATTAACTATCAAATATCAGTTCGGGGGCCAGAGTTTCTTTAAGGCATCTCTTCAGGGCCGTGGCGCCCCCCCCCCCCCGAAGAACGTCTACGCCCCTACCCCCCCCCCCCCCATAGAAATATAATTATATATACAAATTTCAAGTGTCCACCCCCCCCCCCCCCCCCCATCCCACCCGAGGTCCACGTTTGCTCTCAAATTGTTCTTCACGTATTTCTTTCTTGAAAATGTTTGTTCACACAGGTAAGTTGTTCGAAAATTTGAAAGGTACTTTGATGCAAAAGTTTTAATGTTAGGAAAGTCTTCCTTGTGCAAAAACGTATGAAAACCCATCTGCCCTTCTTTGAACGTGTCTCTAAGGAAGTCATTTTCTTGCAATTCAATGACTTCCAGCTGCAGTTCATCTTTGCAACTGGCCACATTTGCTTCAAATGGGCTTTGAAACAGTCTCACTTCTTCTGCCTATGAATCCAAGTCAGAAAACCGCTACTGAAACTGCAGCTGGAGGTTTTTAATGATCTCGTATGTAAATGACGTGGGGAACTAAGTGGTTGTTTCAACCGTAAAGACCTTGCACTGCTGAAAGTGTGTCAAGTTGTTAGCCTGTAGGCCCTACTTGTTCCAAAAACATGACACGTTTGTATCTAAAGGCCTTTATGTGGGTGTATAGAGCAGAAACTAGATTTCACTATGTTGCCGTTTTAGGTTCAGAAAATTTAAATGACTAGTTATGTCTGCAGCAGAGGCCAATTTCTATACCCACTCTTCATCAGACAAAAAATGGCTGTGACTTGCCTTTACTATCAGGAAGTCACCTATTTCTTTTCTTAGATACTCTGCTCAGAATTCTCTCGCAAAATTAGCAATCTTACTGATATGAAATATAGTAAATCTTGCGTTTTTGTGTTTGTCTCTGAACTATCTATGGTTAGATATCCTCTCCGGTAACAGTGTCATACATTATATGTAGGGAAGCCAGCTCTTGTGTTATGTTCAGGTCTTCACCCACACCTCTAATCAACACGAAAATGTTGAGAGGTGGAACAGCTGCCCAGCGACTCATCCATTGCAATTGAAAAATGGCTGAACTTCCTTGAATTTTTCGCTATTAAAGTCACTATGTTTTCACCAATGTCTGCAACAAGAGGAGTAATTGTATTTGCACACAAAGCTACATTTTCAAATAGTTTTGAATTTTCTGTGCAAAGCTCCTCAGCCACATCCAACAAACATTTATTTATTCAATTTATTCGAATTGAAAAAGTAACGCAATTTTGCTTATTAATATCAAAACGTACGTTGTCGGCAGGATTCGAACCTGCGCGGGAAGATCCCAATGGATTTCTAGTCCATCGCCTTAACCACTCGGCCACGACAACTCCACACTTTTTCCGTTTGTCCAACAATATTTTTCCAGATTACACAAATAGTATTTCTTTTTTCCTCCTTCCCTTCGTTCATATTTTAAGGAATAAGGAACAGTCTTTATGAGAGTTTTCTTTTAAGTTAATATTGTAGACATTTTTACAGGAACACAGAATGTCACTTATCAACTAAAATTAGATGACGTTTATTTTGTTTTTGTTAAAAAATACTTGAAAACATCCATGTCCGGTGACATAATTTTCTTAGCGCATGCGCTAAGATACATGATTGTTTCCTGATTTGTATGTGATATGTGTATTGTTTTCCTAGAAGAATTGTGTATTTTCTCAAATGGCTTGCTTGGCCAATTTGAAACAAGATATACGTGTACTTGAAACAAATTTTACTAAAACCCATAATCGTTTTCAAATACGAACAGCCACAGTTGACGAGATAACGTGTCGTTTCATCGGGAAAAATGGAGAAAAATACGACGTTCAGGCCAACATAACGGTACGTAGAAATCTAGAAAAAAAAGAATCTAGACTCTAGATTTTAGATTTCTAGATTCAGACGAGATTCAAGATCTGCTCTGCTCTAGATTCTACGTATTCGTACAAAATGAAACATTGTAGACTAGACGACGTAGACTCTTAGACGTGTAGAATTTGTAGTCAAGATCTAGTCTAGATTCTAGATCTAGGTCTGTAGATTTTAGAACAGTAACAGTTACAGTATAACTAGATCTAGATCTAGATTTCTAGTACTACTAGAGGAGTTTACACTTTTCGGACACACACCAAAAATTACGTAGGACCGAACACTTCGTCGGTTTTTGGCTCATAGAAACTTTAATTAGCATGTCTCACGCGAAACCACGGCGCCTGCACGTAAACTGTTCATTTATGAACACTTCCGTGTCAAGTACTTCCGTTTCCTTTCTCAAGAATTATTTTTAGAAATTTTTTAACGTTGCATGGTACGCACATTTCTATTTTTACACCAGCCGGATGAAGTGACCTAGGGTTGGACTTAGGGGCAAAACTTGAACCAATCAATGCTTAGCTAAAAGGTTACACTATAAATAGCTTCTATATATGTATGGAACATCGTAAATGTCAAGGTTAATGGGTTTTTTCGTGCTTGAACAATAAAAAAGGGGTGTTCGCTAACTTATTTGGCCTTACATGGGATCGGACAGCAACACAAAAATATTATTAAATAAGAATTTAGAGCATAAAAGGGGCTGGTTATTGAAGGGAAAGGGTCAAAATAAGGTCAAGAAGGCAGTGGAATGCGAAAGAGGTGGGGGAATCATGTGACCTGGCTGGCTTAGCAGCGTACTGCGCGAGCCGCAATGGCTGAATGGGATGAACTTTGGGAGTGTGGGAAAAAGGTTTTATACTATTAAAATTACCTCACAAACAATCAATAACACAATATAAATGCATATAATATATGTTTTTATTCATTAAATTGACTTTAAATTATTCTAAATGAACAAAAAGTGCTATGTCCGATGACGGGTAAAGGTGTCCGAACACATGTAAAACTGTATTACATGTGTTCGAACACACGTTAAGACCCCCCAGTCACTATAACAAGAATAGCTTAAGTTCTATGCGTATGAATACAAAATGACAAACACATTATTAAAGTAGAATGGTTGCGGATAGATATGATACTTTTTTTTGTTTTCTATGTTAAGCGGTTACTGAATGAGACCGCATGGAATTTTTACGTTGCGTTTTTTCGCTATGTGTGTCCGAAAAGTGTAAGCTCCTCTAACTAGCTAACAGGAATCTAGACTAGACTAGCTCTCTGCTCTAGACTAGTCTAGACTCTAGATTTCTAGACTAGATCTAAGATCATCAAGAACTAGATTAGAATCTAGATCTAGACCCTAGGTCTTTTTTTTGTGGTGTAGAAAAGTGTTACTAGAATTTATCTAGACTAGATCTAGTCTCTAACACTAACAGTGTAACAGTCTCTAATCTGTATCTAGGATAAGTCCTAGATCTCTAGATCCATACGATATCTAAATCTAGATCACCAGTTCAGTAGTTGACTGCAGCTATTCTCACTACACTACGAATAGCCCTCAGAAGGCTATTCGTTAATTATTGATTTATCTATTATATTTGACACAAATATATCCAAATTTCACAATATACTTCTATTAAAGCCTTAACATTACTTAACAATAAGGCATCTTTTTCTTACAATACTAGCCTTTGCCGATTTTACGCACCTAAAACTATAGATTACCCAGTGACATGCTGATTTCAGTGCTAACCCCAACCATAGTCATAGTCCTACCATTTGCCTAACCCTTAATTCTAAAACTAGTAACTAGATTATACGCAGCTATTTTAGTTGTTTTATTTTCCACTTTTCAGTACTTAATAGTTAGTGAATTCGACACTACCGTCCCTCCCATTCTTCCCCCCCCCCCAGTGAAAGCAGCCATCCGTGACAACAGTTTATGGACGACAATGAAAAGATCAAGCAGAACTTATCACCTCCCTTTAGTTTCAAATTGTTTAAAAGCTAAATTATCTGCCCCTAATAGCTGGCTCTACGATTGTAAACATTCGAGTTGAACCTTAGCTGACCAGAATGATGGGGTTGGTAGCTATATGCCTAGAGAGCGGGGGAGCAACGTCGTGAGTTTACGTGGTGGTGTCTCGCATGGTCCCCATGAAGAGAATTATATATATAGATAAACAATCTAATACAGCTGATTTTTTGTCTAGGCTACTGTATTTTTTTTTTTTGTTTACTTTCTCGTATATGAAGTAGGCCTATAGAGAAATTATTGTAATCGTGCAAAAACAAAAAATTGAGGTTTTTACAAATCTCGACGTTTTACACCTCCCTGAGTCGGGAAGAACATAGTTTTGCAATTTTGTCTGTGTGTGTGTATGTCTGTAAATATGATAACTTGAATACCGTTACAGCTATGTTGATGAAATTTCATTTATAAGTATTATATCACATTTGTAGTTCTGTATCAACTTTTCAGTTCTGATTAGCTTGAAGGGTGTGAGATATTAGGTCTAGTATTGGTGCTCTCACCAATCCAATAATTGTTCAAGGATATTCAATAGTTTTATTGCAAGGTGAAAAAGAGGACTTAAAACTGGTATAAAAATGGCCATAAGTAACTATCATTTGAATTAACACAGAAGTATCTTTTGCTTTAGAAAAAACTGTGAAGCAGCATTCAACTAGTTATTGTATTTAATGGAGTTATCCTTAAAATGGATTTGTTGTGTGAACTCAGAATCTGAGACAAATGAGTGATACAATTTTTATTTTATTTTAGGAAACCTATCCTCAGTCTGCACCAATATGGTTTAGTGACAGTGAAGATGCAAGTGTTGTTGGCATTGTTGGGGAGCTTGCCAATACACCAAAGGAACAGTTTAATGTGTGTAGCACAAATTTAACTGGACTATAGTATTAAAATTTGTGTTTCTACGTTTATTTTTAATCAGACACTTTTTTTTGTGCTGTTTCAAACTACTTCTTGAAAAGTAGCGCACATTTTTTTTCAAAATGAATGGGAAGTGGGAATAAATGTTGTTGATGTTTTGGAGTTATTTTGATTGTGTAGACAGTTTTGTTTTGGATATTGTAGACATTATGCATATAATATAATCACAGCTTGTTTAGTCTCCGGTTAGTGTTGACAATATGGATAATATGATATGTTTTGTCTCTAGATATTGTACCAAACTAAGCTCCTCATAGAAGGGCTGTGTAGACTTCATGATCTAGAAGTGCCTACAGAAGTCCATGCACTAGATGATGCTTTGTCTAAAAGAGTATGTCTTGCTATGTTTTCATAGTTTGTCACTAGAAGCATTTATTTTGCTGATAGCATTATATTTAATAGTATATATTGTTAATTTCACCATCATTTATATTTTGTCTTTATGTGTATTTTTGTTCTGCTTAGGGCATTGTCATAAAAATGAACGTTGATCCGGTGTCTGAGGATGAGGACGAAGATGATGATTTTCATTATGACATGGAAGAAGAAACTCACAGGTGTGTCTTGTTGTATTACTTGTCTGCTCCTTGGCAGATAACTCTTGGTGTTCATTTATTGTCACTATAATAATTGCTCATTATTTGGTGTGTCTTGTCCTTGGCTATCTCTTGGTTCATTTATTGTCATTTAATAGCAAGGTGTGTCCACTTAGAAAAAGTATTACCATTTAGAAATAAGTCATTTTTCTAGTACTGAACAGAAGGCCAAGGAAGAAGTTGATGGAATTGATGTGGAGAATCTAGCTGTTTTAGAAAGATTAAAACAAAATCAGCGACAGTCTTACCTAAAGGTTAGTATTTATCTACAGGGTAAATGTTGGATTCTTTTGTCTCATTTGTGTTGTTTTCTGTAAAGAAGGGTCTGATGATGCAATGTTAGGCAAGATTAAAATATAGGCAACAAGTAGAATAATAGCATAGGTCAGCTAGATGTTGGTCAGGCAGAACCAATTGAAATAGAGTGGAACAAACTCAGCGGTCATGTGAGCCGGTCAGCTAACCATTGAAGACCATCATTGAAGTGTCTGTAGTTAGAAGCTGGTCATTGGTGTGTGTAGCAGACAGTTGTGTGTTAGAAAGAAAGCTGTTGTAGATAGATAAAGATAGGAAATAGTTGACGTGGACTTGTAGATTAATTGGGCTATAGTTAAGATAGTACAAGTCTTATATAGAACAGTAGGGTTGGAGTAAGATATTAAAATAAGTATATATACTACATCTCACATTGGACTTGTGTTGATTGTGTCAGGCTATTGAAGAGTCTTTCCCCTAACCACAATATATGGTACACATTATGGTCTACAGCATATATAACATATGAATAAACCTCTCCCCTCGAGGTGTACCAACAGTTGTAATTATTTCAAAAAGTTGATTTGGCATATTTTTATCTTTTCACAAGCAGGGATCAGTGGTTGGGTCTGTGCAAGCTACCGACAGGCTGATGAAGGAATTAAGGGACATATACAAATCAGATAGCTTCAAAAAAGGTCTGTTTACTTTTGTGGAAATGTTATAAGCATGAACATTCTTACGTTTTTTAAATTAAAGTTGCACTGTTGAACATTGTGGTCAACTGTCCTAATTAAATTTCACTTTCAGAAATCTACACAATTGAACTTGTAAATGACTGTCTATATGAATGGAATGTCCGATTAAAAAAGTAAGTCTTCCTACTGCATCATTTATTTTTCTCTAGAGATATCTTAACATAAATTGCGCTTGATGTGGACATGTGGTTAGAAGTTAGGTGAGGACTACAAACAGTGCTAGAGACTTGTGTAGGTCCAAGACTTGAATTAGAAATTTGGGTGTGCTAGGACTATGAATAGTGACATCTAGCTGGGGCCAGAAACTGTACAAATCCTGGGATGTAAAATAGAGAGTTTGCTTTCTAACCTGGCGGTTCAATGGGCAGGGTCTGAAATCATGAGCTGGGGTTAGCAGTCCTATAAAGTCCAGGATCTGAAATCATGAGTTGGGGTTAGCAGTCCTATAAAGTCCAGGTTCTAAAATCATGAGTTGGGGTTAGCAGTCCTATAAAGTCCAGGATCTGAAATCATGAGCTGGGGTTAGCAGTCCTATAAAGTCCAGGATCTGAAATCATGAGTTGGGGTTAGCAGTCCTATAAAGTCCAGGTTCTAAAATCATGAGTTGGGGTTAGCAGTCCTATAAAGTCCAGGATCTAAAATCATGAGTTGGGGTTAGCAGTCCATAAAGTCCAGGATCTGAAATCATGAGCTGGGGTTAGCAGTCCTATAAAGTCCAGGATCTGAAATAATGAGTTGGGGTTAGCAGTCATGCTCTATATCTGCTGACCTCCATAACTCACCAAATGCAGGTTTCCAAATTTTTCAGAATTCAAATTTTCACTCCCAGTTTATTTCCCCTATTTTTCAGCTACAGATTTTACAGCAAAAAAAAAAAAAATTGGAAAAAGTGTTCTGAAACTTGCTGTTGAATATGTACACCTCCCAAGCCCAGTTTTCTTTACTGTTAATCTAGAATGTTTGTTTGTTAAATTTATCTACCAGCATTTTTATTTTATCTTCCATTTCTAAACTGTTAGCTACCACCTCAACCATTTTCAGCTGCTTACCATTTAATTTTGGAACCTCTAAGATAATTTTGAAATCCTTGCAATAGGTGACTAGTAGGACTAGATTAACTCCCTCTAGAAAGGGTTCTTGATATTTTATTTAATGCAAAGTCTGGCCCTCAAAAGTATAATTTCCAAAAATTAAAAAAGGCCATCTAATTTCAGAAGTTTTGATCAATCACCTTGTCCATCATAGGAACTAAAAAAAAGTACAATTAAGCTCTTTAGTGTTAAAGACTTACATTTTAAAATGCATATACAATATCCATCTTTAAAAAGATGCATTGAAAATGAGTGCTAATAGATCATTGCAGTTAAAATTGGCTTGATAATAAGAAATAATTTTTGCTTTTCACTTTTGATCATTTTTTTGTGTGTGGATAAACTTCTATTTTTAAAAAAATATTAGCAGTATTAAGCTATTAATATGTACACTTACCATGGTTTTGTAACACTGCTTCATTGCGATTGCATAAGAGAAACATAATCCGTATTTAGTCTGCTCCGAAAAAAATTTCATGCACTTGTTTTTCATTGTGTGGTCACATACCTGTACTCTATTATTAACTTACTGAACAAAGTATTGCATCCACTACAGCAACTTGTACTGAAAACATCTTTGTTTTTTTAGAGTTGACAAAGACAGTGCTCTGTATAATGATATGCAAGTTTTCAAAGAAAAAGAAGGCAAGGACCACATACTTCTGAATTTTACATTTAAAGTAAGTTATCTTTTTTCTATTATGAACATTTTTTAAAGATGGGGTTGACGGCTAAAGTGTTTTTGTTGGACAAAACAATCAACTCCTTGTTGGCAGAGATTTTTTAAATTACCTTTAGTTAATCCTGATCATATGAAATTCAATTTTACATTTAACTGAGGTTTTCCTTAGTCCGCTATTATCTAAAGGGTCATCCATTTATGACATGGATACTTAACCCTTAAATGCATACCGGTACAAATCTGCAACATACCAGTTACCTTCCCATAAAATATTAGCCTCAACATGTTTTATTCTGTGCATCACGTTGTTTGACTGCTACAATGTTAACCTACAGCTTGCGCATGTCTAAGTGACCTAGATTTGTTTTACCGCCAAGCCGATCTCAAATTTGTGCATGATCACAAGGTTTTTTATATCAGCATTTTTGGTTGGCATTTCAAAGTTCATCAAAGTCAAATAAACTGGTTTTGGAATTTCAAAAAATATGTTTCTGACAACCTAAGGTATGTATTACATATTGTATGTGTTGTTTTGAAAATCAATTCATAATTTATTTTAAAATCTTCACAAAACTTAGGTTGCAGTGCTGCAACGTTATGCAAATTGACCTACTTTTGCACTATTTTTTTACTTTATACATTAGCATTGGTGATTATATAGTACCTTGTTTTTCTTCTAGTTTCAGCATAATCATTAAGAAATCAATGTGAATCAAGGTGAAGAATAATATGAAGTAGATGCTCTTGGTGATCCAGAGTATCTTCCTGGATCTCCTGGACCAGTGTGGACCCTAGATATCCTGGACCAGTGTGGACCCTAGATATCCTGGACCAGTGTGGACCCTAGATATCCTGGACCAGTGTGGACCCTAGATATCCTGGACCAGTGTAAACCCTAGATATCCTGGACCAGTGTGGACCCTAGATATCCTGGACTAGTGTGGACCTTAGATATTCTGGACCAGTGTGGACCCTAGATATTCTGGACCAGTGTGGACCCTAGATATTCTGGACCAGTGTGGACCCTAGATATCGTGGACCAGTGTGGACCCTAGATATCCTGGACCAGTTTGGATCCTGGATCTCCTGGACCAGTGTGGACCCTAGATATCCTGGACCAGTGTGGACCCTAGATATCCTGGACCAGTGTGGACCCTAGATACCCTGGACCAGTGTGGACCCTAGATATCCTGGACCAGTGTGGACCCTAGATACCCTGGACCAGTGTGGACCCTAGATACCCTGGACCAGTGTGGACCCTAGATATCCTGGACCAGTGTGGACCCTAAATATCGTGGACCAGTGTGGACCCTAGATACCCTGGACCAGTGTGGACCCTAGATATTGTGAACCAGTGTGGACCCTAGATATCCTGGACCAGTGTGGACCCTAGATATCGTGGACCAGTGTGGACCCTAGATATCCTGGACCAGTGCGGACCCTGGATATCCTGGACCAGTGTGAACCCTGGATCTCATGGACCAGTGTGGACCCTGGATAAGTGTGGACCCTGGATCTCTAGGACCAGAATGGACCATGGATCTCCTGGACAAGTGTGGACACTAAGACTCGTGGAATAGTGCAATGACAGGTGCAAATTCACATCAAGCTCAAACAGTTTGCCACAAGTGCAACATATATCTTTGTTGTAACAAGAGCAACAACTGTCTTAAAAAGTATCACCTTACTACATAATGTTGCAGACATGCAACATTTCGGATTTTAATTAAAGAACATGTTTAAACTAAAAATATTTTTTTACTTGACTATACTCTTCATATACCCACCAAAACAATATAAAAATATTTTTTTCAATCATTATTAAAAAGTCATGTATTTAAGGGTTAAAAGAGGGAGTATAAAAAAATTAAGCTTGGATTGGAGGGGAATTAGGATCCATGTGGGCGTCCACTCACTCAAAAGCACATTAAATACTTATCTGTTGCAACACACAAACTTTTAACCTGCATACACAAAGTATACTTTTAATATTAATTTTATTTGACTTGACATATTAAAGATTCCAATTTTTATATTAAATCATAGACATATCCAGAAAGAGTAAACAAGATATAACTTTTTAGCTTTGCAAGCTAAACAGACACAACACTTGAATTGAAGTTTAGTATATTGGACATGTTTGAGGGTTATAAAAACTCCAATGGTTGTGGCTGTTATAAAAGAATGACCCCTATCATTACCATGTCATCCAGCATCTGACTTGATGTGTTCTTTCCAGGAGACTTTTCCCTTTGATCCACCTTTTGTTCGTGTGATATGCCCCGTAGTGTCTGGAGGCTATGTTCTTGGTGGTGGCGCCATCTGTATGGAGCTGCTCACAAAGCAAGGTTGGAGTAGTGCCTACAGTATTGAGTCTGTCATACTTCAAATCTCAGCCACTCTTGTTAAAGGGAAAGCTCGCATTCAGTTTGGGGCAACTAAAGTAAGTTCTGTCCTCTTTTCTTTATTTTTGGGAAACTCAAGTAAGTTTTATCCTCTGTTTTGAGGCCACTAAAATAAGTTTTATTCTGGGATTGAAGTAAATTTGTTATTTTTATTAAAAATTATCCCATATAATGTAGCATGATGTGTAGTGTAGCTGGCCTATAGCATGATGTGTTGTGTAGCTGGCCTGTAGCATGATGTGTTGTGTAGCAGGTTTGTAGCATGATGTGTTGTGTAGTTGGTTTGTAGCATGATGTGTTGTGTAACTGGACTGAAGTATGATGTGTTGTCTAGCAGGCTTATATCGTAATGCTTTGTGTTTCAGAATCAATACTCACTTGCAAGAGCACAACAGTCTTTCAAATCATTGGTTCAAATCCATGAAAAGAATGGTTAGTTTTTTTTTTTCTTGCTTTAACTTTTGACAAAAATAAAGTTTAGTTTCTTAGACTATAGTTGGTGCTTGTCTCAATGTCTGGCTTGATTTAAATTATATTTTTATCCCCAGGATGGTTCACACCCCCTAAAGAAGATGGTTAATGCTGGACCTCCATTCATTCTGCTGTAAAAAATTATGTGTACATATATATATCATTATTTTGTTGCTAATTGACAATGTACATTTTTGTGTGATTGAGTTGTATTGCAGTCTTTTTTTTGTCTAGCAGTTTTGTCTGGAACTGACCTGGTCAGCAAAGTTTTGTCTGGAACTGACCTGGTCAGCAAAGTTTTGTCTGGAACTGACCTGGTCAGCAAAGTTTTGTCTGGAACTGACCTGGTCAGCAAAGGTTTGTCTGGAACTGACCTGGTCTGCAAAGTTTTGTCTGGAACTGACCTGGTCAGCAAAGTTTTTTCTGAAACTGACCTGGTCAGCAAAGGTTTGTCTGGAAATGACCTGGTTGGTAAAGGGTAAAGCTGGTATGTTATGGTACACATATCTAGAGTTGCTTTCTTCAGATAACATGTTGTCTTTGTGGTTGCCCCCACACCTGGTAGTGGTGGCTCCCCCCCCCCACATCTGGTAGTGGTGGCCCCCACACCTGGTAGTGGTGGCCCCCCACACCTGGTCCGTTCTCTCTCCCCCCCCCCCCCCCCCCCATATAAATAAAGGTTACATCTAGGAACACAACTGTGTTGGGCTGTAGTTAGGTTTTACTTGTACCAGAGATCAACATCAATCCATTGTTTTGGGCTGTACTCAATGCTGATCTAGCTGTAATACATCTCTAAACAAAATCACATGTTGGAAAATTTTTAACATTAGATCCACATAATGTATTCTCTGGTCTGGTGGTTTACAGGGCACAAACATACCATCAGATGGTGTCTTGGTGTAACACAAGACATACCATCAGATGGTGTCTTTATGTAACACAGGACATACCATCAGATGGTGTCTTTATGTAACACAGGACATACCATCAGATGGTGTCTTGGTGTAACACAGGACATACCATCAGATGGTGTCTTTATGTAACACAGGACATACCATCAGATGGTGTCTTGGTGTAACACAGGACATACCATCAGATGGTGTCTTTATGTAACACAGGACATACCATCAGATGGTGTCTTGTTGTAACACGTCACACAGGACATACCATCAGATGGTGTCTTTATGTAACACAGGACATACCATCAGATGGTGTCTTGATGTCACACATCACACAGGACATACCATCAGATGGTGTCTTTATGTAACACAGGACATACCATCAGATGGTGTCTTTATGTAACACAGGACATACCATCAGATGGTGTCTTTATGTAACACATGTCACACAGGACATACCATCAGATGGTGTCTTGATGTAACACATGTAACACAGGACATACCATCAGATGGTGTCTTGATGTCACACATCACACAGGACATACCATCAGATGGTGTCTTTATGTCACACAGGACATACCATCAGATGGTGTCTTGATGTAACACAGGACATACCATCAGATGGTGTCTTTATGTAACACAGGACATACCATCAGATGGTGTCTTTATGTAACACATGTCACACAGGACATACCATCAGATGGTGTCTTTATGTAACACAGGACATACCATCAGATGGTGTCTTGATGTAACACAGGACATACCATCAGATGGTGTCTTGATGTAACACATGTCACACAGGACATACCATCAGATGGTGTCTTGGTGTAACACAGGACATACCATCAGATGGTGTCTTTATGTAACACATGTCACACAGGACATACCATCAGATGGTGTCTTGATGTAACACAGGACATACCATCAGATGGTGTCTTTATGTAACACACGTCACACAGGACATACCATCAGATGGTGTCTTGATGTAACACATGTCACACAGGACATACCATCAGATGGTGTCTTTATGTAACACACGTCACACAGGACATACCATCAGATGGTGTCTTGATGTAACACAGGACATACCATCAGATGGTGTCTTGATGTAACACATGTAACACAGGACATACCATCAGATGGTGTCTTGATGTAACACATGTAACACAGGACATACCATCAGATGGTGTCTTTATGTAACACATGTTACACAGGACATACTATCAGATGGTGTCTTGATGTAACACATGTTACACAGGACATACCATCAGATGGTGTCTTGATGTAACACATGTTACACAGGATATACCAACAGATGGTGTCTTGATGTAACACAGGACATACCATCAGATGGTGTCTTGATGTAACACAGGACATACCATCAGATGGTGTCTTGATGTAACACATGTTACACAGGACATACTATCAGATGGTGTCTTGATGTAACACATGTTACACAGGACATACCATCAGATGGTGTCTTGATGTAACACATGTTACACAGGATATACCATCAGATGGTGTCTTGATGTAACACAGGACATACCATCAGATGGTGTCTTGATGTAACACAGGACATACCATCAGATGGTGTCTTGATGTAACACATGTTACACAGGACATACTATCAGATGGTGTCTTGATGTAACACATGTCAGACAAAAGCCTGTAGCTGCCAGTTGACTGTCAGTGGTGATGTTAACAAATAGCCAATGTAACTGTTGCCAGTTGAATTCTATGTTTTGAATGAATGTCAACCAATTTTTCTTGTAGCCTAACACATTTGCTTTGATTATAACTGAATTGTACAAACATTTCATGGCTGTTTGATTGTCCATGTTTTTTATTCTGATGGTATGAAAGTTTGTTGGCTTATTACTATGTTTGGTATGATTGTCCACATCCTTATTTTGTTAGTATGATTGCCTACATTCATATGATTATGATGGTATAATTGTCTACATTCTTATTATGATCATGGTAGTTTAATTGACTACATTCTTATTTTGGTGTGAATGTCCATATTATTATGGTGGTATACTTGTCTATATTTTTATTTTGTAGTATGACTGTCTACATTCTTATTATGATAGTACAATTGTCCACATTCTTATTATTATGGTGGTATGATTGTCCACATTTTGCATTACATAAGATTTTGTGAAACAGAAACAGTGTTTTTAAATTGCATGCTTAAGTGGTGTTGGGGCTTTTTAGAGAAAGTCTTGTAATCGTGCAAAAAAAAAAATCTTGATTTTTGCAAATCTCGCCGTTTTGGGGCTCCCTGAGTCGGAAAAACATAGTTTTGCAATCTTGTCTGTGTGTGTGTGTAAACGCGATAACTTGAGTACCGTTACAGCTAGATTGATGAAATTGCACATATAAATATTATATCAAAATTGTAGATCCGTATCAACTTTTGAGCGATTTCTGATAACCGGAAATGGAACTTTTTCTACTTTGAATTTTTCAAAAGCCTATAACTTGAGTACTATTTCAGAAAGATAAATGAAATTTCACTTGTAAGTAGAAGTTCTAATTCTCTGCCTTCTATCAAATTTTGAGTAATTTCCGTCAACAGGAAGTAGTAATTTACGCTTTTTTCGATTTCTCAAAAAAAAATGCATGTGAATTTGTAAAGTACTAATAATATCCCGCACTATTATGCTCATTTTATTTGGCGTTTGCTTGGTGTGCAATTCTTTTTTACTTTCTCGTATATACGAAGTATAGAGAAAGTTGTAATCGTGCACCTCACTGATACGGAAAAACATAATTTCCACGTTTTCTTTGACTTGCTTTCGCGTCTGTTTGTTTGTTTGTTTTTCCAATCAAATCTCGCGATCGAAATTTCGGGCACTTCCCAGTTAGCTAGCTCGCTGAAATTTTCAGGGAAGCTTTGTTTCCGATGACAATACAATATTCAATTATTATTATTACTAAATTGATCCATGGAAAAATTTTATTGATCATTTTAGACCCCTAAATATTTGTACAAAAAAGGGACATAACCTAGTAATTGTAATTTGATGAAAACAAGGTTCGGTACTTTCCCTCTTGTGGCTTACTGAATGAACGAGCACGCGATTGGCTGAGTAGTGGTCACGCGGTGTTTGTGTACAAACAAAAGTGAATGCGAGAAGATAAAATCGATAGCAAGATTTGAATGCAAACACACACACACAGACAAAATTGCAAAAAAATAACTATCATTAAAAAGTTTTAAAAAACCGTTTTCTGATTGAACTAAAAAGTAGAAAATAAATGCTATACATCACAATAATGCAAGCGATCACTCTACTATAAGCGATGAAAAACGTGGGGCGCCGTGATTTTCTTACAGTTTCTAATACTGTTGACTCTCTACAAGCTCCCTAATAAAAGTCAATAGTATTATCTAATCAATAGTAATATAACTTTTACATCTTATATTAACAATGACCGATAAAAAACTTTTACTTCGGCGCCCCAAGTTTTTCATCGCTTATAGTAGAGTTTTGGCGTTCGCTTGGTGCGCAATTCTTTTTTCTACTAGATTTTATTCTATTTTTAAAAGTTTAAGTTAACAAGAATCATGTCTATATTCCGAGTTGCCATCCCACGTAGTGTTATATTAGAATATTCGAGAAAGTTTATGGGAGATCACTCCCGGTTTATTTTTTACGAGATTCTATTATTAAAAGTTTAAGTAATTAAAAATGGATCAAAAGATATTGCCTGTCCCGAGTAGCCATCCCCCGTAGTGTTATATTAGAATATTCGAGAAAGTTTATGGGAGATCACTCCCGGTTTATTTTTCTGGTTGGTATAACAGTAGCACACAGATGCTCCCTGCAATTATGAGGGTAGTGGTGCCAGATCATTTCAAATCAAAGCTCTAGCAGGATGTTGACATGTCACTATGTTCTAGCAGGATGTTGACATGTCACTCTCTATGTTCTAGCAGGATGTTGACATGTCACTATGTTCTAGCAGGATGTTGACATGTCACTCTCTATGTTCTAGCAGGATGTTGACATGTCACTCACTATGTTCTAGCAGGATGTTGACATGTCACTCTCTGTTCTAGCAGGATGTTGACATGTCACTCTCTATATTCTAGCAGGATGTTGACATGTCACTCTATGTTCTAGCAGGATGTTGACATGTCACTCTATGTTCTAGCAGGATGTTGACATGTCACTATGTTCTAGCAGGATGTTGACATGTCACTCTCTATGTTCTAGCAGGATGTTGACATGTTACTCTCTATGTTCTATCAGGATGTTGACATGTCACTATGTTCTAGCAGGATGTTGACATGTCACTCTCTATGTTCTAGCAGGATGTTGACATGTCACTCTCTATGTTCTAGCAGGATGTTGACATGTCACTATGTTCTAGCAGGATGTTGACATGTCACTCTATGTTCTAGCAGGATGTTGACATGTCACTCTCTATGTTCTAGCAGGATGTTGACATGTCACTCTATGTTCTAGCAGGATGTTGACATGTCACTCTCTATGTTCTAGCAGGATGTTGACATGTCACTCTCTATGTTCTAGCAGGATGTTGACATGTCACTCTCTATGTTCTAGCAGGATGTTGACATGTCACTCTCTATGTTCTAGCAGGATGTTGACATGTCACTCTCTATGTTCTAGCAGGATGTTGACATGTCACTATGTTCTAGCAGGATGTTGACATGTCACTCTATGTTCTAGCAGGATGTTGACATGTCACTCTCTATGTTCTA